TAATTTAATAATTCTCTATCTCTTACCTCTGAGTCATATTTCAAAGTATATAATTTTTTTTATATTTTTTTTATTTTTAAAGTCAGTAAGAAGATTATCCATTCGTGGAATGGGTGTTATATTTGAACCTCCTGGGATGGTCACTATCGGTCATAGAGGCTACTTTTATCCGGCCATGGATGAAATTGGAATTTGGATCAATTCTAAACCGGTTTGAACTCCCTGAGAGTTAGTTGTGATCTTTATACTATCACATTGTCAGCAAAAATCTGAGCTGGTGCGGCTATTCGATCTGCTCTTGGGTCAAAATAAAATTATGGGACCATAGTACTATACCCTTATTGATCCAATTAGTTTCAGTTAAATTATAATTTAAGCCTGATTCGGAGACCTTGTTTGTTAAATATAACGCACTAAGTTCGTAGGTTTATGTATTCTTTATGCTGGGAAAACTCGTCTTTCAGATAGGTATTTTCCTTCTTTTTCTTTGTCTCTAGTTATCTCCATACCTCTATCATTCTACCTATCTATTTTTCTTTTTTTTGCTATCCCTTCTTTCTCTGCCACATCCCTCTTTCTCTCTCTTTATTTTTCTTCCTATCTTTCTATCTGTCTATCTTTTTCTCTCGCTTTCACTATTTTTACCTACATACCTTGCAACTCTTCCTATTCTCGCTTTCTTACTTTGCTTGCACCCTTCTTATCGTGACCTCGATCCACTCGGACACCAACTTCCCATCTCAACCGCTTTTCGAATCCCGCTCGTGCCATTGACTTTTTTATCTCGACTAAAAACCTTAATTAATTGTATTATGTAATAATGTTAACGATAATTCTATTGGATACTATAAATGCAGAGCATCTATTAATGGTACATCTCAAATTATATTCACGTTTTTATTGTAAGTTTGATTTGTTTAATAATTAAATCTTCTCAATTTAGAAATCAAGTAAAAATCTATCAAATTGTCCAACTTTGTTTAACTCTGAGTCTTAAAGTATTAATAATTCAGTTATTCCAACGCCTGGACTTCGTCGAAAAAGTTTTTGTTATTTATCATCAATAAAGTATTTTTAAGTAGTATGTAAATTTCCTGCTGTAGCTGTCAAAAAGGATTGGAATATAGTTTTGCTCCATCGGCTATAGTCAAGACTTTGCGTTCTTAGACCGATTTAAGAAGTTTATGCTTAATAATTAAAGGCAAGGGTTAAAAATCGTTGTTTCGTTAATGCAAAATTTTTAACTTTGTTATTTATTTATTTAAATTATTTAATTTTTTTAATTACTTCTGTAATGCGTTCGTTGTCGAGTTTTTGTCCGAAGATTGTTAGTACATAACTCCACACCGCTCGACGTACACATCATTTGTCAACTTGATAACGAGGATCATAACGAAGTTCACATGTCCACTTTATGATTACGCCGTAGAGTGTTAGAACAAGAAATCTGTTTAATAATACGAGAAGATTACTTTTTTTCTTTTTTTTAATTTGCATTGCCAAATAAAAAAAGACAAACACGTCTAAAAAATTATGACAGCCAACGTTCACGTTTTACGGTCGTAGGAAATGGATAATTCACTTAAAAGTCAGTTTGGTCGTAAACGTCGTGCCCGACCTCAGCCACCACGTTCATCTGCTCAGAAACCGAAGGGACTTAAAATGATCTAACAAGATGAAGTTGGTACAAAAGGGAAAGATAATCGAATTGACTTTAATGACTTCATTTTACGGAATTGCTATAAACAGGGCTAATTTTAACTTAGCTACTGTCTTTTGAAAACGTTTCACTTGTAAAATGATCAGTAATAAAGTTTGAACGAAGAATTTTTTTACCTTAATAACGAAGGGTACCCACGTCGGATCCTGTTACCTCAAGGTTTCAATTGTCAATTACGTAACATGAAACTATTTTTCAGAGCATCGGACAGGATTGTGGATCTCGACGCGATTAAAAATACAAATTTTCTGTTAAAACATAGCTAAACTGGTAGAATTATGTAGAAATTATGGTAATAAGATGTTTTCCCTTCTGATATCGTGTTGTTGATATACGTTCGGCCTTGTCCCTTCGAGATTTTTGCATTTAACGACGCAATTACAGTTAACAAAAAGGACTTGTGCAATAAGATTAGGATAACAAATTACATTTCCTTTAAAACTCATCTCAGACAATAATTCGTTTGAAAATGAATTCTTTCGCTGGAATAATTTTGGTCACAACGAGATTTCCTATGGTTTAGTCAATTCCTGTGTGAAGTGTAGAAATCCAAAATATTTTTATTCAGATGAATTTACTGGGTATTTCATGTGAGGTAATTCCCAAATATATGTTTTTACTGTAACTGTTTCCAAACACGTGTCGTGTCCGATGTCGAAAATGGGATTTTCATCTAATCTTTTGTTTTAATTAATGGCCTGCTCCTTTCACTCTCTCTCTCTCTCTCTCTTCCTTCTCTCTCTCACTCTCTCTCTCTTCTCGCTCTCTCTCACTCTCTCTTCTCTCTCTCTTCTCTCTCTCTTCTCTCTCTCTTCTCTCTCTCTTCTCTCTCTCTCTCTTTCTCTCTCTCTCTCTCTCTTCTCTCTCTCTCTCTTCTCTCTCTCTCTCTTCTCTCTCTCTNTCTCTCTCTTCTCTCTCTCTCACTCTCTCTTCTCTTTCTCTCTCTCTTCTCTCTCTCACTCTCTCTTCTCTCTCTCTTCTCTCTCTCTCACTCTCTCTTCTCTCTCTCTCTTCTCACTCTCTCTTCTCTCTCTCACTCTCTCTCTCCCTTCTCTCTCTCTCTCTCTCTCTCTCTCTCTCTCTCTCTCTCTCTCTCTTTATTGTTTTTCTCTCTTCCTCTTTTATATATAATTACTCATTCAAAGTTATTTTTTCTGACTTAAGATTTCTGAGCTTCTGCTTATTGTAGGCTAGCAATATTAATTGTATTAATTACTCTTTGTAGTATGGTGGTTAATTTAGTATGGTAGTAACAAACACAGACCGACAAACACCTGAGGATATTTAGCTACGATTCGTCAGGCTTGTTAATGATGTGTTCAAACAGTTCCCCAACCTATTGGTTGTTACGACTTTCCATTGAAAATTTGAAGGGGGAAAAAACAGTTTTCAACTTGTCAAAACGGAATTTACGAGCGGGCGTTGAATGAAGATTTACAGCGTTTGACTGTCTACATTTCAACCATGAGATAGCGGCACGTACCACATCGAACGACGCGGAAGGAAGTTGGAAGTTGTCAAGTTTGTGGATGTTGACCCACGAGGGAACTTGACAACTGGCCGTTTTATGATGAAATAAAAACAGTAACGTGTACTTTCTTCCCATGTATATTTCGTTAAACGCCTTAAAATAAAATTTAACTATCTGAACGTAAGTATCTGAAGATGGTTTTTAGTTGTCTAAATAAATATACAAATTAAAACATGTCAAAGGAAGAGTATATCCAATTAACAAAATTATACATTCGTAATATGAGTGAAATAGTGTCATGAATGAAAAATTTACAAAAATTTGAGTAATATTTTGATTAAAAAATATATAATTTTTTCAACAATTCTTTTTATTCATGTGGTGATTTCTTTTGATCTTTTTATTCATTTGTTATACAAATTGGTTTATTTTTTTTAATTTATTTTTTAGTTTGAGTGTGTGATTCAATTTTATTATAGAATGAAGCCCATCCACGCCACATTTTAATGAAATAAATATTAACCATATAATAGCAATAATAATGCTATATAATAATCATTTTTTAACTCGCCTTACCGTTTAGTCCGTCTCAAATAGCAAAGCGTGATTAAATGAATATCTAGTGTAAAGAAATTATTTAAAGGTTTTTGGGACCCGTTGTTAAAAGAACAAGTCTGGCACTAAACGAAAAATTTCGGATGCTAGAACGATTTGCATATTATGGCCCTTTAGATAACGTATGGCTTTTGGAGCTACATGAAAGCAATGGGGCAGGTATGTTTTGCAGAATTCTAGTACTAACGGCGACCCAGGATTTCATTAATAATGAATTTAAGCCACAGTATGCCTGGAAGCTGAGAAAAAACTGTTGATGATGTTGCGTATCAAAAGAACCGACCCCGAACATACGACTTTACAAAGTCGCTTTCAGGGGCTACATAAAATATCTCCTTTATTCTCAACACAAATAACCTTAAAGAATAATTTATTTTGTTACATATATATTTATATATATAATGAAATTCCTTTTTTCCTTTTTTTTGTCTCAATAAATTCTATGAAAACACAACAGTAACGCTTGAAAAGATTGCAAAAATCTGGCTCCTTCCTTAATGTGAAAGATACACATTACATTTGCACCACCTAAATATAAGAATCAAAACTATTTTACAGTCGTGTACTAGATAAATTTTAATAGCAAACTGTAGCGACGAGGTGTTAAACACATTTTGCACAACTACACCTGTTCCTCGAACATTTAAATAAGTTTTAAACTAATCCTGTAAAATTAGAAGATTTACTAAATGTATAGAAATTAGGTTGGTTGCTCTTGAATATAAATTCGACGGTGTTTTTCTAGAAATTTTTAAACAGACGAATTATATTTACCGAACAATATAAACTTCTTCACATTTATGTTAAAATCTTTCAATTAATTAAGGTTTTTATTTGTCAAGTCAGTGTCACGAGCGGGATTCGAACCCACGATCTTCGGCTATTGAAAGTCAAGTGGACCACGAAAACTAGTGAATTTATCTTAAAATATGCAGTTACTCTTAATTAATATACAGTTGGGGTCTTTTCATTTTTATTTTTATATAACTTTGCCACCCTTTACAAACTAAACTTCAATTAACTTTATTATAACATGTGGTAGCCATTTTGAAAAGGTATTTAAAAAAATTAGTTGAGTAAAGGAGTGAGCTTTATTCGTTTTAAACATCATTGAAATTTAACAAATTCGATCGATTTTCATAATTAGAAATAATTAATATAAAATATGTTGACTCTGATTTTGTTTTATTGCAGAAAGTTCGAAGCGGCCTGAGTGGCGCGAAAACAAAGCGATCCTCAGACAGTATAATCAAAGGTAAATATTAATAATATTTCATAAAACTTTGAAACTATAGTTAGATGGTAAAGTTAATTTTAATGTTATAATTAATAATTAACAACTAAAACTTGTTAATTTTGTATATATATNTATATATATTTGCAGTGTAATAATAATAATAGACGAATAATCAATGGCATAATATCAAAAACAGTGAAGACTACCCGATTGCGAAACTATCTTGAGGACGCTACAACCGTTTGTAATGGTCTCCTTAATATGTTTATGCCTTAAATTTCATTCGTTTGCAGCTGCCCTACAGTTGCGAGCTTCTACAATAATTTTCGCAACTTTGCGAACCCCATCAAGCCACATAAGCCCACCCTTCTGTTCGTGCCCAGTTGTCAATCCATTATTTTTCCTGACACTTCCCAGCCCAGCTTTATTACATTTATGAAGAATTTTCCTTTCAAAGATCAAGAGATTATTTTCATCTGTCTTGGGGATGGTGCAAGTTTGAAAAGAATACGTCGCTACTGGGCGAATAAGGATTCTTTCGAGCCTGATTTTTGGGTTCCAGGGGATCGAGCTGCTTTTCATATGTTTTGAAAGACCAAAAATAGCTCCTATTAGCAGCCGAGATAGGTAAATTCGTTGACTCTTTGAAAAAAGTTTACCCATTTGCAGTCTTAATAATACTAATATGTATCATAATTGACTTAGAATCTTTTAATCACATGTGGAAGAGATAAACTCCAATGATAAAGGTAAAAAGTGAGGGGGGATTTATATTTATCGAAACAACAATCAGTTAAACAAAAATAACCCAAAAAAACACCCTATTTTAAAATGAGATACATTTTCAACATTTCCATAATTTAGACCTATAAAACTTAAAAAATATTACGTGTTATTATTTTATCTTAACAAAACCGACCGCTGCATAAGAGTGAGGTGCAGTAACGAATTCTCGGAAATCAGATCGATATAAGCCGGCCTGCCAAAGGGATCTTTCTTGATCCCATCCTGATTATCATCTATACTGCGAACCTGCACACCCCCAACACAATTATCACCACCTACGCAGACGATACCGCAATTTCGTCCACTAACCCGAATCCTGTCATCATCCAAGAATATCTTGGGCTTATCGAAGACTGGTACCGAAACTAGAAGACAAAGCGGAATGGTGAAAAATGTATTCAGAGTTCGTTCAAAAAACAGACTTGTCCTCGTGTGAACATCAACAACAAAGAGATAGATAAGAGCTAACAAACAAACGCATACACACACACACACACACAAACTCTTACACAGAAATCGTAGAACCATCAAGCAAATCCTTCCCCATTATTTTCTTAATTCGGTCATGTTTGATTAGTTTTTAGTTTACTATTCTTCAAAAATAGAAACATAAGTCGTTGATTGAAAATAATAATAATAGTGCATTAAAACCGAAGATTTAGAAATTCAACAGGAAAATATAAAAATTAGTTGAATAGGCTAAACCCGCACGACTTAAAAGTGTTGCGAAGGTGTTGGTCTTTAGCGCCGTTAAAGCGGGCGTATTTATAATAATTACAAACATTAATAAAGTAATTTTGTAGTTTTTTCACTCATATCTAAGAGCTTATGACGCTTAAATTATTAACTAATGTTAACTTCAATAAAATAGAAATGTGTGGTGTTTAGTGACTGTTAATCGATGATTATTCAGAAATCGTGAGATGCGGTTTGGTGTGATGTAGGTTTCAGAAAAACATTTCCTTTATCGTGCCAACGTTTCGATCTTTATTGAGATCATCTTCTGGGCCTGGGATTTACAAACATTGTTTAGGTGGAAGAAGGGCACAATTACACAGAAAACAAACACTTTGAGTGAGTAGAAATACTTTGATTGAATATAAAGAATATATTTTGCATTGCATAATTCACTTTTTTCCACATCCTACGTGTATTTGTTAAATTTAAACAATGTTTGTAAATCCCAGACCCTGAAGATGATCTCAATAAAGATCGAAACGTTGGCACGATAAAGAAAATGTTTTTCTGAAACCTACATCACACCAGACCGCATCTCACGATTTCTAAATAAATATCGATTAACGGTCACTGATCACCACACATATTAAATTTACACTGCAGCATCAAATTTTGCCAATTATTTCATATACTAGATTTCCAATTTTTCTCGTTATCGAAATATTAAGTATATATCGTATAATAAATATATCAAGTGTATTCAGGCGAATTTGCCTTACCTGCTAATAGTTTAAAGATTTATAAAATCCAAGCATAATAAAATTTTGAACAGAATCCTCAAAGGAACAAATCTGAACTGTTTGAATTTTAATTGTCGTGCGTAGAAGAACGTAAATTGGCTAATCCGGAAAAATTTGAGGTATGGTGCACCTTGAACGTCCTGTAATGGGTATTAAGGGACTAACACAAGTTTTTGAGAAAAATAAATCTCTCTCGTTCCAAGATAAATCCACCTCTTAGGAAAGGCATTCTAAATCCTTCAAAATGTAATAAGATTTTGATCCTTAGCAGAAAATTATGTTTTATTCTTAATATTTCTAAGTCTTGAAAAATTAATAAGCTTTAAAAATAAAATTCTTTTGAAGCAAAATAACAATAAAATCAAATGTTTCGCATTCAAATGCGAAACTTTCAAATAATTGATTTTGATTATGATTATCGGTCTGTTTCGACACTTTTTCAACAAAAAAATAAATAAATTCCAGGTTTTCTCTCTCTCTCTCTGAAAGCAATATCCTAATAGTTACGTATTCTACTATTCTTAACAGGATGACTCATATTTACAAATTTTGAATTTATAATAATATAAAGAAATTATCATTATCAATCTCATTTATTATTACTTATTGACTAACTTAAAAACATCTAGACTTGAAACGATCCTCTTTTTGCAATGCATCCTACAATTTCTGAAGCTAAAATGGAAAAATAAATTTATTATGAAGTATGTTGACAAGGAGTGGTCTCGTACGATAACATTAAAATGACTCTTGTGAGACGTTTAAAAGCTCTGTCTCATTTCTTCTGCGGAAATAGGGCCCTGTTCGTCAAGTGACGTCTCCCCTTAGGTCTCTTGTCTCTCAGGACAATTGTTGAACTGTCAAATACATGAAATTAGCTTCCCACATAGAAGTTTCACACGGGAGAACACATTATTCTTGAACAAGTACAAACACAATATATGCAAATGAGATGTTGAACTAACCTGGTGTATTAGGGGAAAATACAATTTCCGTATATAACCTAGGATTCAAATGTTCTTTAACGACATTTCTACTGTTTTAACATATTTAATTTTTAAAGATTCAAAAGTGCGGTTGTTTTGTCAGCATTGCACATTTCCGGCTTTAAGTCATTTGTGCTTTGCCTTTATTCTATCCTCCCTTCTTGCGTCTTTTTCTATTTGTGACTTAACTTTAAAATGCCACAGTTCAAAGAGTTGCATTTCATCGCTATTTTCTGTTATAGATTGCTTCCATGTGGCCAGCACTGAGGGTCATTATTACTACAGATCCACCAGCAACGACCCTACAGTCTGTGGTTTTTATGTTGTCGCAGATCCAAGCCAAGTGGTTGAGATATTCTTCGACTATTTAGACGTGCCCTGCAATACTGGAGGACTTGTTGCAGTTAATAAATAAATCTAGCGTGTACTTGTTTTCTCGATTTTAAGTATAACATCGATGAAATTTTTAGGTAGTTGATGGATGGGAATTGAACGGAGGCTACTTCCCCACCGTCTCGGAGCACCCACTTCCTTTGGAGCAGAGAGTATCGGAATTCTGCGGCTTGACTGCACCTTCAAAGGTCTTCATCACCTCTCAAAATGCTGCGTTGATTCAGTATCGAGTACCGAAACAATCAAAAGGATTTTCTTTCAAAGTGAACTTTCTCAAAAATCCTTCACGTAAGTGTAGTCAATTAATTTTACATTAGTAATAAATAATTTACGAAAAACTCGACTGCAAAGAGCTTAGGGGTTCTTTTAGACCTTTTAGTAAGACACGGAGTGCGACGCGTCTCTCGTAACCAATTAAAGTGTTGGCCTGAAGGGAATTGCGGTTTTTAAAATAGGCTATTTGTAAGTTTAACAAGTTCTGTACTCGTTGATAGAACACATATGGTTTTTCATTTTGTTATATTAGTTTAAAGATTTCAATCTGGAGAGTGTACAAGTATCTTTTGTTGGCGTACCCTTCTAACAATGCAGTTTTTAAATCTGCCCATTTGACATGTTACTATTTTCAATCACTTGAGGGCCTTTTATCTTATTTCTTAAGCATAAAAGCAGGTATACATTTTTGAAGTTATTTAGGTGGTTATTAACTATAAATGTATTAACTAGTTTTTGCGGTAGGTCAATGAATCGTGTTAGAACACTTGGGTCTCTTCTGAATTCTGGGACCTTGTCCAGAAATTCTCTTTTCACTTCTGGAAGAGCCATTTTTGGGAATTTCTTAACAATTAATAAAAAATTTCGTTTTTAACATTACGCTAATAATATTACAAATTTAAATGAAATTGTTTTAATTGGTGTCTTACATGAAAGCTAGGTCTCCTACGACCATATTCGATTGTTCCTAGGGTCTCGAAGTTCGATGTCGTCCGGGAGTAAAGTTCATATGCACTGAACTCTTCGCCGATTCTTGATTGTACGCTTGAAACGGAAAGTTACTCGATATTCGTTCAATAACTTTTGACAAAGTCCTAACTTTTAACTGCGCCATTTAAATAATTTCTTTTGACGAATCCGTTTTTAAAAAACTTTTATTTAAAGAAATTACAAATAATTGCTGTTATACATTCAGTTACTTATAACCTAGGAATCTAAATCAAATTTCTCTGATATGCCATCAGGAAAATCTGACTTAAGACGGGCAAGTTGGTTAATAAAAATTATTACAAAATCTCTGGAGTGGGAGAGACTGCCATTGAAAATTCTAGGAAAAACACCTCCTTCTTAGCATTGTCATCACCTTATTATATAATAATTAAAATTATAATTATTATAATAATACAAAACTTTAAAAATANATTATTATATAATAATTAAAATATCGTATATTATTATATGATAACATACGCCAATAGTGATGTAAATTAATTGTAATTGTATATTATATTTGGAATACTCGCACATAACTTACGTATATCACAAATTTCATTTATAACTCACATGTACGAAATTATTATATTGTGATTATGTTTTGTTTTTTTTAGCTTGCAATATGCTTATTGATGGTCTCGAAGATCTTTACACCGTGAGACAAACTGGTAAGGCATCTAACTGCAGCTTAATGGCACTGTACCCAGTACACGCTTCAATCCTTTCGCTGAACGTCGGTGAGACTGTCCCAGGGTTTAACAAGAAAGAAACAGGAACTATGAGAAGAGTAAGTGAATTCATTGGGTAGTGCTAAAATAACGTTATTAATTTTTTTCCTTTTCTAGTGTCAAGAGTCTGGATTAAAAGATTACGTTGAAATCAGTGGCGGCTATGATCTCGTGACCCCGAAACAAAAACAGGCAGAAACATTTTGCGGAGTCGATACGTATCCGAGTATGTCACAACTTATAATTGTATTTTATAAGGCAGAAATAACCCATTATTAATCGCAGGGCCAACTGAAGAGACAGTTCTGTGCGGAATCTCAACTATCAAACTTGTTTCTAGTGGAGAATATGATAATATTCTTGTGGTCAAAATACGTCAGGCAGGTGAACAAGATTTGTTGTCCCCTACCATCATTTGTGACTAAGTATGTTTTAATTGACCCTACATTCGCACAATGCCTTAAATATTTTTTTCTTTTTTTGCAGAGAAACCGACAGATCCATTACCTTCAAAAACTATCATAAAAATTTTAAAAAATCTGACAATGTAGTGGCTAGTTTTATTATACCTCAAAAATTTAGTTTAGCAGCTATATTTATTTTTAATTAAAGACTGAATAATTTACAGTAATTTTAAATAATAATGAATTCTATTCTTTTTTCATTTATTAAAAAATAAACTAAAAAGAAAAGATTATGTAAATTATACCTATTTTATTTATAATTATTGTTCAAGTTGAAATAACAACGCCATTATTCATCAAGCCCTTGCTAGTTGTTGGTAATGAAACAAAAAATTATACACCCTTATGGTCAGAATATGTTTAAGGTGTAATAAATATAAACACAAACTCACATAAAATTGTTTTCTTTTTTTATATTAAAAATTTATTTCTCCCGGAAACTTAAAAATAGGATATTGTTATCTTTTTCCATACATCGGTGAAAATAATTAGACCAATTTTTGAAAATCAGGCCATTACAATTTGGAGAGAAAAATATAATAAGAAAAGTTAAAAGGTCAAAATGAATTGATTGATGATTCCCATGTTTCTTTTGTTCATAGGTCAAAATTTGACCTTCTTTTTTTTTAAATATGTATCCGAATTCTTACGAAAATATGGAATAACCCAGCCAGGATAGCAAGTTTATATGCAAAACATTTTACATTGGAAGTACTGTTGTTACAGACCAAAATTACAGATAAATATATGCCCGTCACTCAATAGAGACGAACATGAAAAATAAATAAATGCCTACCTGTTGAACTTAAATTTTAAAAAAGGTTGGGTTTATTAGTTATTTTTAACAAATAGAACGACAAAAATATAGAACAAGTAACCAAAGATGGATAATTAAAAATAAAATACAAATAATAAAACTCCCAGGACAGAAGAGGAGAAAGCCAAAACTTAATGATTTAAACTTACCCTGAAATCCTTGGAGATTACACTGGAGGGATAAAAAAATAATAAAGTAAAATTCAAAGAGCACTCGAATTACTCAACAAAATTAACACCTTGGTCCCATCCCGTTTATCATCTATATCACCCCCTACGCTGAAGGTACCGCAATTTCGTCCTCTAACTCGAATCCTATCCAAACTGTCTCCAACATCCAAGAATCAATCTAAAATAAACCAATGGGTTTATCGATGACTGGCACAAAAAGTAGAGGACAAGACTGAATGGAGAAAAAGTACTCAGTGAACGTTCACATTGAAATAAAAACAGTCTTGCGATCAAGAACAAAAAGATACAGCCTTCCAATCAACTCAGATAGAACTAAATCTAGGCTGACGTTGAATCCCCACGCAAAACTTAAGAGACAACTATTTAACAAAAAACTTGGACTACTATGAAGAATTCTAGGACCGAAATCTGTCTTGCCTTATACAAGGCTTTACTGCGTCTACTTTGTACATACAGAATGGAACAGTGGGGTTCTGCCATGCCATCCAACCTCCAGTGCATCCAATCAGTCCAGTCAAAAGTCTTCAGAGAAATTGTCAAAGGTCCATGCTACGTCACTAACCTATACACAACCTCCAACAACATTCCTTTTATCAGCGAACTAATCCGTTCTTGATCCACCCTAACCCAACTGCTCGAGTCCTCTACACATTTCCATCACGCAAACCCGCCACATCGCCTGATCAAAGATGACCTCGTGACCTCCTTGTGCCAGCAACTAATAACCTCACACTGTCAGCATTGGCTGGTTTTTCATGGCATGAGTCCTCCGAGTGCAGCGCTGGCTTAATGTTAGTGCTGTGACGCATGAAAACATTATTTTAAAAAATTCTTCAAAACCTTTGTACCATATGTGGTATTTAGGTTTTTCTTCGATTTTCTTTAATCAAAAACTAACTGCTCTAAAAAGGTAAATTGTTATATATATTCCATTATAATAATAATCATTTGGATCGTGCTAATGCCTCTCAAGCACACACAAGCAAACAAACAAACGCAAATTCACATACACACATAAACACTCACAGAATTCGGAGGAACATCAGGCAAATCCCTCCCCATTACTTTCTTAATTCGGTCATGTTTGAATATGAAACTGTTTTTAATCAACTTTAGTTAGGCGTTATCTCGTCGTTGTATTTAAATTTTAAATAGTAATCTTATATTACGTTTTAAATAAGAACACTTAGTTTTAATACGTTATAATGCCCATAAAGTTTTAGTTTTTATTTAATTTTAATTTAGTATTTTCTAGGTTTTGGTTTTTAGTTTACTATTCTTCAATAAAAAAGAAATATCAGTCGTTGATTGAAAAAATAATAATAATAATAATAATAATAATAATAGAGTATTAATACGGCAGACTGAGAAATGCGATAGGTGAGTAAAAAAATTAGTCGAATAGGCTAAACCCGCACGACTTAAAAGTCATGCGAAGGTGTTGGTCTTTCGCGCCGTTAAAGCGGGCGTATTTATAATATTTTTTTATTATTATTATCACCTGTATAAATAAAATATACTCTCGTATATCTCGTAATTTGGTTATTTACATATTTACATTATACACTGTCTTGAGGGGAGTTGCCAACCGTTGTTGGACTCTAATAAAAACGTGCATATTATTAATAAAGTAATTTTATTGTTTTTTCGCTCATTTGTGAGAGCTTACTACTTGTTTAAATTATTAACTAATGGTATAATTGAACATTAACTTCAATAAAATAGAAATATCAGTCGTTGATTGAAAAAAGAACAATAATAGTGAAATAAAGAGACCAGGATTGAAGCCATGTAGGTGAAAAAACCAACTTGTTTTTCTTCTGTCGAGCTTTCGGCTGTATTTGACGCCTTCCTCAGTGCTTTGAAAAACTATTTTAAAAAACTTTACAATCAGTTCGGACATGTGGTCCTAATAGAAGGGGCCGGATACTCGGAATTATTGGCCCCTTCTATTAGGACCACATGTCAGAACTGATTGTAAAGTTTTTTAAAATAGTTTTTCAAAGCACTGAAGAAGGCGTCAAATACAGCCGAAAGCTCGACAGCAGAAAAACAAGTTGGTTCTTTCACCTACATGGCTTCAACCCTGGTCTCTTTACTACACTATTTATCATGAAGGCCGATACTATACTCAACGATAAATAAAATGTTTAGCGGCCATAATTGACCATATAAATTATTTCAATTAAATATTATATTTGTCTAAGGACTTGTTTGAGATGAAAAAGTCAGTGTCACAAGAGGGATCCACACCCCCGACCTTATACTGCTCAGTACGCAGCGCCGCTGGTCTAACCACTTCAGTCACGATAGCTCAAATCGAGGGAGGGTTTGTGTGACTGGATAATTTTTTGAGAAACTTCTTTTAGAGATACTTGTACTTCAAGGACACATTGCATGTTAATATCATTGTGGATGGTAAGATTGGATACATACAAAGAAGTATTGACGATGGTTCGAACGATTTTTCATTGTAGGGATAAATTCCGTAGGAAAGTATAAAATAAGTCGAATAGGCTAAACCAGCACGATCTAAAAGTGATGCAAAGTTGTTGATCTTTCGCGCCGTTAAAGCGGGCGTATTTATAATAATTAAGTACATATTATTAATAAATTAATTTTATTCTTTTATCACGCATGTGTGTGAGCTTACAAGTTGCTTAATTTAATAACTAATGGTAAGAAAAAAATATTAGCATTCAAAGATATTAAAAGCGATCATCGGCTCAGATCTAATTCATGTGACGTGTAATTCATGTGTGTCATGTACTGACGTGAGCTATTGATAAAAATCAGTGAGATGAATATTCATGCCATTGAGAATTTGTGACTTAATGTACATATGTGTTTAAATATGGTCTTGGCTGGAGGCTTTAATGGTTTAAAAATTCCGACCTGCGGCCCAATACGAACCACCGGTTTTCGAATACAAGGGGCCTTTTCGAAAGGAATAACAATTAACGATTAAAAAAAATTGTACCGATCAAAAATGGAAATATAAATTTCTATAACTGTTACATCTAACTAATAGGTGTATTAATTTAACTAATAGATAATGTTGTACTTCCGCTTTGAACAATGTTCTACTACTAAGGAAGTTCCCAAGTTTAATCCCTTTGCTCAATGGTGCAATGTTCCCACAATTCATGAGATAATAATGGAATGCCTTTGCTAAATTATTACGACATAATCTATAGCTAGCGATACGCTTCAAGCCGCTATGAATATCGCTTAATATATAGGAAAAGTCAAAAGATCCAATTCATATCATGTAATTTCGTTCAATATCATTTTATTTGATCTATGATAAATAATCCACATTAGATACCATTGAACGAATGATGGCGGGACAATCAACAGGGTAAAATATTCAAGGATATTATCTTTCAATTGAATAAACTATTGTTAAAACATGGGTACAAGTAAAAGCTTATCGATATTGAATTTTTAAATTAAAGTTTAAAAAACCTTTTGTTTAATTAAGCGTACTTCTAAAATAGACTAAACTACAGCCACAAAAGATAATTATGAGTAAAAAATTAAATTATTTTAGTTTATTTGTCCTCTAGTTTGCTAGACACTTGACACTCGGAAATGAACTGCCAATTATGTTACCCAGGACAGTTTACGAGTGAAGACTGAGAAATTGGATAGGCAAGTAGAAAAAAGTGTCAAATAGGCTAAACTCGGACGACATAAAAGTGATGCGAAAGTGTTGGTCTTTCGAGCCTTTAACTTACTTACCTATTATTAATAAAGTAATCTTAAAGTTTTTTCACTAATATGTGAGACCTTAAGACTCGTTTAAATTATTAAAATACCTTCAATAAAATAGAAATATGTCGTTGATTAAAAAATAATAATGTGTGGTGTTTAATAATAGTGCATTAATTCCGAAGACTGAGAAATTCCATAGGAAAGTAGAAAAATTATTCAACCGCATGAAAACATTTTTTAAAAACTTCTTCAAAACCTTTGTACCATATGTGTTATTTAGGTTTTTCTTCGATTTTCTTTAGTCAAAAACTAACTGTTGTAAAAAGGTAGATTGTTATATATATTCCAATCTAATAATAATCATTTGAATTATTCTAATGTCTCTCAAGCACACACAAGCAAACAAACAAACGCAAATTCACATACACACATAAACACTCACAGAAATCCGAGGAACATCAGGAAAATTCCTCCCCATTACTTTCTTAATTCGGTCATGTTTGAATATGAGACTGTTTTTAGTCATCTTTAGTTAGCCGTTATCTCGTCGTTGTATTTAAATTTTACTTTAACTTAAGTTTAAGTTGATTGAAAATAATAATAATAATAATAATAGTGCATTACTACCGAAGATTGAGGAATTCCATAAGCAAGTAGAAAAATTAGTCGAATAGGCTAAACCCGCACGTCTTAAAAGTGATGCGAAGGTGTTGGTCTTTCGCGCCGTTAAATCGGCCGAATTTATAATAATTACGTACATCAATAAAGTAATTTTGCAGTTTTTCAGTCATTTCTAAGAGCTTATTACATGAGTAAAGTATTAAATAATGCTATAAATCAACATTAACTTCAATAAAATAAAAATATTATTGATTTAAAAAATGATAATAATGTGATGGTGAACAATGAAAATAACATAAGCAAAATAATATATTTTTAAAAAAAGTTCTTCTTGGCATGAAACAAACTGAACATTTACAATGTACGAGAAGCTTTTTTTTTTTTTGTAGAATAGTAATCATTTACCAGGCAATGTTCAGAGATTAAAATTTAAACAAAAATCAAAATTAACCAAAATGAATTGAAAAGATATATATATGTACCTTAAATCTTTCACTATGACATCAAATAGTAAAATTTAATACATCTTTCTGCCAGTGCACTCCTTTCCAGATTGGAGCTTATCTCCTCTTCCCGTGTGTTTGTGATGATTGTCCCCTCTCTTCCATCGTGCAGATTCCTCTCTTCACAACGATCATCACAATAATAGTAATCCATATATGGAAGAAAAATAAAGAAAATTAATTGTTCCAAAACCTCGTCCACATCGAACCCACAAAACCTATTTTCTGGTGGCCACTGCTGACCCATCTTGGTGTCCATCCGACAGTTTTTCTGAAGAGCCTTATTCCTCACGCCAACAGTGGGAAAGTCGTCCTCCTTATTGCACTCCCCAATACCCTTCCAGGTATCCATCCTGATTCCCCGCCAATCCCCCATTCCTCCAGGACATAAGAAAGAAAACCCAATGTACCATCATCTAGTGAAACGCCAATGCTTTTTCCAGTCAGTTTCCTTGGACCTGCCGGACACAACTTGTCTGCTGTCATTACCCTCTTATCTCACTCGTTTTTTGTTTTTTTTCTTCTTTTTTACATTAACATTTTTTTGTACAAAACCAACCTTCATTTCTCACTTCCTCTCCTCTCTCTCTCTCTCTCTCTCTCTCCCAAGGGTTGCACAATGCTTTCCAATGCTGGGGGGGAGGGGACTTAAGCATTTATTGTAACAGTATTAAATATGGATTCTTAAATTAGTATAAATATTTTAAATAAAGACTTAATTTTTATCTGGCAGAATAAATAACAAATGCATGAAGGTAGGTTTTTATTTTATTACTCTTTACAATAAATCAACACAAACATGTATTTTTTATTTACATTAATATTTTCTGAAGTAGTTTTCAAATATTGTTCCCATCAGCTCTATCAAATAAGTTTTTTTTAGTTTTTAATAATTTATAAAAAACCAAACCAATCTGCAAATGGAATCATTTTTCCTTTGTTAAAGCTGTCTAAAATAAAGATGATGAATCCAAGATCACTCTTCCAGTAACACATTTTAAGCACTTTTAAGCAGAAAGTGATTTAGAAGAAGAAACAAATCTTTGAAGTAAATAGAGAGGTGTATAAGTCTTTCTTTATTTTTTTTATAATAATTCTATAAAGAAATGTAGTCTAATATTTACGTTTGGTTTGTAGCCTTGAGTACTTAAGATGAACTAAGTAAGCAAACAGTTTCATTTTAAATTTCCTTTATTACAAACTAAGCAATAAGACAGTGTGAGAAAGATTTATAGAAATAAAGTGGGGAGAAAACGTGGTAAATATCAAGTTAATCTTCACAATTCAATTCACTTCTTCTTCACTAATGTTGAAATGGGTGGAATCTGTAGAATTATTTTATCATAAAATATTTTTAAAACATCAATAAAGTGATAACTTCGATCAGAGAATGGAATTTCAATATTAATACAAACAGATTAGATGAGGATTAAAGAAATATGAGATTTTTTATTACAATTTAAATGCTTTATGGTATTTCTATTTCATCTCATACCACTGAAAACTCATATCTGCAAAAACAGAAATAATAGAAAATTTCATAAAGATATAAAACTTAGCAACTTAATAAAGACGTTATCACAGATGAAAGAGGATTAGTAGGCTAATTTTAATCATAAAATGTGTGCCATTGAATGTATTTCTACCATTTTTCTTTTCCTCTTTGAAATACCATCATTGAGAAGAATTAAGCCCATCTTTTTCTAATACTAGGACTCTTGTTTTGGAAAAAAAAATTGTAAAAGAAATAGATTAGCAATGATTTTTTCTCGAGAGGCTTAGGTTATCTTTTTTACAGAGAATAGAAAAGCATTTCAAGAACTGAAACAATTACAAAACAAAACGAGGAAAAACAACCGATTGATTTAAATATAATTATTAAAATTTGCATAATTATTGCACTACAAAGAAATTTCATAACTTATTTACAAATTGTTTGAATACAAATACAAATGAATATTAAATTCAAAGGTCAATTCAAAAACTGTCAAAGGATAAAATTAAACTGGGGAATTATGGTCTCTGCAATAAACATATTGGGTTAAACAGTGCATATTTAAAATTGTTTCTAAGCCACTAAGAAACTATGCCACTGCATGGTGAAATAAAGATATGTAACAGAAAGAAAAAACTACACTTTGTCAACAATAATATATTTTTTAAGTCAGCCCCAATTTTTTTCCAGAAGCTGAAAAGAACTTATTATCTGTTCAAAAGTATTTAACTAATCCAAGTGCATTTTACATCTACATCACTTATTATCATTATACAGAAAAACTAAAGATAATTGTCCTAACATTCAGTTATCACATGTGTTAAATCCAACAATGTTACAAATTAAATAAGTCTAAATACATCAGTCCCAAAACAAAATTGTATTACAAATAAACGCCTTCAATTTCTAACATGCACGATGCAAACTAAAAGTAATTTACTGCAGAAACTAACTAAACCAGCTCCAATTTACTAATTTTGTTAGTGTTGATACAAGAGTGCACTGATTTTAAGCTACTATACAAGATATTTGAATCTATGCTTGAAAAATAATAACCCTACCTTATATTTATATTTTAGATTAAAAAATATACAACTTTTCATTATATTATTTTTCTACAAAAATAAGATATTACATCATGTAAAAATCAGTGATTGTTCAAAATTACTATTAATCGGAATCTTTGTGAGACTTCTGCATCAGTATCCTCTGAAAGAATTTAAGTAGTATCTAGTTTTAATTTAATTATCAGACAATAAGTGACCTGGCTCTACCACCAAACAAAAGCTGTAGATGTACGAATAATTATACTAACATTGAAACAACATAAAACAGCATTACATTTGGTACAGTAAAATATAAGTGAAGAAAATCAATTTAAGTCCTCATGACAAATTACACTAAATGATTAAGCAAAGTCCTATAATTCAATGTGAATTAAAATTGTGATTGGACTTTTAGATGTTTTAGAGTGAATTATATTCACTACTACAGGCTCTCCATGGATAAACCAAGCCAAAAGTTCACAAAAAATGCCTGGTTTTTTTAAACCAAAACATAAATAAATATATATGCCTTAACACATTGACTGCGTAAGATGCAACACATGTGTCATGCCAACTTTCCTTTTGGAAGCAGTCACAGTCTGTGTCCTTCCGTATATACTTTTTAAACTCTCCCTCCACTTCACCCGCTAACACAATTCCTTTTGAATTTCCTAGGCCACCTCAAAAAGGAAAAAAGTGTCACTGGCATTTCAATTTTTTTCAACTGGAAGTGATTTTTGTAATTTTTCTGTGAAAACCACGTAATTTGCTTTTCTGTGTATGTGTTTTGAGATTTTAATTTACCCATTTACATACAATAAAGGAGAAATTATTGCAGAAAGTAGAAATGACTTTTATTCACGTACACCCAAATTAAACAAACGTTCTACAGAATGTGTATTTCAATTACTTAACTGTTTCACCGTGTAAATTATATCACTTAGATTGATTGAAAATGATTACATTATTTTTAAAACAGAGAGTTATTTTACACGATAAATTGGGTTCTGCCATGAGCAACCAGAACAGTCAACATGTTAAAGAAAAAGACAGCCTAAGAAATAAAGCATATGTGAGATCAGGCAAATGTTTGATTGATAATCTCCCTAAACTTCCTACAACAATCACTCTTTAAGAGTCATGATCACATTTAAAATATGTAGTCACTATTGAATAATTGATAACGTTTCAGAGTTTTTCATTTTGATATAGAACAGTCTTTAACAATTATGAAAAAAGCATTTTTATAAATAACTATCTATAAAAAATTGACTTGCCACTTAGTGAAGGTTTCTTTCAAGGAGAAAATAATTACATATATATAGAGGGGCCCTCTGTTCTATTTCTGATACAATAAATTCACAATGCTACAAAAGTAGGCAGTATAGTAGGAATGTTATTACTGTAAGATCAAATTACATAATAGTTATCAGGAAAAAAACTATCAGATAAATTAAAAAGAAATGTTTTCCTCACATACCAACCAACAAGGCTTCACAAAGGAATTACAGTTTTACACAACATAAACTTGTTTTTACACAACTAAAACTTTTGTTATATAATTATATATAACTTCATCTTTACAAAATAAAACCAATAGATTTAAATAAATGCCAATAATTCAATTTGAATAATTCACTGTGTGAGGCTAGTTAAAATTTATCGTTACAAAAATTATTTTGTCTCTTAATTATCAATAAATTAAGTCTCATTGCTCTGTGCAAAATAAAATATTATGTGACATTTTTACTGTTTGATATACTTTGTTGTTCACTTTCAGTCTCTTTGGAGATTTGAATAATAAAATCTCGACATAATTTTCTTTGATTGAATAGTCTGGTCAAGTTTGTAGATTATAAGCATAAATAATCGTTTGCCAGTGAGCTCTTCAGTTAAAATAAAACAATAACACTGATGACTCAACAGTCTTCATTGAAAAAAACTATTTGAATTGATTTGAAAGAATTGTACAAAAGTAAATCATCAAGATTCTTCCACTAAAATGTTTAAGTTTTTTTGGTTTTTTAACTCTTAACAAGATTAATTTTTGTTAAATGTATTTAAATCTAAAATGTTAAATAAATCAACAAATTTTAATTTGCTGACTAGATATCACGGATCCAGATACTTAATTAAAAGGATTAAACAGGAGCCCCAGGAAAAACAGCTCTTTACAAAATAATAAATATTGTAAAAAAAAAAAACTAAAAATTACCAACAAAGGCAATAAAATGTTCTAAAAAAATAAATAACAAAAAACCAGTTAAGAAACATCTACTAAAATGTATTAAACAAAACATAAAAACGTACTAACGGTACTTAATACGGTGGCAGTCCAAACTGTTCAGGTAAAAATTCTAAGAGAGACTTAATGACTAGAGTCGCTTTGGTTGTTAGTTCCTTAGGAATGTAATCTTCCGGGACCATCACACATTGCATGCCTGCAGCAGTCGCCCCCGCCACTCCATTTGGAGCATCTTCAAATACCAAACACTGTAATATATATATTTTTTTTTTTTTAATTTGAACAAAATAAAGATACAAGATTTTATAAAACAAGAACACACATTAGACGGGTTTGGTTTGTCTGGAAATCGCCTCGCTGCGATTAAAAATATATCAGGAGCAGGTTTCCCATTAACCACTTCGGGGTCGGAACTGCCTTTCACCACATGGCTGAATTTATAAAAAAGGTTTTTATGGATAGCAGTTTTCAAGTTAAAACTCTGTTCTCCACTACTTGTCGCAACTGCTATAGGGATTTTCTTGCTATGTAAATGATTAATTAATTTCTCAGCACCTGAAAAAGAGAATTTCTAAATATTAAAATTTGATGGAAATAACTCATAATACTTTACACTTTAAATAATTATCACATAAATAAAACAAAATGTTTAACAATTTACAACATTAATTAAGAAATCTCAATTTCCTCAAGTATATAACAAGCACATCTATTGAAGAATACAATGTATTGATTGGTGCATTCAAAAAGGCTCGTTTTAAACCTATATGGAATGCACTTAATTAAACAGAGAGACAAATATAAACTAAAGCATTTCACCATCTTCAGAGGTGTGGATCAATATATCAATGCTGACGTGTGTGTCAGTAACTAACGACCTAGAAAAATAAACAGCCCATCATGAGAAAATAGATGTATGGTGTACAAAATAACCAGTATTATTATAATTTTTTTTCTTATATATAAGAGTACATAATATGAGTCTTATTTGATAATATTCCTCCTTGCTAGTAACTTATTTTATTAAATTGTAAATTTGTGCAATCCAATAATAAAGGCTAAATAAAACAGGCCAAATAAAAAAAAAAAACACTCCCTCGTTGTCTTCTCTAAAAATGAATAAAGGATGACATTGGCACAATTTGTTATCTGCCAACTACAATCAGCTATTTCTATAAATAATACAAAAGGTAATTTAAAAACAAGCTCACGGGTGTAATATTATTTGTGTAAGTCCAGCAAAATTGTTTTACTTCGGTACCTTAAAAGTTTTCAATAAATAATTCTTATTATTTAATGGAAAAATAGGAACTCTTGTTGGCTATTAATTACTGTCTACCTTATATAGAATGGAATTTAATATGTGAAAAAAATTATAATACTATTAATATAATCCCTAATTGTTGCCATTACCTACAAATATAGAATCCAGAACAAATACTATATAAAATTCAATTATGAAAAATGACAGTTTGTTACAATTTTCATGCTTGAATATGTGTATGTTGAATTTATATGAAAATCCAATGTTGCGAGGCATAAATATTTCTTTAATTTGTATGTTTCAGACACTTGTTCTTTTCTCCACCAACCATCTAAATAAAAAAAAATTAAAAAATACAATAATATGATTGTAATTTAGATTTTTGAGGTTTTTCTTGTAAAAATGTTTCTATCTATAAAATTGTAAAATTGTATGGATATTGTGGATAGGAATAAAACCTAACCCATGAAATACTTCACAGCATAAGTCAACTATTTATCAAAATTTTGCTGCCCAAATAATGTTCAAACATTAGATGTGATAATCAGCAGACCCAAAAACAAAATTTTGGCGAAATGTTCAAACTCTTCTGGCATATCAGCAAGGTAATTCAAGATTATTAATACTATCATTATTCAAAGTCAGTTCATCACATCACTATTTAAACGTTTTAATAAACTGAAGCAAATTATGAATATGTTGGATATCTTGTTGGCATGTTGTTGGCAACAAAAAATGTTTTGCTATATTCTCAATTTGTATACACCTTAATTGCATGGCTTTTCAACTGAAATATACAATAGCTGTTCAACAACTGTTGAAAACCAAGAAAATTTAAGGTATATAATCATATAGTAATTGGATCCTTACTGATCATTTGATCAAGATTAACAATAACGATTAATTTACGGGATCATTACCTCGCACACAACAAGAGGATATTGCAGTAAATAATTCCTGTCACGTAGAAGGGCTTAACATCCAACTACCCTTTTGGTGTCATGAGGAGTCAGACAAATTTACTGTTGCTCAATGATGAGAGACCCAGAGCCAATAGTGTAATAAATACCAAAAATTATATAATAATTTAATAATCAAGTAACCTAACAACTCAACAATCACTAAGAACAAAATTATTATTGTCTATTCCTCATATAAAGCAATCTAATGTATATACGACTGTACGATTGTCAATGTAAAGGTGTCAATCTAAAAAAGTTAAACTGCCTTACTTTTGCAAGCAAACTTTTTCTGTTATCTTAATGTAACTAAGTTGTTGAGGTGTTTTGTAATGATTTATTTTCATTACACTTTTTAACTTTTGACCAGTTTGCTATAAATATATTTAATAGCGCCATAAAGGACAGAAACTTTGAGCCTAAGAATAAAATTAATACATCGTCCTTCCTGCTTTAACACAGAATAATATGAAAAATGTTAATATGGTTGGTCCATGGAAAGGTGATAATGCAAAAAATGTTTAACATAAAAATTAGTAAAGTATTTCCTGTCATACAGGAGGGCTTAACACTCAACTATATTCATTGGGTGTCGCTGACTGGGTCAAACCACTTCACAATACATTTCTCAGACCATTATCAATTAAAAAGCCAAGGACTTTGAACACAGGACCACTAGCATCGCAAATACGGGTCGGACACCCACTAACCACTTGGCCACATCCAGGCCAAAGAAACTGTACTACTTTTGCAAGCAAGATCTTAAAGTAAGTTATTGAGGTGATGATGGATTTTCATTACTTTTAAGGTATTTTTGGACAGATACAATTTGTCATAGATGTAGCTTTTGAAAAGAGCAGTTCTCGAGATGTTGATACTGTCTGAATTCTTGAACTTGAATATAAAAAAAATGTAATAATCTAATTACCCGGTTTCAATGGAATGTTATTCATAACTTTAAATTGTTCCGTTTTCGCCAGTTTTCCGAATTCTTCCGGTGTGACGGGCAATTTGAGCTTTTCGACTATCAACTTTGAAGTGTCCTGCTCCTTGGTGCCCAGGACTGCTAGCCGAAGATCCGGAGTGTACTCCTTGCCGAAGGAGGCAATCACCGCCCCGATCGTGCTTTTGTACAGGACTTCACTGTCTAAAAAAAAATTAAATTTGTATTTTTTTTATCATTTCCCTTATCAAATTTTTTAAAAGATAATAGTGATTACCTAGTATGAGGCCGTCGAGATCGAATATAACATGAGTGACGCTCTTGTATGTCGGCATTGTATGAGCGTGTCTGTTAAAAAGGGCGCCGACCGACTTATAAAGAAACATGAGAAAAGAACAGAGAAAATGAACAAATAAATAGACGAGCACCAAGGACGAGCTGGCAGCAGAAGGTTATCGTACTAATATTAGACGGGCTAGAGGCTTTAGAGCCGATTGCGCAAACGGTCTCATGCTTTCAACTCGTCACATTAACAAATGTTTTTTTCATTTAAAAAAAAATGGATTTTTCCCATCCACAGGAACGATTTGAACAATGATTTGATTTTGTCGTTTGAACCAAAAAAAAGTTCACTTCTTATGAATACACTCGAGTCCCATATAACTATCATGTCATCGCCATTTTCAAAAGTCTTTCAAAAAAGTTTTAACAATATTTATTTAAACGGGCAGATGCTCAAAATACAATACACTTTGCAATTAAAACAAAAATACAAATTTTTCCATATTAACAATTTAAAACTAATTATAAAAGTCTCACAGTAATTTCACACAACACCAATATGACACCGCAAGAATAGCACCACATTTATGCCTTGAAGATGACCCAATTAAAGCTCTAAACGCCGGAAAAAATGAAAAGTGCTTTTCTAAACTACCTCATCCTTGACCACTCCTCATGAATCCAACAAAATGAAAAACAATCATTAAAAACCTATTTATAGAGTACAAACATAAAATTAATTTATTTATGTAATTATAACAAATTTTATGTTTGTACTCTTCAAAGAAGTTTTTAATAATTGTTTTTCATTTAAACTTTTACAAACTTTACAATTAAAATTTTAAATTGTTCATATGAACAAATTTGTATTCTTGTTTTAATTATTTATTAATCAATTATTATCAATTATTTATTTATTAGTATTATTAATTTAAATTGTAGTGGGTTATATAATTATTATATACTAATAATATTTAATATAATTATTATATACTAAGCAATTAGAACGATTCTTATATTCTGCTAAACAGTGTTAGAATTAAAACTTCCAATTATAAAAAAAAAAGACAAAAGTAACAACCAGGGGCGTCAGTCACCACAAGGGTTTAGGTGTTAACTCGGCGCTCATCATTGTGAGATAAAGGTCTTGGGTAAATCCTGCGGCCCTGATTCGAACCTAACATATTTACAAATGGATTTTTTATTTAATATTTTACAAATTTTATAATTAAAGTTGTATTAAGTATATAATTAAAGTTTTAAATTCTTCGTACAAACAAATTTGTATTCATGTTTTAATTAACACTTATTTATTAATTAATATTACTAATTTAAATTGTAATGGGTTGATGTTATCATTTAATAGTATTATTATTATCATATACTAAGCAATGAGAACGAATCTTATATTCTGCTAAGCAGTGATAGAATTATAACTTCCAATTATAATAAAATAGACAAAAGCAACAATCGGGGTTGTCAGCGGCCACATAGGTTTAGGCGTTGACTCGGTGCTCATCATTGTAAGGTAAAGGACCTGGATTCAAATCCAGCGGCCCAGCATTCGAACCCAATATACTTACAAATGTGCTAATTTTTTAAACAACAGCACTCCAGGGTTGATATGACTTCGGCTGTTGTGAACCCTCGTAAAAAAAATTGTTTGAATAACTAGAGATATGATGTAATGGTTTTTAAAGAAGTTCTGAATATATCTATTGGTGGAAACTTTTGAATAAGTTATTAGCTATTTTCTAAAGTCGGTTAATAACGGAATGAGGAAGATAACCATGAATATGGAGAAATGAAGAATATGGAAGAAAGTCTTTTATTATGGAGTGGACTGCCAACACCTATGGGTAATTCTTGAAGCCTGCCTGTGATTTATTGTAACTTACACAAAAAGCTGGAATTGCCAATGGGTTGTAAGAAGTTCAGCTCTGAACATGTGTGTTGGTAAGTACATGCATGTGCAGAATTAAGCTTAAATAAATCATTAATAATATACATGCAAATACATACATAAGCATATATACAATATACAACAGTAGCATTAGTAACAAAACAGTACTACAAAATAAACTATAGCTGGCCACCTTCTGTTTTTTCCGTTTGTTTTCAAGATGATAAACCTTATATTTTGTCATTATTATGGTACATATTTATAAATTTTTCAAGCATTGAACAGATAAATGTAAAATTAAGGAGCTTGTGTTACAACACACTCTGAATCCCTTCACTACAAATTAATAGGATCGGCTCGATAGGAGGTATAAAATTATAATAGTTAATCATCATTATATCACTACTATAAATATTTGCTTCACCACTACCTGGCTCAGGTTATGCTCAGGTTTCTTGTTATGCTCAAACTAAAGTGACATATGTTTGAAATAGTTTATTAAAATTTACAAGTCTCATATTCATGTTTAACAAGCAGAACAAATACCAAAACCCCATGCAAGATCTATAAAGAGCAGGAAAAACAGTCTTGACATTTGGTGCTGAGGCAGCAATGAATAGCTTGTACAAGAAGCACACCAAGTTCTTCAAAGTTGTAGGACTTCTTTTCCATTTCAGTGGAGCACTTCAATTCACCGTTGGAATAGTCTTCGATTACCAGCTCATAGTCCCAGGCCAAACGTTTTATCTCTTACAAAGGCTTCAATACATGACATATTGGAATTTGGTATGTGATAAAATGACACATGTAAAAATTGACCAGATGGATAATTAAAATTATTTTTTTCCAGTATCTTCAATGGTTCTATTTTACTAAAAGGACTATTAATGATATTATGACATTTGATGACAATGATGAGGATGAAACGCCTAAATGTGTTGATTATATTAAAACATCATTGGCAATACCTAATGCTCTGGTATATACTTTTTTTTTGGCCCATGCTGATACAAGGTCAAATTTTTACAATAGAAACATTGATAATGTTCAATAGATGCATTAGTGTTTTGTTGCAAATAATTATTTGTTATAAGAATTATCACTAAAACCTTGAGATAAGTTTTCTTTTGGCAATATAGCCAACTGGTGGATTTAAAACCACAAATGCCTTATTATTATTATTATTATTATTAATTTTTAAGGGCGTTTTAACGGCTAAGGTCATTTCACGCCCTAACATCCAAACCTTCTATCTTAGGTTAGCTATATCTCTTCTGAGTGCTATAAAGCTCTGACTCCAAACATTCACTCGTAATCTTATTTATCCTATTGCCATCCAAGCTTTAATTTTTCTTTTTAAAATTCTTAATTCGGAAGGCCAAATGCCTACAAAATTCCCATTTTAAATTGCATAAAATTTAATAAATTTATAAAATTTATTTCTGTTTCTTTTTTTAATTAGAATTGTGAATTTTGTTCCATAATTTAAAAATTCCCCTTACTTTTAACTTAGTTATTTGTTTTTAACATTAGTTTGTAATCATTAGTTGTGTACTAATGATTAGTCCTAGTCAAATATTCAATTTCTATCTTTGTTGAAAAAAATGAAGCCTGCAAATGTTTTTGTTTTACGTTTTTAAATAATTATAAATTTATTTTAATTACTAATTGAACAAAACAATGGATTGCTTGTGTTTAAATGATCAATATAAATTACAAAAATATTTATTTTTTTAGACTGTCTCCATTCTTTTTTGGACTATCTACACTCTAGATCCATCATTGATCCATGGTGGAGAGCCTTTGCCTAGATATCTCAACTTTGTCGTACATACGAGTGTTTCTCTATTAAATTTGATAGAATTAGCCATTGTAAAGCAACGTATCTGCCCTCAGAAGAAATGCCTATGGATCAACTTTTGTTTTAGCCTTGTATTCACAGCATGGTGATTCTTATTTATTATTTTAATTATTCACCATAATGAAGTTGTTATTTTATTTTTATTTTTTTTTTTAGGTTTATTGCATACAACATGACAGAAAACAAGTGGACATACCCATTTTTGGACCATCTAGATATTCTGAGGAAAGCAGTATTTTTTAGCAGTTGTTGTTTAATGAATTTTTCACTGTGTATTCTTGGTCAAAACCTTCAATATCTTATTTGGGGGTAATAACATATCAAAATATATAACAATAAACACAATATAAACTATTAACAAAAATTACAATGTTTCGTGTACACACTTTTTTCAATTGGTATAGTTTTTGTTGTAGATAGTGAAAACCACTTGTTCATCTATCAAATCAAAAAGAATGAAAGTAACAATAATACGCATGAGAAGATTCGTTTAATAAAAGAAATAAATATCTTCCAGAAAATCCATTAGTGGATATCAATTTTTTTTATAATAAATTACTTCTTAGAAATTCAACAAATACATAATTTATTCAAAAGTAGATCAAATAAATCTTTTCAAATGCATGCTTCAAATTTATTGTTGTCTGGTTGGTTGGTCTTAGGATAAACAAGGATTATTTTGGGCTTATATGTAAAAAAAAATCAGGGATAAGGCAAATTTGAAAGAAAGAAAAACACTCAATCAGTTCTTTAGAAATATTGAGAGAAATAGAAATAATTGAGTTGGAGTGAGTATATATCAATTCACTGGTTGGAAAGGATATTTCAACTTACATACGGGCTTTTCTGCTAGCCAAACAAATTTTCTGGATTTAAGGATCATCTAAATGATACAATATCTCAGTACTTTTAAATATTCAAATTGTTATTTTTGATTAATTTGCTCAGTATTTCAATTTTGTCAGGATTACTCCTTGATGTAACTCACCAAATTAAACTTTAATGTTCCTCAGCTCTCGTCCTGGAAACATAAAATATTTTTCATTTCTGCTCATAAGAATGTTTGCATAAAAGAAAGTCCCATCAATAGGTTAATGCACCTTGTAAGCTTGGATATTACTATACATCTATTTTATTTAATAATTCATACTTCAAACTATCTGTGATTGATTTTTAAAAAATATTTTTAATTAATTTAATTTAATTTTTTAAGGCCAGCAAACTACATCGGTCATCCCAGCCCTCTCTTCTTTAGCTTTCTTTTCTAATCTCCCTCGCGTTTTAATTTATTTTTCTGTTTCTCCAGCTGTTACGATATTTTACAGCCAACTATTTTCTTTGTTCTATTGCTACCCTCTGTGTACCTCAGGGCATCATTAATTGCGAGTAAAAGAAGACAAATAACAAAAACAAATACCCAGAAACAAGATAAAAATATGACAGACTGGTTAGGATTCACACTACCAAGAGTACTTGATGTTCCTCAACGTAATTGGGAATATGCCCTTCCATTCACGCTAATAAATTATATTTACACCCCAGACTACATTCTCACTACCTCAGAGTACTCAATATTCCTCGGGGTATTTATTGTATTTTTATTCTAATTCAGTTTTTCTTTAATTAACCATTTGTTTTATAATGAATCTCTATATGAGCTTTCCTAGGTATATTTGTAACTACTGTAAAATTTTAATAGGCCTTGCCTGTAAAATAAATAAATAAAACAACTTTACCTTACCTTTTTATTATGTTGAACCTTCAGCCTTTCCTTATGTTAGACCTTTGTTTTCCTTGTGCAAATAGTTTATAACTATGTTTTAAAGAGATGTAAAAATTGACCAATGTAAATTATTACCTACTTAAGCATGCAAGTTTATTCAAGTTTTTTAAGTACTCTTTTGACGATTATCGTTTTATGAACTTGAATAAATCAAATTCAAGTCATTTAAACTTAATTTATGGAATTAAGTCATCGAAATACTTTAATGATGTAAAAGAACGAAGCGCTCGTGTCGGAGTTTGAAACTGAAATACTTATGAAGTTCAGTTGGAAACGTGAAGGGCGTGGTGTCGATGGTTAAAAACCTTTGACATGTTGTAAACACAACAGTTGAACTGTTTCCAATTTTACATTTTATTTCTTTTAAGCGTTGGTTCGGACGTTATACTTTCCAACTTTTTTTTTTATCATTTTGCTTTAATAAAATGTTAGACGTTTAAATATTTTAAAAAATGGGAAAAACTCTTACTGGAAAGATCTCGACTGGCATCTTCGCCCTTTCGTTCCTGTTGATTTTCATCGCCTTTTGTACTCCACACTGGTTGGAAACGGACAATACACAGCAAAACCCAAAGTTCCAGAATCTTGGTAAATGATTAATTTAATTGTATTTCGTACAAATAATTATTTTTTAATTATAATATTATATATAAAACTACCTTTATGTACTTTTATGTACTTTTATGTAATCCTGTTCATCAAATACAATTAACTAAACAATACAACTAGGTATAATTAATAGTTGACTTTAACCACAACATTAATATCTTGTTGTTTACCATTATAGAGTGTTATTAATCTTTTTACACTCTTTAGATTAAAAATAATGAAAATCAGTTCACTTTCATCCTTTCCAGAGCCAACTTGTCGAGTGAGTTAATTTTGTGATTATAATTTGTTTTCTTCTATGAAACAATAAATAAGACTGGTAAAAAGACATAGGCAAATTTCAGCACACTTTTTTCACAATTGTACAGCTACAAAAAGGACATAATTGTTAAAATAACCCACAGAACAACCACAATATATATATACATATATACAATCCACTGAAGACATTGATCAGAGGGTTTAAAAATTTGAGATTCCATCTTTGCTCATAGATAATAAGATGATTATCTCGCAGATTTCACGTAATAATTGTGCTAAATTTACCAGTTTTGTTCTTCTTTTAGGCCTTTGGACTGTGTGCTTCAATAATTTCCAGGACCCAAGATTTTGGTATGATTATTCATTTAATGAGTGCTGGTGGGTTTTTGAGGAAGAACATTACATAATATTTGACTTCATATTGCCCTGTAAGGATTTATTATTTTAAAATTTCATTAATTTAACATTTTTATTAGATGTCTAATAGCAAATTTACATTTTTTAGCTTTTTTCGTGGCCGTACAATTCTTTTTCACAATTTGCTTCACCCTGCACTTGCTATCTCTGCTCTGTGTACTTCTCTACCTGGGCTGCAGTCGGGATAACGACAAGTTCATCAAGCTCCTGGGATTCTTGGGTGGAGCGTTAATATTAGCTGGTAAATAAGATCGAAAAAATAATTTTAAATTGAAGGTTTTAATTTCCCTCTCTGTTTTAGGACTTTGTGGCACAGTGTCAGTCTACCTTTTTGGTCTATATGGAGACGGGAGGGATTGGATGCCCGATTGGCAGCACAATGAGATCGGGTGGTCATATGCGCTTGCCGTTATAGGTGTAATTGGAACTTACGCCTGTGGTGTACTCTACCTCGTTGAAGCCAGGCGGTATAAAGGTAAAGGTAAACGCGATGAAAGACAATTGCAAAGTGATTACCATATGGATGTAAGAACTGATATCCGTACACAGAAGGGTAAGAACGTAAGCGTATATTAAATACGGTTTAATTTCAGCAGTGGCTAGAAATATGAATTTTTAGATTTAGGAATATAAGCAGAAATCAAGATCTGTTATTTTTTTATAACTAGATTATAAAGTATGTGTCTTATATTTTAATTTTTAGTGTAATTAGCAAATATTTATTATTGTACTTGGATTATCTATGTATTTATCGCATTTTTTACACTCATCCGTCCAATGGAAAAACTTTCTTAATAATTTATAAAAATTAATTTTTTTATATTTATACATGTAAAATTGTGTCTTAAAACATAACATTATTCGTCCAGAGATAAAGATTTCTTAATAAATTCAAATAAGTTTTAGGATTTATATACGTAAAATTTTTACTTAAAATGTAACCTTATCCGTCCAGTGACCAAACAGTTTTAATAATTTCAAATAAGAAGTTTTGGGATTTATACATGTAAAATTAAAATGTAACTTATCCGTCCAGTGACAAAACATTCTTAATTATTTCAAATAACAAGTTTTGGTATTTATACATCTTAAAATCTAACATTATCCGTCCATTCATGTGTGTTGTTATAAAAATTCTACACAAATTATGTAATGTTTTTAACTGAAGTGAAACAAAATATTTAATATTTTTATACTTTTAGAATATAGTATTGTTTAAATTTTAATAACCATAGTTACATTGTAAGAATATAATGTATTTGCTAGTTGTTAAATAATCTGAGCTGCTGTTATTAACAATAACAAGCTTTTAACATGTTTTCAGTTTATGCAATAAAGAGATTTTTATATACTGTCTTTTATTACCTATATTATTTATTTATGTATATACGAACATAAATTTTTGTTCTTATTTTCACAATCAGAATTTTTTGAATTTTAGTATAAAAATAATTAGAATTTTACATTAACTGATGCATTGTTATTTTTATTGTAATAATGTTTTGTGCTAAAGAATTTTCTGATGGTGACAGATGAGCTTTAACACAGTTTTTTTATAATTATTATTAATCATGTGTTGACTTCCTAAAAACTTTTAAAACTTTTGTAATTTTCCAAATAGAACAAAATTATAATCTAGAGCCTTTTGTCAAAGGGAATTAAGTCATGCACGCAATGCTTACAGGGAGAATATGCAGTACCAGTAGCAAACATTGCAAAGCAGTTTTACATAGGTAGCTTATCTGGTCTTAAATTATGTTCATCTCTAGTAATAATGAAAACTTACCGTTTTAGGTTTCCTAAATTTAGCTTTGCCAATGTTGATCCTTTACTGTTGGTGGCTAGAAAGCCAGGTATTTAAATGTTTGTATAAAAGTATTTCCTACATTGAGGAAACTATATTTCAGAGTTCTTAATGAGACAACTCGCCACAAGAGGTCCAGCGGTTTCTCAGTTTGACTTGAGTTTTCGGACATCAATTACATTGGAAAATCTAATACAAGATATAAGACCTTGGCTGTTCAAGAAAGTTCATAGCAGTGACATACAAACAATTTCTGACATAGATAAAATCGCCACATTCAACCGACTGCTGATGATCCATTGTTTTGAACTGTTTATGTTTAGCAAATGCCATACTGCAAAAAAGTGTCTGTTCGACTGTGAAATTGTACTCCCTGCCCTATGCACGCTTATTGAAAGAGCGACTGAATATGATGCAAAAATATTTGTCATAGGTATGCTAATAACAAGTGTTAACTCATTTTACTGAAAATAATAGGTTTTTTTAATTATTAATCAAGGCTTATCCCAATTGAAACGATTGAAAACTGTTTCAAAATTAATCCAAACATCTGTGGAGGACATATTTTTTGACCTTATAGAGTGTAAAGATATGAATGAGGTGAAAATATGCTCTGATTTTATTGAAACTCCTAAAAAGAGAAATTCGTCATTAAATTTTCTTGGATCTCCTTCTTCGCCCTTAGCCATATATCCTGAACTTTTGGGTAAAACTAGAGGGATACAACAAATTGAAAATGATCACAGTGGAAAAATGGTAAACAAAAAGTTCTATAATTGTGTTCAACGATGTATTTATTTTAATGTCTAGGTGTGGCCTATATTTTGCTATCCCTTGGCAGAACTTAATTCCAAAGAAGTCTTCACAAATATCATCAAGCTTGCCAAAAATCCAAATTATTCTGCAAACGGTGTAGTCCATGTTATTATAAATAATGAGGCAGGTAATGTTATCAAATGATTTGTGCAATTTTAGCAAGGTACTGATTTTAATTGTCTTAATTTAATAGTAAGTAAGTGTGTACCTTAATTGTACTTAATTACTATTTTCTAGGCAGAAGATTTTTGTAACCCGCAAATTGAAAGCTCTTGCAAATTGGTAAAAATATTTGCTGAATATCTAAATGCACCAGTCATTCATGTAAAAGCGGATGATGTCGATTCTGTCATTTACGTGATGAATTTGGCAGCGGAATACAGAGCAAATCATCTCCGGTAGAAAGACACATTTATATTTTTTTGAACATATTAAAAACATTAATGTATTTTTTAGAGATATAGTTATTGATTTAATAACACCAACTAGTGTTTATTCTCCTAAGAATGTAGCACTTGCTGGTCTGATTCGGGAACTGTTGATTGGAGATAAATACCCACTTATATCTTCATACATCAGAGAACTATCAGATTCCAAAGTAAAATTTTTACTGTCAAATTATACATAACAAAATTAACTAAATAAAAGTAACTATACTAATTTTTTAATTATCCAGGTTATTTCAAAAGGTATACTCGAGGAACAGAAGGATGTATACTTGAAAAAACTCACGAGACTGCATAGTGCTCGTACATCACAACAATACCCACCATTTATGATCAAGAAAAAGAATCTAGTCAATCTTGAAAAGGTTTGTTCTTTTATTAATGAAATTGGTTAAAATAAACCGACAATTTGTTTCCTTTAAGAGGTATAAAGAGCCCCTGACTGGAGCTTCTCCAGTCGTTGTACAAAAAATCACACAAGCTATGACCACATCGTCTAGAGACTGCGTGTCGACAGAGTCGTATGAGCTTCAAGTCAAAAGACACGACTTATTGGTGAATAACATGCTCGATTGGGACATCTGTGAAACCCTAGCATACACTACATTAATGCAAGTGAGTATCTCATCGTTGTACACTTGCAAATTCATTAAAATTACAAAATAAAACATGCATGTTTCACAGGAAGGGAAAAACGTACGAATAAGCCAAAATAGCAGAGATCAGCACCCAGGTTTAAACTTTTTAAACGGGGAGAATGGAAATTCACTGCATCCTGCCATTGGGACGTTTCCCATTTTGGGCGAGTTCAAGTTATGCAGGAGTGATGTCCCACCTTTTGCTACAGCTGGTTTTGAAACGGGGTATTCCTCTATTATGACAAACACATTAAACATTTGGGAAGCACCTGTCACCTTAGAACCGTCACAGCTGCATAGCATAATTAGCCACTATTTCACACTTGAAAGTGAAGAGGACTTGGCATCAACTGGAGTAACACTCATAGTTCCAAACTATCTACAAGGTAATATATTCTTACATTATACATATAAATGTGTGTGCCCATGCATGTTTATGTAAAATTGGGCAAGTTCATTCAATTTTCATTCACTTTAATTCCTTCAACTTCAAGTTATTCTGTACTTTTTATTATTAATTCAAACAATTTCTTTTAATGAATAAAATAGCTTCTGATAATGGAACTAAGAAATACTACAGCTGCCAGCCACAAAGGATTTTGGAAGCATGTGAGGAATGTGAAATGATAACTTCAATGAATGACCAATTGCAAAATTGCAACATAATAGTTGCAAATGTTTCAACACCAGCGAATTTCTATCATATACTCAAGCGTCAAGCACGCTGCTTGAAACAAAGACCCCTTTTATGTTTTGTTCCAAATGATCACAGGAATTTCTCTCCAAGCTTTTCCAGTTTGGAGGACATTCTAGGAGATACCAGGTATTTAAATGTTTTTTTTTTTTTTTTTTTTTTTTTTTTTTTTTTTAATTTGAATTCTACTAAAACAAAAATACAGTTTTCAGAGTTACATTGGGGACCCTGATATTGCATCGAACTCTTCTGTACAGCATGTGATACTTTGCTCCGGTAAAGTTTACTACGACTTGAAGAACGAGCGTGCTTTGAGAAACTTCCAAAATAAAGTAGCCATAAGCCGAATTGAACAGATATTCCCTTTCCCTTATAACAACATAATTCAAGATTTAGAACGGTTTCCTCAAGCCAAAGTCTGGTGGGTACAGGAGGAAGAGTGCGGTGAAGGATGCTGGAACTACATCGAACTGAGGCTTTTCGGAATACTCGGTGATGAAGCATCTTTGAAATTCGCAGGAAGGCACAAGCGTACTAATGGAAAATATACAAATCTGAAACTGTCAGACGAAGAATTGAGATATATTTTTGACATGATATCAGATTCCTCATAAACTACAAACTTGAAAATGTACTGTCCCCTTTGTTTGAAGCGTTCTTCACTCTTGAGGTTGTTTACATAAATATATTTATTTACTATAATTTTATTTATTTTAATGAAGACCTTATAAAACAGAAATAACCAACCACAGGCAATGTTCAACTAAAAGAGAGTTCTCACTCATAGCTTGTTGTTTTCAACGATCCAGGTTTCATGCATTAAATGGTCATCATCAGTTTGATGGAGTTACAAACACATCTCTCAACATAAATTACAACAGGATTGTTGAAAGCAACAAACGGTGAGTAAGAATTATATTTTAAAGTGGTTGAACAACATACTCATCCCACATTTATCATTTCTATCAACAGGCAATGTTTGATATGGTAATAATAAATATATTTTAAAAAATCATTTATAAAGGGTTCAATCATAATTCAAAAATTGCTGTATTTCACCAGTGTTTTATTCATGTTTATTTATTTATATTTTTTTACAAAAATATTATAAAATAAAATTCCATTACAATCATACCCTACAAACGTATTGAATTAAAAATAATTTCTAATCATATATACATTATAAAATGTACAATTCGTAAAAAATAGAACTCAATTGATAAAAAGTTAGTTTAAAATATAATAAATTTAAGTCTTTTTTTTTCAATAAACAATAGATTTTAACTTTTGTTTAAATAAATTGGATGGATCTTTGTTGTGATAAAGCGATTTGGACGGAATTAAGTCTCAGGGGTTGATTTGGTCCAATAGTGAAAAAAATTCTTTAATATGGTAATACCTATTAACCACAGACTAGAGATATAAAAGCTCAAAGCACAACAGAAAAATATTACTTGAGCTTTTATAATTAAAAGTAAATTAAATATTAAAGAAACAAAAACAATACTTGCAAAACTAATTAATTAATAATATTTGTGAGCTTTTAACATTCTACTTAAATGTGTTAGCTATTCATGTAAATATAAAAGTTCTGAAAATTAAGACATGCAATTTAAATATAAAAAATACTATTTTGTAAAAATTGTACTAGTTGTTTGAATTAATTTTTACCATTACCATGAAAAAATCAACCCCTATCTTTTGTTTCGTTTGTTTTTAAAGTTTCTAAATTCTAAGTTGTTAAAAATAGAGATAAATCAAGCTTTGGTGTCCTGCTCCATTTCAAACCGTGTTTGAGATTCTTTTAAATACATGCGCTTCTTCTTCTGCAGAACACCCTCAACCAGAAAGAGACCCCCTGCTATTAAAGAGGCAATTGTACCTGCAATGGCTAGGGCGAAAGTCCAGCCGAAGAAGTTGTTGTCATGCCCTGGCATCCAGCCATCCTGGTTTGCCCAAATAGCAAAAACAATAACTGCTAAGGCGCTACACACACCTGTAAATAAAATTAACATATGAATTGTTTTAAATTTCGTATTAAAAATGCATTTCCCTTGAAAGAATTTAAAAAAGCGAACACTTTCACTTGAGAAAATATCGCACAATTCTTGACATATTTCCTTTTTAACAAGATAACACTATCGCATAATTAAAAATTATTAGCATTTCTGATAAGTGAATATTTTTGTTTTAAAGAAAAGCTATATATAATTCTTATAAATAATACAATAGTCCTTTCATCTCTAGGGCATTCTCAAATACAAATTTTACCACCTTTTTGATAAAGTATTAGCACAAAATTTTTTAAAAAGAAAATACTACAAATCTGAATAAAGTGTATTAAACTACTTACCAACTACAGACATGATAAGGCCTATTAATAATGTCAAATTAACAAATTGTTTATGTTCCGGGCCAAAGCACAAAAAGAACATAAGAACGAGTACAAATGATGCCAGAACTCCAATGAATGCCAAGGTGTAGAAAAATTGGGTCACGATAATAAATGCTACAACAGAGAGAAAAACATAAGTGGCAAATTTGCAAAAATGAAGTTTTTAGTTTAAATTACGTGGCATTAGGTATCCACGAATTTGATCGTATCCAGTTGTGAAGGGGTCGTACACCAATCGGCAGCCCACAAAGAACCGTCTCTGGTACTCATCCCTGGGATCAGAGAGCGAACGGAAACAATGTCTCCAAAGACCGAGTCGTTCGAAAGGTGCACCGCTTATACGTGAATCAGACACAAGCCAGCTCGATGTGCAAAAAGCGACAACAGTGAAAATAAAGGCAAGTACAAATATCCCAATCCCAATGTTTCCAGATAGAGAACGCTTTTTCACCATCTGTAATAAAAATAAAGCATAAATTTCCAGAAAGTACTTTTTTGTAACAAAAAAATGTTTATAGAGTAAATATAAAGGGTAATCTCTAAATGAAAAATACATGGTTACATTTTGTAAAACATCTCATCCTTTCAGGTTGCATAAAAATACCTCTAAGTTAAAAAATAAAATTATCCCTTCTCTCTATAAGCAAATATGTATTTTTGAAAATAAGTGTTTGTCTCAACTTTATCAGAGCAAACTCTTTTATATGTCATCTCTAAGCGAATTTTATTTGTAACATTGTAGCACATCCATCATAGACTCTTCCATTTATTTGAAAGCATACTGTTTATTTATTAGCAGCTATGACTGTAATTCAACCTGATAACGTGTTCAAAAAGTTTGCTTCTGGAAATAAGGGGAATGAAGATGAACTACAGTCAAGAAGACCAGGGTCATTTCCTAATAGCCAATGATGACAATCTGGTCATTCAACATTATGAAAGAAATGAAAGGCAAATGTTTAGACGCTGAAGCTTGCTACCGTCAGTCAATTTATAAGGATATATAATATTTGCTCATATTCCCAAGTTGATGATAGAATGAATGGATTCATTGCATAGGTTGACACTCTGGCAAGCTGCTGACACGTTTGACATGAATAATGTTCAATAGTTTCCCTAAATACGTTATCATTCAAGACATAAAAACTACAAGACCCTGCGGTTCATCTTCAATTAACTCATTCCCAGAAGCAAAACTTTTTGAATTGCTTTTGAGCCGTGCGCTTGGTAAAATGTGGACTGAGTCGGTCTTCAAAGAAATTTGAAATTAATTATGCCAATTTTTAGATATATTTAAGATTGTTTTGCCCTGATGATCACCTTAGAATAGGTCGAAAGCTTGGTAGTAACAACCGAATTTGTTTTTTCACTAAGACTATACCGAGATACAATATATTTGTGAGTAAAAATGTGGTAAATACACACTTTAACGTTAGCTATATGTGTTATGTAGTTTTATAGCTCAATATAAGTTTTAATATGTTAACTTAAACGTGCATTGTTACGACTGGGGGAATAACAAAATTCCAACATTTAAGAATGCATCTTGACTTAAATGTTCGTCCAACGAAAGCTTTCAAACAAGAATGTTACAGGTGGATTGTGTGAATATTATTTTACATAAAAATATGAAAAAAATGGGTTTGTTGACTGAAACCAACAACCTGTTTATTTATTAATCTGTATGTATTTTTTGTTAAGTAACGATGTTTAAATATTTTTAGAATGTCTGCTATTAGAAAATAAAACTTTACTATTAGAAAAATAAAGAAGGATAGAATATAATTGACATAAATTACCTTGAGACCTTTTGGTGGATTTGGTTGGTAAATGTAGAAATTGGTGGAGATTTTAAATTAGATGAAACCGTGTTAAAGTGTTTTAAATAGTCGTTCTTTTGTGTGATTTAAGTTGAAAAAATATAAAAACCATAACATCGGAAGTGTCACAGGCACGTAAACAACATTTCCCACCGAATGGACGAAAGCAACAAGCACACGCCCACAGCGACACAGGCACCCTCTTTCCAACTTCCAACTTCCCAACCCCCTCCAACGCAGACCTAGGCGGCAGACGGAATTGTAGGATTGAACGATTTTAAACCGACGATTTTCTCAAACTTAAAATATAACGAAAAAAGCTTTAATTGATAGAATAAGAAAGCCGAGTCGCTCTAAATGACTTTATTCAAATGAAAGCTTCCAAATGGCTTTTCGTCGGATATCCTTGAATAGAGCCTATTAACGCCTAAAGACCACACCTCATCCGTGAATGTTATGAGAAAAAAGCTTTGTGTTTTATGAAAGAGCGTAGTTTGTTTTCTCAAGGCACAAGGTTGTTATCCATTGCGATAATAGGCGAATGTCCTACTTACGACTTTACACGCTTAACAAAAAACGTTTCCTAAGAATATTACAAAGAGAAAAACAAGGCAGGGCACTTGTTTGTCTTGAATTTTAAAAGGAAACGTTCACGAAATTGAATATATTTATGACACGCATATATTAAAAAAACTTTAGTACCAAAATGTTACGATAAAAGTTGTATCCTTATTTACTTGACGGGCAGCCACATCTTTTTTTAATAACACAACAGAAAATACACAACGAACAGAAAAGTACATTAACATAATTTATAAGAAATAATAATTGAAGTAATGACAAAAATAAAATACTATAATATGAAATTATTATAAAAATGTCTCAAAACATTCTTAAAAATGTCTCAATTTTGTGTGAAAAAAAATTTAATTTATACAACAATTTTAATACATTGTTGACAAGGTCTGTTGTTAGTTTTAAGCCTAGGGATACTTATTTCATTTTTTCCACCTTTTATAACAACGCATTTAGTGACAGCTTCTTTTGCTATGGATAAATTTGTTGACTATTAAAATTTATTTTCTTATTTTATTTATTAATTCATTTTTTTATTAATTTAGAATCAAAGGTGGAATCAATAAGTCTTTAGTCCCAACTGTTTATTATTTTATTCAAAAAGCTTTTCACTTACATTGTAAGCATCTTCAGGCCTTATCCTAATCTTATACTTTACATCTAATGAATTGAATGAAACAATTACATTTAATGAAAAGAAAAAATATAAACCAGTTAACATGAGAATATACTAGAAATGATGAATGATGGAGTGAGTGCAGTGTTCTCTTATTGTGAGTAGGAACTATCTTTTTTAAAAAAGGATTGAGAATATACTATGATAAAAAAAATTAACTGGTTTATATTATTTTCTTTTCGTTAAATGTAATTATTTCATTCAATTCATTAGATGAAAAGTACAAGATTAGGACAAGGGTTGAAGGTGCTTACAATGTAAGTGAAAAGCTTTCCGAATTAACTAATAAACAGTTGGAACTTAAGGCTTTATTGATACTCAACCTTTGATAATGGAGTTCCACCAAAAACGTACAACGAACCTTGAAAAAATTTTTGATAATTTAGAAATATATTTTCAAATGTTTTTGTTTTTCACATAGAATTGAGACATTTTTATGAAGGTGTGGAGTTATAGGGGGACAACATATTTTTCACACAAAATTTAGAATACATTTTGAAAGATACGTCCGAGTTTAAAATTTATTATTTTTTTATGTTTTCAGGAGACTAATCACTATCAAAAATCAATTAATTTTTTCTAAGGTGTTGGTTGAGATGAAAAAGCGAGATTCGAACCCACGACCTTCGGCTAAATACGCCGCTAATTTACCTTTTTTATTTCAACTAAGACCTTAGAAAGAATAATGAATTGATCGAAAGAAATAATTTGATCAATTGACTACGAAAACGTAAATGGATTACAATCAAAAATTTTGAAAAAAGTAATAAAGTCCCATTAAAAAAAAGAAGGGTTAGATGGTGTATTCTGCAATTTTACAGAGAAAAAACAATTTGTATTAGCAAAAATAAAGTACATTAGAGACCATGAAATACGTGTATTTTATTTTTTGATTTTTTAAATTTGCCTTAATAAAAAAAAAAGTGGGTGAAGCACTTAAATCGGTCACCCTGTATTAGAAGAATATAATTGCTACAATACATCAAGGTGGAAGTAATAATTAATTTATTTCAATTAATTATTCTTTTTATGTAAGGTCTTGGTTGAAATGAAAAAGTTCACGAGCGGGATTCGAACCATCATCATTTCATTCATTTCACATTTCAGCCAAGGCCTTACGCAAAAAGAATAATTGAAAGAAGTAATTTGGTCAAACAGACCACTAAACATAGAAATTATTAATTTATTAATAATTTATATTAATTAATAATGAATTAATTGATATAATAAGCAAGGGAAAATACAAGTAAAACTATATATTGTTAGTTAGGAATATCACTACAAAGCAGTGTATTCGTCTGGAAGATTGCTCTGCAGAGTGCGGGCGTTCGTTATCTGGATTGGTGGCACCCCTTCCACTAAACTTGTCAACACGTGCTGATTTGTGTTTACGAAAAGTTTACAGATCGAGCAGTGTTTTTCTTTTTATTTTTTTTTTTTTAGACTGGGTTTATTGAATTTTACCCTGAAAAATATGAGCGATCCTGCAGAATCATTGCGTCTTATAGTCCAAAATGACGATAGACTGGAGCTTTTGAACTATTTGAACTGTTGTAAAGAAAGTAAAATCTTCTCTCAAGAAGTGAGTTTTGCCTTGGTTTAATTTTACGCCGGTCAAATACATAATATTTATATCACATTATTTAAAAAAAAGACACAAGAATTAAAGGTTGAGATTTAATGCTGACTTACCGGTATCTTTCACCTATCCATTATTTACTTCTCAAGAGATACCTCCAGAAAAGTGAACACCACAAGACAACTTGTTGATTTCAAGAATTCAGTTAAAATGCTTTGGTTCTTCCTTTGTCTATATTTAAATATTAAAACAGTAGGATTAATATATTAAAAATTCAATATGTGTTAAAACTCATGTTTCTATACATGCACACCTTCCGTCACTTGATCCCAAAGTTTCTTAATTTGAGAAGAAAATAATTAAACAAAAACCAAACATTGTTGCTGTGTTGTATACTTCAGTATGAACAATGAACTTCGCATGTAAAAACTAACGACATTCCATTAAGAATGCACTGCATGTAAGGGTTTTTATCAGCAACTATTGTTCCTTTGTAAAAAAATAAATAAAAGGGCATTTTAAGAAGGGAGCCAGGGTGTTCATCCTACCAGGCTGGTCTTGAGGACTGCTGGCTCGGTGGGGCGGTCCACACCAAATAGCATAGATGGCAAGATGTACACTAGTATAAGCCTACAAAAAAAATACTTTAGCAAATTAACATTTTCTCTCAATTAAAATCTTTGTTGTTTTGTTTGATTTTTAATTATACACACAAATTTTTACAAAAATCATATTCATTTAGGCATAGACAACAGAATAATAATTTTATTAATAGCAAATAGCCAATTTATTATCTACTTATCTATCTGTCAAGGCAATCTTCAGCATCTGTTTCCTTTTCTGCATATTCCATTATGTTTGGCTTTTTCCCTTAACATAGTTCTGGTGTATGGTGTACTATAACCTAATTGAGGGTCGATGAGGTATTCAATATTCTGCCTCATTCACATCAATAAATACATTCACTCTCAAAACATGCTAGGGGCGCACAATTATCAGGAGGACACAATAATATAAGACTCTCTTTCAAGTATCAGAGCAGTGGACCCTGATACTCACTTCCATGATCAAGCACTCCTACGCGCTCTCTATATGGAGCCGAGGAATTGCACACTTCAGTTAGGTGGAACACATTGATCAAACTTTCTTTACATGCCAGTCACATCACGGACTTTGGCCCAAAAGTAAGTGCTGTGTGTCAACCTCGCATGGCCTACCCTTAATCAGGTGTGGATGACCCTTCTACGAGTCAGATTTTCAAGGCTCACCTTTTGACTGATCTGATACACCTTGATCAATCTTGAATTTTTATAAGTAAGAGCTTCTTTGATAATCCACCCCACCGATGCTGCCACTTACTTTTAATCATGCATTTTTAGCATCAGAGGGCCAGATTGCGGTAGTCAGTTTTTTGGGAGACAAACAAACGGTTTTATAATTTTTTAATAGTTTTGTATTGTTTTATTAGTTAAAATTTTAAATTGTTTTATAGTTTTGTGTGTTTTATTGTATGTTTTAGGATGATGTTTGGCCCACCCTGATTTCCAGCATGAACAAATTTATAAATGATCGATCAAAGCGTATTTACGGATTGATCATTTTGGAAAAGTTGCTGGACCAGTGCCCAAAGAGCTTCATCAGTCCGAATTTGATATTTTGGATCGATCAGTGTATCAAGGGAAATTTTCAAGTGGACGATGAATCAATAATGACGCTATCAATCAGTCTCTTATGTAATCATTATTTCATTTAATACATATACTCATCAAAGATTTCAATAGAATTTTTTTAGGGCAATAAAATAAAATTTGTTTTCATTATTGAACGTACATATTACAACTGTGACAGACACTTACTTCTGTTGCAGTCTTGGAAGTTAGAATGACTCACTTTTATCACCTCTTCTAAAACATAGCCATAAAAATCTGTTTAAAAAAATTGAGCTTCTTCATCATCAAAACTCCATCAAATGCTTATACAATTATTTTTCTTATTCTATTTAGCTCAACTTTTAACTATGTCGGTGGGGTTTTCTGATGTAAAAAAAGAAATAACTTTGACATTGCTGCCAAAAATACTTGATAGTTTTTTCAAGCATGGCAATCTGAAACAGGTAGTTTTTTATAACAAACCTGTAATCAGAAATAGTAAATTGTAATTTTTTTTTTCTTTAGGGAAACAAGTTTGAGAAATTAAAATGCTTGGAAGTAATCCTCAAATTATATGCCAAATCTTGTGCTAAATGGAAGGTATGCATGACAGTTAATATGTAATGTGATATAATAATATGGGTTTTCTACTTTTTTTTTCTGTTTCAGGAAAATATTCATCAGTATATTTTTGAACATTTAGAGAGTGGTGATGCTGAAGTGCATCATGCGGGGATGTGTTATCTTTATCTAGCCCTTGCTGGGCCTCCGAGTACCCAAAACGTCAAGTATACTGAAGCGTGGAAACAACAGACTTATTATATAATTTCTGCCCTTCACAGTAGGCTTAATATTTTGTTTGAAAATATAAATGAAATTCAGGTTCTTTACTTTTTAAATATTAATTACTTTACATATTTAATTGTAATTTAATATAAAATTGATGAATTGTAGAGTCCCTACAATGATTATCTAGTTGAAGTCGATCTGAAGGACCTGGCTGATATTAATTTGGAAAAGTCGTTGTTTACAAAAATGCAAAGGGTGACTTCTCAGTTTAAAAACCTCGCGGAATTTCTGTACATATTGTGCAGGTACAATTTGGGTTCATGATCTCTGTAATTTTGTTGAAAATACAAAGTTTAGCTGTTATGTTTTAGAGCCAAAATTCCTTGTCAGACTCCTATTCGAGTCGAAGCTATACTCAGCATTATATGCAGGGGCGCAGCAGTCAACGGTCAAACCTTAAAAGCGAACGTTTCTGCAGATTCGATCAATTTGCTGACTCAAATGCCTGTTATACATCAAGCATGCATACGTTTAGCCGAAGCATTGATATTGAGGTACATGCACTGAATTTATTGCTAATCAAATAGCTAAACAGTTCTGTTTTAAAACATTTCTTTCTGTATTCCTTAGTTTAAATTTCAACGTATTTCGATACACAGTAATACCAAAAGTTCTTTTACAAACCCTTTCCTGGACTCAAAGCTCAGATTGGCCCATTGGACATCAGAAACCATATTCGTAAGTGGTTAATATCTGTGTTAAGGAAATATGAAAATTTCTATTAAAATATTTATTGTAGAAAACTTCGAATAAGTGCTTATAGATGTTTAAGCTTATGGATGTCCACAACACACTCAATTTACTCTAGATCAGATGTAGAACAATATATTGAAGATATTATACATAACATAATTACTGATATTTCTTATAAAAGAGAAACAGTAACCCTTAATGTAAGTGTAGTACATTTAATTTTTAGTTATTTTAATATAACATGTTTTGCAATTGATATAAATTGTTATTTATAAGATGGAAATGGGAGGAAAATCTAAAAGAAAATCAAAAAAATTTAAAGCTTCTTTAACCACAAAGGAGAAATCTTCACCTTTCATTGAAAATCATCTCGCCAACAGTGACATCTGCCATGCAGCCCTAGAAATCATTCAACCATTTATGGAAGGAGCTAAATATGATATTAATGAAGATCATTTTTCAGTAATTCCTAAATAGTTAACTTTATCATGAACTTAATAAATAATGATGAAGTTTCATTTGTCTCAAACTTTTTTTTTAGAAATTGCTGGAAGTTATTGTTGGTCTATTGTCATCTACAAGCTGTTCAGCCAAGGGTGATAAAATTTACCCCATGCCATACAGTGATGATAACTGCCGACTGGAACTTTATCGCAGTCTTTTAGTCATGACGTTATACTGCAAACCTCAATTTCCTTCACCCGTACTCTACGCCAGCAAACTATTCCAAGAAGGCTATCATGACACCTGTCCTGAAGTATGTCCTTGTAAATTAAAACATATTAGAATTGTTAATATTCTTGTTTTCTATTTCAGATCTCTAAATTCTGCGCCTTTGCCATTTTGAGTGTTAACAATGTACTCTACCCGAACGTCCCATTGGAAGGATTTGTTAAGAATGCCGACAAACTACATAACTATTTGCAGAGGTTCAAAATTGAGAAAAAAAGAGAGACTAGATATGATTCTGAGGAACTTGAGAGAGATAACAACCTTGATATTAGCAATAAAGATATATCAATTATAAATGAATCGGCCAGTTTGACATGTGAAGATGATTCTGTTCTGAACGATCTTCCAAATCAGTCTCTGTCGAGAAGCCCAGTTTTTAAAGAAACGGATAAGGTCCGTGAAGCCAGCCCAGGAGAGAGCACGTCAAAACAGGCCGAGGAAAATAACAGCACACCATGCAAAGAAAGCACAACGGCTGATATTGAAACAACAGATCTGTCAGACTTGCATACCGGTAAAAGAACACCCGATAGAAGCAACTCTAGGAACCAAAATGCTAAAAGGATTAAATTTCAAATTGTTGAGGAAAGAATAGATGAAGAGTCAGAATCTGGAAATGATGCAGTTACATCTGAAAATGAAATTATTTCGACTGAAGTTAAAACCTCTGAAAATGAAATCGTTTCGACTGAAGTACCCACCTCTGAAAATGAATCCGTTTCAGATCCTCTGGAAAGCGAAATGTTAGAAAGTTTTGTTGATGTCGTGTAAATATAATAGTTTTGTTTTATAATTAAAAATATAATATGGACTAAAAAAGTAGTATTACTTTCTTGTATTTTTCCTTATATATAACCTATTATGTATCAAATTATTTTCTTAAAATTGAATTTGTATTAAGTTTCTCCCTTGAAGATAGCCATACCAACTAGTACATGCCATGCCAAAACCTGGTATAGCCCATAAAAATTAATTAACTAAATAACACATTTGTTACGGTCGTTTCTGTCCTGTAATGACGCACTAAACCCTCCCCTTATCGGATATCATTCTAGAACTATGCACTTCTTGTACAAAACCCCTTTTTAAAGCTTGTAGGGTGCTGGGGGGTCTTTTTAGAATTGAATCTGCGTCAGAGGTATTCAGTATCGCTTTGGCAATGTTGCTGTGAAAGTCATTTTTCAATTTGATCTTTTGAAATTTTTTTACAGCGTTTTGAAAAAAAATTTTAAATCAAAATCTAACAAATCAGTGCCATAATGAGTGCGTTAACTGAAAAAGAAAAATGCCTTACCACAATTAGTCTTTTTGTTTAAACAATTTATTTAAATTAAAGGTTAATTAATTTTTTTAAAGGGTCTTTAGAAAGTTAATACATAAGAAGGCAGTTAAAATTATTTTACTAAAATTTATTTGCCATCACATACATTTGTAAACGAAAATACATGCTCTTTTGTGATCATTTAATGTAAATTAAATTAAATTTTGTTATACCACTTATAAAGTTTTATCCAAATGGACTACCAAAACCACCGAATAGGCCTTGCTTTTTTGTAGTGGCTTGTATTTCAGGTTTATTTGTTGGATTTTCATTTGATTGCTTATTTCCTCCCCAAAGGTTTCCTAATGGATTAGACAACTGAGGAACAGATGGTGGTTTTTCTGTTGATCCCCAAACCTTATTTAACGGATTGGACAATGGTGGAATCGTGGGATTGGTAAGTAAACTGCCATCTCCAAGTTGAGAGATTTTGTCCAGGCCAAATCTGCCAGACGCATCATTTATCCCACTGAGCAATGTACTACCAGCGGACTTGGCGAAATCTCCTGCCTGGCCAATGACACTGCATTCTGGCGATTTGAGCAATCCTTCATCACCCGACCACATGCCCATTTCACATTTGTGGAAGTTTTTGGCAAGTTTTGGTTCATCATTTATTATCATGTAATTTCCGTCTTTTGCAGTGAAAGGAGTCCAGTCAGATCTTGGTATCCTGTATATCAAAGGACATTTAAATTCCATTAAAATTTGCATAATAATGTAAGCACTTACCCCGTACGGGCAAATTCAGCCACTAATGTTGTAAAATGGTCTCTGACTGTTTCATCAACTTTAGAAAATTCATCATTAATCAATGGTTCACCTTCAAGACTCCTTATGTCAAATAAATAAACCAAATCATCACCATGTTCAGGACCTGAAAAAATATTTTAGAACAACTTTTTTTAAATAATAATTACTCATTTCACACCTGTCTTCTTTTCAGTTTTTGAAGAACGTGGTGACTCCAATGGAATTCCAAGAAATGGTTTGGAGTTTACTGATTCTTGAGGAAGATGCTCAAAGCTATACAGATAGACTTTGGTTTTCTGTGACCAAAGATGTGAAGTTATGAAAGCAGGCAGATTGAAAAAAGCATCTGTAGTATGCTGAAAATATAATTACAGTAAATTTATTTGTAGTTTTTTAAGGTGAAAAAGAAAAAAAAAAAAATCATTACTTTGACTATCTTCTGTACATCACTTAAGGCTGAAGATATAAGCATTGTGAAAAACTTGATGTAATTTCCATTAAGGAATAGAGAGCTTAATTGTGGGTTAACAGTCCTGTTAACAAAAAGACCTGAAAAATGGAAATCAGTAACAACAACAACTTATCTGCAACATAAAAAATAAATAACATATATAATACATATAAAATAGGAAATACACCCACCTGTATTGGAATTAAGAGCCCCTGTGAATATTTTAGACTGCAAAAATTGTGGTGAAGTAAGTTGCTTTTTTACTTCTTCCAAAAAATTTCCTGGAAATTTTTATAAGTAAAATTATTAATTTTCTTAATAATTATTATTAATATTTCAAGAGCTACGGTCTAGATACTATTTATGTTTACACATAAGCTAAAACAAAAGTTGTGAAATGTAATGTGATCTGTGAGGTGATCAACACAGTTTGATCTTTTTATAATCATCCTGGTCTGCCTATTTTCAATGGTTGTATGTACCATTTTGGTATTTTACCAAAAAAAAATTTCTCCAAAAATTAATTAATTGTGAATTAATGATATGTTTTTTATTCACTTTTTAGAAATCAAACTGAAGCACATCTGATAGAACCAGGGTGATCAAAGAGGAGGACTAAGCATAAGAGTCATTTTAAAAGAGTACTAAGTTCCGAAATGCAATTGATTTATGTTGTTAATTACCTTTTACACCTCCACCAGTTTCTTCCTTTGTGACACCTGTCATGAGTGGAATTTTTGGAAAGTGGCCTTTTTTAATAGCTTCTAATGGTGATTCCAACATAAAATTTGGCAAAAATCTCTCATCATCGTTGCCTTCTTGAGCAGGGCCGGGTCCATAAAGATTGGCCAGACCTTTGGGGAATTCATTTTTCTTTTTTCTTTTCATCTAAACAAACGCTTGAAATTAAATTAAAATTTTAGTTCAAATTTGGCACTCGTTACCTCAACGTTAATATCTCCTTTCATGACTTGTTCCAAGGGAAGTTGTTGCATACATCTTACAAACTGAACCCCTTCTTTTGAATCGCACCCATTTTCAACTGAAACCTCATCTGAAGTAACAATTTCATTTTCATCCGTTGAAAATGGTGAGACAGGTGTTCCACTCATAGCAAGGATACCAGTCAAAGATGCTAAAAGAAAAATTTGATATAAAACAAATTTTTGAATTTAAAAAAAATATATTAAAAAAGTACATTTTGTTAATTTATTAAGAGCAAGCATTGTTGCACAGCTTGCACCACTTCCTTGCCCAGCTGGTACGATTTGTTTTGGGTTCCCTCCAAAGAATTTAATATAATTTCTCACCCATCTGAGAGCCAATGATATATCAAAAAGTCCAACATTTCCTGGCAGATCCTTCCTGCCTAAACTTAAAAATCCTGCAAAACTATAGTTAGTTTTGTATAATTTTCTACTACACATTTTCATAAAACTAACCAAGAGATCCTAGTCTGTAGTTCACAGTTACGACCACTACACCTTTTTTAACTAAATGAGTTGGTACATACTGGGCCGATGATCCTGTTTTATAGTTTCCACCATGAATCCAAAAGATGACTGGGCGTAAAGAATCACCACCAGTTGACGGTACCTAAAACAATATAACATATTTATATAAATATATAAGAAGCAATAAAGAAATTATTTTCCATTCTAAAGAATAACATTGATTTAATGTACAACCTTTGGAGTAAAAACATTCAAATGTAAACAATCCTCATTTCCAACGATACTTCCTGATTTCGAAGGATTTGGCTGAGGACAAGGAGGTCCAAACTTTGTAGCATCGATTTCTCCTTTCAACTTAACACGTTTTGGCCTCTGAAAAAACAAACAATAGTATGTTAATGATGTTTACTAAGTGAAATCAAAATATACTACATAATGAATCATCAATATTTTATTACTTTTCTAAACGAATCATGGTAAAATATCAGTAATACATAAATCTAGCTAGATTCTGCAAAGTTAACATTGCAAAATATTGCTTTGAGATATGCAAAGTGATGAAAAATGCATCTTGATCACCTTTGATCATACTTATCATATCTTAACAAAACAGCAACAAGGATGGTCAGATATGATCAAAATACCAATTTAATTGTGCTACCATGTACGGTGGTTTCTTTGAACTGCACATGCTTTTTGATATAATTGAATGGTTAAATCACTATAACTTTATCACATCAAAATAAATACAGGTTTAATAATTCCTCTATTTACTTGAAAGATTTGTTCAACTAATGATAGAGTAAGGGAAATGTTTACATTTTCATTGAATACAAGTTGTAATTATATTTCACCAAATATTTTTTTCTTGTATTTTATGATAGCATTTTTAAACTAATTATATATATTTATAAGAATCGTCTGTTTAAAAATTAGGTTTTTCTGTCTTATTTAAAGATGTCTGCACTGAAAAAGTATGGTACACTTTCAAATTTAACAATGATTTCAAAAGTGGAAGTGGGGAAGGAAATGGTACAAATCCTGAAATATACATTTTTTAAATAAAGAAGAAAACGAGAAGGAATGCAATTAACTCTCAAGGTTTGCGTTCTGGCATTTCAGCAGGAAACCTGTCTTGAACAAATCAGGGCCATTTAAAAGCAATGCTTTACTTTTCCAAAAGTGAGACAAACAATTTTTTTTTATTAACAACGCATTTCTTACTTTTTTGATCAGATTGCTCACATTTCAAATTGATTCTGACTGTAAATGTTGAAAAAATGATACATACATCATGAATGTTCATACATAACTTTAAACAAAATATAAAATCTCTGTTTATATAAATATGTATCATATAAATATGAAACAACCTGTTGTTTGCAAGAAGAAATACTGAACAGATTGGGTTTTCTCCTATAAAATGCGATTTTTAATATCAGTTAAAAAGACCCATTAATAAATTTATTAAAATATATACAATTATATAAATTCACGGATTTCACTATGAGTATAGACGTGTGGGAAAAGTGTTGAAATTATAAAGTGCAAGAAAATTAAGTAAACCATAAAAAATGATTTTTAACTAATTATAACATATACCTTACAAAAAATATTGCAAGAACGAAGAAAATATTAAAGTAAGTCCACTTTATTGCTTTATCTAAACTTACTTTTATTTTATTATCTATTAATATTTTATACCTTTTTTATTTACATATTTGGATAGCTACACCTGGTATTTTTGGCTTGTTTTAAATAAACACAAAAATTGTAACATCTATGAAAACGTTACAGTTTCTGAAATAGCACTAGGTTGTCTAACTAGAGGTTTGGTTTCTGTTTAATGGTTTACTTAAACTCATTTAACTTAAATCATTAAACTTATTTTGACTTAAAATCTTAAAAGATTAAAATTTAAAAAAATCTTAAAGAGATTTCCCATCGCACATACACCAAATACACAAGATACGAAACAAACATACAATATAACTAAAAAACCATTAAACAGAATACAATTTCATTTGGTTTAAGTGTTTATTTAAGTTCACAATGAAATGAAAAAGAGCCAACAAAACAATAAATATATTTTATTAAAAAATGTATAAATCGAAAGTAATGACAAACAACAAAAATTATACTGTCGACACTCCACAAAACGAAATTATTTAGATTAATCGTTTATTTAAATTCATAATGAAATTAAAAATACCCAACAAAACAATAAATACCTATCGAAAAATCTATAAATCGAGATTCACGCAAAAAAATCTATGAAATGTATTTTTTAAATCGAAATTTATCCTGTTGACATCACATAAAACAAACATTCAACAATGTAACTAAAAAGCTATAAAATAGAATATAATTTCATTTTGTATAATCGTTTATTTAAATTCACGTTGAAATATAAAAATACCCAACAAAACAGTAAATATCTATCGAAAAATCTATAAATCGATATTTACGCAAAACAAAATCTACGAAATGTATTATGTAAATCGAAATTTATTCTGTCGTCGACATCATATAAAACTTTCAACAATCTAATAAAACAACTATAAATTGAATACAATGTTTAAATTAATCCTTTATTTAAATTACCGTTGAAATGAGAAATACCCAACAACACAGTAAAAATATTCTATTAAAAAATCTGTAAAGCGGAATTTAGCAATTAAAAAAAAATCCTGTCGGACCATACAAAACAAACATCCAAATATGTTACTTAATAAACACTATACAATAGAAGACAATTTATTTCATTTAGTTTACTCGTTTATTTAAACTCTCTTTAAAATGAAAATTCCCAACAAAACAATAAATTTATGTAGAAAAATATATAAATCGAGATTTACGAAAAAAATCTATGAAATGTATTCTGTAAATAGAAATTTATCCTGCCGATAATACACCAAACAAAGATTCAACAATGTTAATAAAAAAATGTAACCTAGAGTACGATAATTTCATTTAGTTTAATCGTTTATTTAAACTCACTTTGTACTGAAATATTACCAACAAAACAGTTAATATCTATTGAAAAATCTATAGATCGAGAATTACGCAAAAAAAAAATCTAGGAAATGTATTATGTAAATGGAAATTTACCCGTCGACACTATATAAAACAAACATTCATCAATCTAATTAAACAACAGTAAAATAGAACACAATGTTATTTAGATTAATCGTTTATTTAAATTCGCATTGAAATGAGAAATACCCTGCAAAACGGTAAAAATATTCTATTAAAAAATCTGTAAAGCGGATTTACGAATTTAAAAAAATATCCTGAAGAACCACACAAAACAAACATCCAACAATGTTACTTAAAAATCACTATAAAATAGAAGACAATTTCATTTCGTTTACTCGTTTATTTAAACACTTTGAAATGAAAAATCCCCAACAAAACAGGTATCTGTCGAAAAATCTATAAATCGAGATTTAAGCAAAAAAAAAAAAAAAAAATCTACGAAATCCATTTTTAAAAAAGATAGTTCCTACTCACAGTAAGTTGTTTTCCAACGCGATCCAGATTTCGAGCCCTTAGCTCATCATCAGGTTGAAGGATTTCTACAACCACCTGATGGTGAGCTAAGGGCTCGAAATCCGGACCTTGGAAAACAACTTACTGTGAGTAGGAACTATCTTTTTTAAAAAGGACTGAACACCGCGCTCACTCCATCATTCATCATTTCTAAATCTACGAAATGTATTATGTAAATCGAAATTTATCCTGTCGACACTACATAAAACAAACATTCAACAATCTAATAAAACAATTATAAAATATAATTAAATTTCATTTAGTTTCATCGTTTATTTAAATTCACGTTGAAATGAAAAATCCCCAACAAAACAATAAATATATATATAGAAAAATCTATGAAATGTATTTTGTAAATCGAAATTGATCCTGTCGACACAACATAAAACAAATATTCAACAATCTATAAAACAACAAAACAAATTCTGTAAATAGACATTTATCCCTTCGACACTACATAAAACTAAAATTCAACAATCTTAATTAAACAACTATAAAATATAATTCAATCCCATTTAGTGTCATCGTTTATTTAAATTCAAATGGAAATGAAAAATACCCAACAAAACAGTAAATACTCTATCAAAAAAGCTATAAATCGAGATTTACGGCAAACAAAACAATAATTTATTAAATGTATAATGTAAATCGAAATTTGTGGTGTAGGCACCACAAAAAACAAGTATATAGCAACGTATATGGTAATAATTAAATAACAAGTATTAATCTTTGAAGAAAAAGCTAGTGAAATGAGGCGTAAAATATTTTGTGTAGTTATTATTTCAAAATGGTTGAACCAAGTCACTCAAGAATATAAATTTTTAAGCCTTTTTTTTCTTTTTTTACCTGAAACCTAAATCTTTTAATAGGCGGCTCTGCGTATCTGATGCCGAGGAAGCTGGACGTGCCGTCTTCGTTCGTAATCCCGTTGACAACTGCACTCCTTCTTTCTTTTTTGACGAAAACGACTGGCTCCGTCACCGACGGCACTTGAGTGGTCGTAGTGCCGAGTGCCGATATGTTGAAGAACGGCGGCACTTTGGCGGGCTCGCCCCCAACGATCCGCTTCACCCGCGGGTGTTCCTGGCCCGCAGCGATCACAATCGAACAAGCTAACAACAGCAGCTCCTCCCAACAGCGCATCTTGTCGACTGGAAGTGGAAGGCCTGCCCGAGATTTGCATTCACCAATTATTAGCACCACAAGGACGACCGGGTTTTCCAGAAAAAACGATCCTTGTGCGGGAGATCCTCGGACTCAAGGCCAATGATGGTTAATCTCACGTATATTGTTGTTAAAGTGAATCAACAATTTATCTTTGCCGGTCGTGATTTTATTATCACTTGAACAAAAAATAAAAAGTTCATCAAGATAAAAAAATAGAAATAACTATTCAACCCGGTATAACATTAATTACAATACTCAATTTTTAAGCTTTTAAATATTAAAGAAAAAACTATTTGTTTTTTAAAAATTTAACAAAAGTACACACTTTTACTTCAAAAATTTACACACAAAAATTCACCAAAACACCAGAAAATAATTTAAAGACATATTTAGGGATGGTAACCCTAACCATCCCTAGCGATATATTAAAATTTAACTAACAATTTAGTCTATCACTAAATTTAACTTGTTATTTTAGTGACCTGTTGTTTCGTAATTTGTCGTGAGTAGCGGTCAAGAATGAGGTAGTGTTGTGTAGGTAATGAGGTAGTAAACACCTTTTTCATTTTTTTGCCGGCCTTTATTCGGGTCATTTTCAGGGCATAAAGTGTAGTTTTGTGTGAAAGTGTTGTGTAGCACAAAACCAATGACGTCACAAGAATAGCTCAACATTTTATGAACTGAAGATGACCCGAATAAAGGTGGAACTACCTCATTAACATCAACAAATTACTAAATTTAACGTTGTTTTGGTTAATTTTCTTTCAAACCATCATAATTAAATAATTTTTATTATAACTCATATGAATTACTGATCTCGTTTTTTTTTGTTTACATTAAAACATTTAAAATATTTTGTAATTAGCATAAGGGACCACAGAAGCCAAGTGGTAGTGCGATGACTCGCTCGTAAAGGTAACACCCAGTCATGAGTTTGATGCCCACCGACCCCTCCCTGATCTTTTTTCACGCAACCCTTCCCCCCCCAAAAAAAAAGAAATGCACATCACATATACACAATCATGTTCCTTAGCTAAAGATTAAAAAAAATATATATAATAAACAATTTGAAATAAATATGTGTCCAGATTTTTTTTTGTCTTTGAGTATATATATTACACAAATACTTTCTTAACATTCGATTTACTTTGTCACACTGAACAACTTCTGAAACTTTGAGCAATACACCTTTTAATTAATTACAAAGCTGACTTCCAACACAAAAATTCATCATGGTGCCATAACAAATCAACAAAAAACTGCTAACTTTTTGAACTTGACGAATTTTTTAAAATAAAATGCACCGATAAATGTGTAAGTAAATATGTACAAATATGATAAATGACTTTTCATTTGTGAAAAAATTTACACAAGTGAAAAATTGTTGCTCAATATAGGGATAGATATATTTATTAGGATTATAAAAATAATACAATTCGTACTAAATATTTTATTTCATATAACCCCGAAAACTGTAAACCACATTTGACTACTCACTGACATCACAAAATGTTTTAAAGCAAATTATTTACAAGTCCAAACTAAATTAAAACTAGAAATGCAACTTAAATCAGAAATGATTAAAGAATTCTCAAATAAAATTAGGATTTCAAATGCCTTACCAACAATCATCACAGGTTACATTTCATTACGTAGACAATTACAGTTGACAACAGCATTCTGCAACATTTAATTCAACCATTTTTAAGGGGCTACAGTAGCCAAATGGATTATACAAGTCTCAGTTCGTATCATGATTCTTGGTGGACGTTTTTTTTTTTTTTTTTTTTGATGCAGAGCAGTCTGGGCTGAGTCCAAACATTGCATATTTTCAGTGCAGATTCTGAATCGTGACATGGATCAACTAGTCCCAGTGTGTACTAGATGTAGATGTAATAGTCAGGGTATAATATACTGCGCCCTTTAAGAGCTATTGTCTCCCAGTGTGTACGTACTAGGCTTTATACAAATCGAATGCTGTAATTTTTAAATTAGTATTTTATATCATTAATTAACCAATTCTTTACAAAATGTAATTTTTTGGTGATGTAGATATATGTTTGAGCAATTAAATTGAATAGTAGATATGATTTTCTACGATCATCCTAGTCTAGCTAATCTTTCAAGGTTTATCTTACATTTTGTCTGTTTCTGTCAAAAATAATAAAACATTGAAGATGGCTAAATGAATGATTAAAAAAACATAAATACAACTTTATCAGATAATTGTTAAAGATCCTCAATAAACATTAGGATTTCAAATGCCTTTATATAAATCATCACAAAAGTTGTATTTTTGTAAAAAAAAAAAAAATTCATTCTATCATTGTAGGATTATCCCCTTTCAGGACAGCCAGTGCTAAATGTTCCTCAATTGCACTCATCCACAAGAATTCCGAGAGTTCAACTATATTCTCTTTTAGATTCAAATTCATAGAAGTGTGATGTTTGTTATTAACTTTTTAATGCTTTATTGTATTAATAACACTGTTTCTTTTAACCTCAGTCTAAAACTAAACTGTCTAATGAGATATACTCGCAGTAGCTTAGTGTAGAGATAGAGCTGAACATGATGGCGGCTCTCAGTTACTCACTAGGTTAAACAAAAACATAACACGCACCATCCTGAATGGGTTAAATTGTATGCCAAGTGATGTGGTTACTATAAAAAATGTAAAAGGTACACAACTGACAAAACAGAACATTGAAGACGACTAAGTGCAATAATTAAAACAAATAAATGCAACTTTATCAGAAAATTGTTAAAAGTTCCTCAATAAACATTAGGATTTCAAATGCCTTTACACAAATCATCACAAAAGTTGCATTAAAAAAATACAATAAAAAATAAATAAGTTGTAGAATTAATTAAGATTATCTGGAGAAAAATTATGTTTGTTTCTCTAAACTAATTTAATGCTTTAAATATTACTTTTATTGTTAGAAAGGAAAGCCTTGTTTAACGGGCATCCTTCTTAAGAAGTATTGGCATAATCACTCTTATATAATATCAATTTATTTAATTATCAAGTATTGTTGACCTATGCATAAAATTCCACCATTTTATCAGACACTATTCAATTGTCTTGTTTATGTATCAACCATGAATACCTGAAAATAAATATACATTCATTAATGATTTTTTTAAATTTAAATGAATTATATTTTAATCTAGTATTAATCAGAAATAGCCTCTAGTCAAAATGGCAAAATTCGTTCACTGAACATTCACTATCAAATTATCATCACAAATGTTTTTAAATTTAGATCAGTGACATTTTATATAACTTACATAATACAGTAATACGATGCATACCTGAAAATAAAAAACACTATTAGCAAATAAAATTAGTTTTCAGTATTAATTACAATTAATAATCTAATCAGAAATAGCCTCTAGTCGAAATGGCAAAATTTGTTCACTAAACTATCACTAATGAATTATCATGACAAATATTAAACCTTTTAAAAATTAATGTCTGTATCAAAAATATAAATAACTTACACAATAGTCACTCTTCTTTTTTTTCCAATATTGACAATAATGCTGAATACCTGAAAATAAAAAACACTTATTACAAATAAGATTGGTTTTCAACATTGATTACTATTAATAATCTAATCAGAAATAGCCTCTAGTTGAAATGGCAATGTTAGTTCATTAAAACTAATCATTAATAAATTATCATCTCTAACTTAAAATAATTAATCACTTGAGAAAAACTTACCAAATGAACACCGTCCTAAACTTCTTAAAACCAACAATACTGAATACATATAAACAAATAAAAGATTATAAGAGAAAAAACGCGCACAATAATATAGATAATTTTTTGTTTTAATCAGAAATAGCCTCTAGTCGGATTGGCATTATTCGTTCACTGAGCAGTTCACTATTAAATTATCATCATGACTTTATTTGAAAATAGAAATCAAACTATTTACTCACTTTCGTTTTGTTTTGTCCCCAGCAGAGAATTTTTAATTTTACCAAGAACATAAATTAAAACTTCCACCTACAACAATTACGTTCAAAGTGAGTCCAAAAAATTATATTAATAGACAAAATATACTTACTTGTTTTAAATTTGATTATACAAATTTTATATTTTTTATTATATTGGTTGGAAAAAGGGTTAGGAAGATTAAATAAAATCATTGTGTACAATGTAAAATATATTTAAAATTAGAACAATTACAAAGCTTAATCGTCCTTCTTCTGGTCCGTCTTTCCTCCTCTGATCCTACCTGTCCTTCTTGCAGCAATAAGACCAACCTAAACAAGAAAAATGAAATATTTATTTTTGAAATGGACGTAGAAAAGACAAAATCCGTGAACATTTGGTTCAATATATTCTCACTGTTTAGCATTTCACCTTGTTCAATGATGGTATCTTGCCAACTTTTATACATATCTCTTAGCTTCAATTTATTTAACAGTGACAACTTTGTGATTTGGACACAATGATTAGCCCTACAGTGTTTAAAAAAAGGAATCCCCCACTTTTAGGATAGAGAGATCAGAGCTATTTGATTTTTTACAGGAGACAGCTGAAGTGTGGGGTCATAAAAAAAAGTGTGAAAGAAAAGTCCTAGTTCACAGTGGATTGAAATGAGTAGCTGTCCACCCCGTTTTCTTTAAAGTTTGACAAATAGACTTACATAGTTGTTAAAAGGATAAAATTCCAGTTTTCTTAACTTGAAATTTTTTAATTGTAGAAAATAAGAAATTGATTTAATTTTTGTAAGTTATTTTGTTGTAGTGTTAATAAATTATTTGAAATTCGGATTGAATTGTATTATAAAAAGGCACCTGATTGGTTAATAGAAATAATAAACAATAAATTGTTGAAACAACAAATCTGTGAGCAGAACCATCATTACAAAGTGTCCTGACTGGTTTGTATTCAGGTCCAATCAAGACCACTGGGGCTCTGTTAATCAGGATACAGGGTTGGGCCCATCTTGCTTGGATCAAGAAGAAAAAGCCTAGCTCATAGAAGTAAAAATACACACCAGTGAAAATAGACCAAATCCAAAAATGATTTAACTAAAAATTACATATTGACAATTACCTTTCTTCCGGCACTGGTTCCTCTCTTAACCGTGGAAGCTTTACCAATATGTTGGTGATTACCACCACCGTGAGGATGCTCTACAGGGTTCATAGCAACACCTCTGACCTTAGGCCAGCAGTTACGCTTAGCCTTGTACTTATAGTAAGCCCTACCAGCTTTCAAGACAGGCTTGTCGATCCTACCACCTCCGGCGACGATGCCTAGAAAAACATGAAAAATCAGGCTAAGCAATGTACTGCGAACTTCCAAGAAAGTTGGATCAAGTAGTTTAAATTTCCCATTTTGGCTTGTATTCAACATACAATACTATTATAAACTCACTAATTTCGTGGTCCGCTTGACCAATTAATATATTACAACTATTATAAACTTTAGAACTTGTTGTTTCTGATGATTCTGGTTTGCCTACCCCTTGTTGTTTGGATCAGTGAAATTATGTTTGACTATCTTTAGTGCTGGATCTTTTCTATTCTAATTGAACAGATAGCACAAGAATGATTTTTAAAAATTAGACACAACTGAAAAATTAATGCAGACCAAATGGGGCACACGAAATGCATATATAAAAAACTAAATCAGCACGATTGTAGACTATGTTGACATGCGCACGCAAAAACCTACAAGGAAATTAATGACATTTTTTATTCACAGTGATAGGATTTAGAATGTGACTGGTTAAATTGTGATTTGGTCTTCATGGTGGAAGAGACCACTGACTCAAACTCAGGTCAGGTGAGCATGGGGGCTTTCATAAAGGCGCAAGGCGACCAAAATAGATGGATATCCCATTAAAATGTTTGAGTGATATAGGGGTGATTATTTTTAATTATATTTTTTATTTCATAATTTTTAAAATTATCATTTAATTATCTTTATTTGAAGGCACTGAATTTTAATAATTTGGCATTGGGTAAAGAATGACTTAAGATTAACTAATTTGACTGTTAATTATAGATGTAATTTAATTATTTTAAATTCAAATAAAAATTATAGTTCCCATAAGTTAATCAAATATAATTTGTGAGAATTTCCTTTTATTTTATTATAGTTTGTTCTTAAGAACCATTAGTATATACAGAAAAAGAACAACAAGGAAGGATTCTTTTCAAAGTTTGCATACCTCCATATTCTTATAAGAGGAGAATCACAATGTTAGATTTCATTTTTGTTAGTAATTAGTCGAGAAGTGTGGGCCAGGTAAGATTTTTTTTACATATTTCCCAATATTTTCCAAGAGCTGAAAGATTGAGAATATAATGGCAACTATCAAAAAACATCCTGATATAGTTTCTTCTCTGACTAACTTCTCAACTTATAATTAACAAAAATAGCTAAGATGAACAGATAGAATAATTTAAAACTGTTCAGACAGGTTTATCACCCACAGACCTAATGAGAAAAGCTCATAATAAACTTTAGGTCCAATGCAAACATTCAGCTTTTGTCACCCTGTCCCGCAGTTGTACTTGTGTAGTTATAAGTACAGAGCATCAGATTGGTTAAAGCACATGAAGCTGCTGAGCTGCAGCCGCACTGTCCGGTGCAGGATGGAACATGGGATTGTTTTTCCTAGCATTCTCGGCCACTGTGGCACCACAAGTCATTTTGTTATTTCACCCGATTTCAATAGGTGTACGCTTCCCTGCATCCTAAATAGAGTTCTCATTCCATTGAAACTGCTTGCAATGGCGGATGAAATTTATGTCGTTCTTTATACAATAAATAGAGAAAATACCCTGAAGTTGAAAATTCTGTCTATTTTGTTTGTAAATGTAATGTCTTTGTACACAAGGTAAGCAAAAAGCAAGTTTTCTACCAGACATGACGATTGTACTGGCAGAAAGTTGCTAGTCCCCCCACAACAGGACCAGACAATTGTACATTGAACAGGTGCGGGAACATAGCAGCTCAGAACAGCAAAGAGCATCATGTATGCATCAGGCATTAATGTTTTTAAATCCAAAACAACCGGATTTAACAATTGAAAGTCTAGACATTTTAATGCATAGGATTGTTCAGTAGTTTTACTTACCGACCATGGCCCTGTTGTTTGACGGAATGACCTTCTTCGCTCCAGAGGGCAGCTTGACACGGGTCCTCTTCGTATCAGGATTGTGAGCAATGACGGTAGCATAGTTACCTTCAATCAAAAATTAAAATATAATGAATAAAATCATTTGATTTTTTCTTTTTTAATTACCAGAAGCACGGGCGAGACGTCCCCTGTCGCCGGTCTTTTCTTCCAGATTGCACACAATGGTACCTTCTGGCATAGACCCTACTGGCATTACATTTCCGATGTTCAGATTGGCTGAAGACATTAAATTAATGTAGAATTTCAACTTTTTCTTTTTTTTTTAAATTAAATTGAATGTCAGGTTACCTTTCTTTCCACAGTAAAGGAATTGGCCAGTGTAAACTCCCTCGGGAGCAATGAAGAGTTCCTTCCTAGTCTTGAACCTATAGGGGTCCCTGAAGTGAACGACAGCCAAAGGAGCACCTCTACCAGGATCATGGATGATGTCCTATAAATGTGTTAAGAGGACGTATACTTTTAACATTTGCATTTACAAATTTTTGCTTATAAAAACATGCAAAATAAGATGGTTCTTGGTGAATTGAAAGTACAGACGGAACTTGGATACTTATGATCGAACCTTAACGACACCTTTGATGTAACCGTGCCTTTCGGCAAAATCAAGAGAGCGGAGTTTCGGGGCTCCTTTGCGGTGCTTGGTATGGGATGTGAAGACGCTCCCGGCACCTTTCCTCTGGGCCCTAATAACACGTCCCATCCTCTGCGAAAGAAATACGACAGAATATCACAATGACGGCCGTCAGGTTATGCATGACAACACGTCGCTCGGCGTGGCCGGAAAAAGATCGGCTTTGGAACGGAGTGGATCCGCTGGTCGGAAAAGGGCGAAAACGGAAAAGCCGATCATTTTCCAACTGCCGGGAAACGCGATGACAGAAATTTCCCATGATATAAAAGGATTACAAACACGTACAAGATGAACCAGACGAGATCGCAGAGACGAAAGAGAAACTCGGACGAAGACTACGGGAAACAAGTTTCACACGGATTCCACGGCTGTCACGATCATAACCATCAATTAAACGGATCTCTTTCCAACTGACAAACCTAACAACACGCGATTATTAATAACAAATTATTATCATTGTTAAGTTTTAATTTCATTAAAAGTTTTAATGTAAAAAAGTTAATAATCTAAAATTATAAAATGCACTTCTATACGTTTTTGAGCCGTCAGTACACCAGTCGGCCTTCAGAGGTATTCCTTTGGTTCATTCTTCTCTTCTGGTATAAGCAACATGTACTTATTGGTGAAGTTGTATCTTAGAGTAGTTCATCGATCGTTTGGACAAGTTAGATGTATCGGAATCCATCAGTCAGTATTTTCGGAGTTGTGTTTTTTACTAGGTTATCATCGCCTTTTATTTACTTGCATATTTTATTTATTTAAAATTCATTACTTTTTTTTCTTTCTTTCCCCTTATTAAATTAATTATTTCCCGCCTCTCCCTTTCAATTTATTCACTTTGTTCATTTGCTTGCTATTTCATGATTTGTTTTGCGGGGAGAGTGATGGCTGCACAGCAACGAAGCAGCACACTAGAAGGACCCAAAAAGGGACCGGGAAAAAGGGCGTCCCAGTTTTTGAACTTTAATTAGGTGTTTTTGTAAACATGGCTCGAGGGGCGAGAATCTGCCTGCACTGCCACCAGCTCGGCCCTCAGAACAAATTTGTTTTAAATGTTCTATAACTTTATCCAAGGTATCTCGTCATATCCTAAGATATTTGCTAAAAACAAATTGGTATGAGTTGGACATGTTTTTGGCGGGGACAACGTTTGCTTGGCACTTAGTACTTCTCCACATTGACACCACAGAAGTGTACTGCGGCCCATCAAAATAACCATGTGTTATATGAGTGTGACCTATCCGTAATCTGCAGATCATAACCTCATCCCTTTGTTTAAGTTGGCTTGATGTTTTCCACGGTTTGACTGATCTTTTTATAGCTCTTAGTTTATTATCTTCTGCATTTTCTCATTCTCTATTGCATTTGCTACAGAGAATCTTTTAAAAGCATAAAGGATATCTTGGGATTGTATTAAATCTGGGGTTATTTGTGTAATTGGGTGTAGATTCTGCTGCACTTTCTGCCAGTTCATTGCCTAATATACCTTGGGATCGAATAGAATAACACAGATTTTTTGTTGTAAGCTAAATTGTCAATGATTCCCGTATTTTCTGAAAGATTGCATTTTTTTCGGAATTGTTGAAAATATAATGGTGTTCGACCTAAAGGACGAAATAGTAGATAATACCGGCATTGCTTGTAAATTTAGTATCCTGTATTTTACAAACGTAAGAATTTTATGACCCATGTTTTTTGCCCTTGTTGAGAATTCTTTAATTGGCTGATCAAAAGAGTCAATTTGTGAAAAATTCAATATAGATTTATTGATCAATCAATTAAGCGAATTGCTTGTTCAGATTTTGAACGATTTTCAAGTTTTTGAACCTATAAAATTTTGGACTAGTCCGACGTAACAGAGTCATTAGCTCGTATTTTCGGAATCGTTCAAAATAAATGATCGATTCAAGAGAATCGAACTTTTCGTCTCGTTTTGTGAAAATCCAAATCAGTGCCAAAACAACAGACCGAAAAATACACCGTCCAGTCTTCTGGATCGCTGCCCATATTTGTCTTGCGACCCCGTCCCGTCTTATTACTCAACCGCAACACCGCTGAACCGCTCCAGTCTCGGTCGAGCCGCGCACCCGTCGACATCAGTTGAGAATAGATATTTATTGTATTAAATTAATTTGAAGATTTTTTGACATCAAAAGAGTAAGTTGTTTTTTTAAAAGGGCCGATCCTGGGTGAGATGTTACGTCTTCTCTCTAACACATTTACAAGATTTTCCTCAAAGGCGATTCGTCTTGTTCAAGGGACATCGGCCGCCGAACCGCCTTCGTTTCGGTTTAGAGCCTTGGCCACTGGCTCCATGGAGAAGACTGAGTTCACGAAAGAAGAGCTGAGGAAGCGGCTCGACCCGATCCAGTACCATGTCACTCAAGAAAAAGGAACGGAAAGGTCTGTGCGGTTTTTTACTTATTTTATTTATTTTAATTCTACGGACGTTGCGTAATCGCCGGCAGGACCTTCATCCCAAAACCTCGGCCTACATAGCTTATACGGTTTGAATTGAATTTTTTTTTGCAGGCCGTTCACGGGCAAATTCAACAAGACGTACGACGAAGGTATTTACACGTGCGTCGTCTGCGGCGAGAAGTTATTTTCGTCCAAGACCAAATTTGATTCCGGGTGCGGTTGGCCAGCTTTTAACGACGTTCTCAATAAGGGACTCGTCAAACTTTCTAAAGACACGTCAAATGGTAATTAAGCTTTCTAAACACCCTTGAATAAATAAATAAATATAATCGCACCTCGTGCATTTATTTATTTATTTTCACAAAACCTAATTAAGTTATTGCAATACTGTTACTACTATTTAAATAATTTGACAACCATTTGTTCCATTGTTGATAAACAATCACACACAAAACAAACAAACACAAATATATTAGTTAACAAAATTGTAGAACATCAAAATTGCTACTAAATATTCAAATTGAATATGAAATTTATTGCTCATAAAGAAGAAAATATCTTACACCAAGAGCTCAATTCATCTAAGAAACATAGGAATAATTAGAAAGAATGAAATAAAAGCATACAAAGCATAAATAACATATGAAAAAATTAAGGGTCAAACACACTTATTCTTGAAACTTCTTACTAATATATACAAAATAATTTCTTATTTATTAAATATAAAAAACACAACAAAGAATATTGTTTTCTTATTCTTTCTGTGTACCATTATGGCATAGGTTTTTCTTTATTAAGCCAAAATAGTGTGGCTTTTAACATGAAACCTTGAACAATAAAAACTGCACTTTCTGATCTGACTAAATCAAGAAAAATCAACAGAATAAGACTATTTTATTTTAACACTTTTAAAAAATATATTTTATTAAAAATTTCCTCCTCTTACCTATACTTTGAATATTACAGTACTAATTAGTTAACTTAAAGGTATACATTTTATCTCAATATTTTCTCATCAAATACACCTAGCAATCTTCAATGAGTTTTTTCAATATTCTTTCTTAATATAACTTACTACAGGGTGTCTAATTTCATTCTCCTCCTTCCCTAAATATATTTTTTATTAGGACTTTTTATAGAAAACCCCAAGATACATAAACTTTTATTTTTTGTCTTGTTTCTCATGAGCCAAAAGGTTTTAATTTTTACTCGCCGGAATAACAGGATACAAATAGTCACTTAAGTATCTCAATTGGCAATATATACATTTTTTGACGATGCATTGAACAGTGCAAACAATTTTTAATTTGGAGCAACCGTTCTTAAGTTATTCGCAAAAACTATTTCCAAGCATTGATTTTTGGTTCAACAAATTTTGCACAAAGCTGAATCATGCTTTGATGAGCAACACCTAGAACGTCCTGTTAATTAATGCTATTTGATGAAATTGTTACAAACTTACCACGAGCAAGTAATTTACTATCAATTAAAATGATAAATAAATAAATTGGTTCTTGGTTGAAGAAGGTGGAGATGATTTTATCTACCCAAAAAATAGTGTTTGGAAAAACTTTTCACAAATAACATGAGGACGGTTGCACTAAATTAAAAACAGCTTGTTCCATTGAATTCAGTATCAAAAACCTTCCAAAAAATGTATATAATTGAAAAATTATTGATGAATATTTGAAATAGTAAGTTCTCATCCATATCCCATTATCCTTGAGAGTTAGTCGAAATGGTTCATAAGAAACTAGACAAGAAACTAACCATTCCTTGTCTTGGCAGCGAGCTGGCTGAAATATGGCTGTAATATTAAATATTTGAATAATGATTTTATGATTATTTCACATATAAGAGATTGTTACAAACTTTAAATATTGATTTTATCAAATAGTTAAGCAAACATTTGTACTTTTATAAGGACAATTTAAAAACAAAAGTAAAATAAAACCATCACAAATTTTCAAAAAAATTCAGGAACATGAAATCTATAACAGAATTGTGGAGTTTATTTATTAAGTGGACTATAGTGGCCGAGGTCATTAGGTCACCAGTCTTGTACTTCAATTAACTCACAAAACACAAAGATTGTTACACACACAAGAAACTTATTTACTCTTTTTTGCAACACGGTACAGACCAAATTAAATATTAAAACATTATTTAGATTATCAACTGACAAAATTATAAAAAATATATGTTTAATAAAATCTTAATTTTTGTAATATCTCCAAAGAGCATTAAAGATCTGTCTTCACGGTTGTTGTACCAGATAAGTGGGTCATGGGAGCTGAGATCATCAGCACCAGTCTTGTGCTCATAAACAATAGGCATATTTTATATACATAAAAATAATTTAAAAAAAACAAAAAACTTCACAGTTTGGCATACAGATTGTATGGTATAACATTGCACCACAGAGGATTTTAATATTGAAAATAGTTTGATAAAGTATTGCAATATCTTTTTAGGTACCTGTAATATATTGCAATTGTTTGATTTACATTACACTTTTTAATCCCATCATGCCTTGCAAACTAATGGTTGTTTCTTCATCCGTTGTTTCCTATTATTTGCATTAAGATGTCTTAAAATCCTACCTTAACATGTTCTAATCCTTGGGAGTAGGCCGACAAAAAGCGAGGTTTCAATAAGAGCGGGTGTTGGTAATGCTTCAGACAAAAGAAACTTTTCCTCTAATTGCTTAATTTAAAAGTGTGTTATATTAGGCAAATATAAAAAAAAATTCTTACAGAGGTGTAGAATGTTTACAAGATATTTATTTAAAAGAACCGAACATTTTTTAAAACTTATTTATAAAATTGTGGTTAAATACATTGTCATTATATCATCTGTAGTTGAATATGTAACAAAAAAAATTTTTTTCTTTATATATCAAGGGTAATTTTTTTGTATGCTGTGATGTAGATTTTCTATAAATTCAGATTTGCCATATAAATAGTTATAATACTAAGTAAATTTAAGAAATTATCAATGGCATTTTTCTGTTTTGACATAACAACCAATAGAAGTAAGTTGCTCTTTTTTTCTTTTTTTTTAATTGGACACGGTCAATTATTAGAAGAGATCATTGTCTTGGTTGTTAGGAACCCATTTGTCCATCACATTTTCTCCTCATTGTATAATTGAGGAAAACATATTTCATTGAACAGTATTGTGTTTTTGATCATTAATAGTGAAAATATTAAAATTTATATTATTAGTTTTAATTTGGTTCATGTTTATTAAATTATTGTAATATTGCTTTGTTATGTAAATTTAAAAAATCCCTTCTAAGTGTTTAGAATTGAATTCAATTCATTGTTGGTTAAAACTGTCTTTGTACATCAGCTTTTTACAAATTACTAAGCTTGTTTTTTATTTTTTATTATTAACTCTTCCCTCCTTTAAAATTTACTTAAATTTTGAAAAAATCCTCTTCAAAATAATGAGCAATTCAACGTGTTGTGAGTTTTTGTGGCATGATAGTTGAGGTGTTGGTTCTTGTGCATGTTGGCATTTTCCTTTTTCCAAGGGTTGTATATATGCTAATTCGGGATTTTTCTCTTTTTCCTTTTGACTTACTTTTTCCTTCCTCCTCTCTCTCTTTCTCTCTCCATCCACCCCTGTTTTCAAAAGTTGGAGCCAACCTACTGTTATTGATCGCAAACCCAGGTCGAATCCGGACTGAAGTGCAATGCGCCAAATGCGACTCTCATCTAGGGCATGTTTTCGACGACGGGCCCAAACCTACTGGGAAACGATTTTGCATCAACAGCGCCTCTTTAAATTTCATCCCTAAGGACAAAGAATCATGAAGATAATGGAATGACAGGACAGACTGTAAAAAAAAGCATATGTACTTTTATGACACAAGTTTTAAAAAAATTGTTGGTCCATAAGAAAAGAGTATTGCCAGCTTTAAATATAATAAGTAGAAAGCAAATGAAAGTACTTGTGCTTTTTATAATTCACACTTTTATGTTTTTTTATTTGTTTTTTGAGAAAACTATTATTTATACTTCAATATTTATTGTATAGATAAAATGCAACCATTTATTTTTTTACTTTCAACTAAATCTAGTCTCTGAGAAAGTTAAAATTTAAGTCATTATAAATTAAAAAAATATATATATTTATCAAATTTAACTGTGTGTAAAATAAATAAAAAATCATAGAAGGGGGAAGGCAATATCATTTTGTATTAACTATTTGAGCAGAGTGAACCTATTTTTACTATTTGTAATTTAGTTTTTACAGCACTTGAAAGTTACAAATGTTGAAATTATTACAATGAAATTATGTGAAAAGATGTGATAATAGAAATCATATGATCGATTTACTGGTTGCATTGTGTTACAATTTTAAATGAAGCAATATTAAATATAGTTAATTTATTTGCTTAGAATTTGTAAGGCTTACTCTGTACGCAATTACGAATTATGTTTTAAATTGTCTTTGTATAGACAAAATTGATTGTACTATTTACCTTGAGACTAAAATTTTTCTATAGATGCTATTTTTTATATAAGTCGATAGAGGGCATTTTTAACGTCAACATAATGTCCTTAACCCAATGTATGTAAATTATTTACTTTGATGTTGTTTTCCTATCATGAAAAGAAAATTATTTATTTTGTCTGTTGTTTTATTATGTATACCTTGAAAGTCTTAATTTTCGATTTAATGAATAAAATTTAAAGGTTTTTCGTTTGAAAAAAAAAAAGAAGAAAATTAATGAAATACCAGAGATTTAGCCTTTATTTTATTGTGTAGAGATTAGTGACCGTTAATCTATAGTTATTCAGATTTCGTGAGATGCGGTCGGGTGTGATGTAGGTTTCAGAAAAACATTTTCTTTATCGTGCCAACGTTTCGATCTTTTATTGAGATCATCTTCAGGGCTCAAAGTGTTTGTCTTCTGTGTAATTGTGCCATCTTTGCTTGTCGTGTTGAGAGTGCCACTTTCTCACTTTTTTCATTATATGATCACTAGATATTGTATAGTGGTTGAGTACACAATGAGGAGCATTAGGCATTAATGAAACTTTGCCAACAGCCAAGTTTAATTTCCGATACAAACCACAAGCAACTTGAACAAACTTGTTACTCGAGTCGTGCAGTAACCAAGTTTCCTGGTTCTGGCAGCTACTTGTTTGTGTGAAAAGTATTTTAACAATTTTGGCCAATAAATGAATCAAGTTAATTTTGACAATAGGAATGTGTTTAGGCTTTCTTTGAATTGACTGCATAAGACAACATGCATTTTGCTGACTTTCCTTCTGGGTGCAGTGGACACAGTTCTCCTGTTAAACTTTTTAAAATCTCCCACTTCACAATTCTGTTCGAACTTCACCTCAGAAAGGGCAAAAGTATCACTGGCTATGCTCGTTTCAGTTTTTTTCAACGACGATTTTTTAAATTTATTCTGTAAAGTTTGTTTTTCAGTGTATGCATTTTGTTATATTAATTAATTACTTACATATTTTGCACAATTATATAATGTATACATACAATAAAAGGAAAGTTATTGAACAAAGTAGAAACAACTTTTATTCAACTACAAAATTAATGAATAAATGTTCTGTGGGTTGCCTAATTCATTCACTTAGTGCTGCAGGGGATGCAACTATTGTGCCATATAATCTATATTATTTAGATAAATGTAATAAAATTTAAAAAAATCATATTATTTTTAAGTACCAGAGAATTTTTCATGTGATAAACTGGGTTTAGCGAAACAGGATGTCATGTTAAAGAACAGTCGTTTCAAAATATAGTAACTAGCCTGCGGGAGTGGCAATAATAGGACAATTAGTAATTACACTTGGATAATTATCCTTAACATCCTCTTAACATAATTCATCAAGATCACACCATCAAGGATTAATAAATAATAAAATGATATACATATAGTAATATTTATTATCCGAATGTACTATATCTATTTACAAAGACCATTCTAATAAAATAAATGGACTTCCTTTTTACACTTAAATACATGGTATAAGAAAACATAAAAAAATGAACTACTTGACCACAAAAAGTGAGAAAATAAATGCACATGCTCTCAACGAGCTACATATTTTTAATAAATATTGTTGCAATACTTTATTTATATAATTTACAATACTGATTCAATACATAATTAACTCTATAATTAGTCAAATACACAAGACATAGGCACAACTCTGAACAAAAACAAGGTAATACAATAAATAGGGATCCCTGGTAAAAATTAAAAATCTTAAAAATTAATATTTGATTATCATTTAAAATTATTTTATAATCAAGCAGTTATGAGCATTAGGCCTTAACTGAAAATAATGTTATAAAATATATTAGGGGGAACCCACTCAAAAAGAAAGCTTTAAATGCAATTAATGAAAATTAATTATCACAAGAATAAAACAAAAATGTATCAGGAATCGTATGTCAATGGGCAATAAAATATATACTTTTACATAAAATTTTAACAAATACTATAAGTCTCTTGTACACAATATTAATAATACTTATTGTGCTCATGGATGGAGTGTGCAGAGGAAGTATTATTTCTGTAAAGTACCCTCTTATCACCCTCTAGGAGAATGTTAAAGCCGTGGCAGATGTTGCTTAGAGTAGCGTTGTTTATCTATTTTTATTTGTATAATTATGAAATCGCTTATTATGTATTAAAAAGGAAAGTTGTAAATATCTGAAGGAATATTTCATACCGTCTTTTCCCTCAATGCCTGCGTAATTTTGTTTTAATCAATATTTCTCATTCATTTAGTATAATTTAGTAGATCTTTTTTTCTTTTTATCTAGACGATCAAACTGCTTCTAATAATATGTTTTACCACTACAACGTCCTCATGTTACAAATATTGTAAAAAAATAATGCTCTGGTAATGCATTAGTAAATCGTAACATGAGACTAATATTGCTATATATGTGTGAAATGGCAAAACCGAAAGGCACTAGTGGGCAATAAACTATATATACGGTACAAAATAAATATTCCAGCCTCCGGGATTTAAAATTAATCCAAATGGTTTTTGCTACTTTACTTGTATCATTATTTTGAAATTGATGGTAAAGAGTTTGCGCATTCCTGAATTCTATGTAAGCTTAGTTTTAGGTTATTTGCACATCAAAATAAAAGATGAGTTTAATATATACTTAAAAGATAACAGATTTCCTTTGATATATTGAGATGAATAGCACCATAATTTGCAAAACTGATTACTCTTTTTTTTAACCTCTTTGTTTTTATAAATAATTTGAAAAAGGATATTCAATAAAATTATATGTCTGCCTCTTTACGAAATCACACGAGGTGAGGTTGATATGTTTTACTCTTCAAAATGGTTATAAAAAAATTTCACAAACTAATAAGGCATTAAGGGAAAATAATATTAGAATTACAATAACATTTCATTTGAAGGTGAATATGTTTTTCCAGTATTGTTTTTAATTTTTAACAAACTGAAGTAAATAGTAAATACCTATTTTTTATTATTTTCTTAATAACATTATAAGGGAAATCAATACTTCTGACCTCACTCGTTCAAAGATAGAGGCTTGCTTTCTATTGTAATTCATGTCTATATAAAATATAGAAACTCACTATTTACATATCTTTGTAAAATATAAATAGCAAAACATTGTAAAACCATAGTCGTGCTTAAGCTTTAGTCTTAGTAAAATATTATTATACAAGAAACTAAATTCTATCAAACATCTGCCATTGCTAAGTTATTTTACACTACGGACGCCTGCTGGTCAACAGCAGTCGGCCGTGAAGGCAAATCTCAGTGTGTTTTAACCGATTCTTTCGCTGCCATTATCAGTGGAGTCAAACTAGCAAGCGGCCTTGACAGTTTCAAAAACGGATGCTGAAAATAAGCAAATTTCCTGTTAGCAATGATTTTAAAGTAGAATAACAGAAATAATTGATGTTGTTTTAACAAAAAAAAAAAAAAAAAAAAAGTATGGCTGTTAATTATCTTGAGTATCCAAGGTTGATTCTACTTGAAACTTCTGTAATTACTATTAATTGGGATACTTTTCTTCTTTGCCGATTCCTTATGTCGCTGCCTCTTTATTTTTACTCTCACTTTACTAATTATAAAAGTTGTTCATTTATCAAATCAAATTTCATTTCAAACATTCTAAATACATACTCAGATTTAGGTAGAAGAAGAAAATACAGATGCAAACACACGTCCTCACAAATCTTCACGTTTACTGAATCATCTGTTGTCAAGAAGATGCTTGATTGCAAAATAACTTTTTTTAACATGGGCATTTCAACTGCAAGGTTATATGAACCCTCGGGGTGCCGATGTTTTTGAAAAAAAGCCTGTTTGTAAGTATGTCAAGTTCGAATGCAGGGCCGCTGGATTCGAACCCGGGACCTTTACCTTACAGTGATGAGTGGCGTGTCAACGCATAAACCTAAAATTGTAACAGGTACAGACTGCAAAAAACTGCATGTGTGTATCTTAACGATTTAGATAATGAGGCTATCACTTTACTCAACCAATACAGTGCTTCGTGTTGTTTAATAATTAAATATTATTTTTAAAAAAATTGAACAGTGAAGAATATTTGAAACTGAAAACTCATTATATGTTTTGCTTAACTTAACTTACAATCTAATATTAAGATACTGTATAATCCCTGAAATAATTTAATATTTCACTGCAAAGAAAGGATTTATGCAGTAACAAAGTTTAGAGTTGAAGGGAAAAGCTTGGATTAACCTATGTAAATATTTCAAATATTTATAAATAAAACAAATGAGAGATGGAAATTTGAATTCTGGCGAGGAGCATGAGCAGGTGAGAACTCAGGGGCAGGTGAGTGAGGAGAACTGGGGTAAAGGCAAGTTTGGACGCCCAATCAAGAAATAGAGAAAAAACTTGACTTGCAATTCTCCAGCCCGTTTTTGCCGAGGAGGATACATTGCTCGGAATAAGAACAGTAAGGCCAGACCATGAAGACCTCAAAAGAATTCCAGGAGAAGGAATCATTGACAGGACCAGGGCTCCAACAGAGAATGTCTTGACACCTAGAAAGCTATGCGTTTTTTTTTTTTTTTTATTTAAATTCTGTGTATGTAAACTTTTTTGGTTTAATAGAAGCATAATTGTTTTCCCTTAATCAAGCCTCACTAGTTTTGTTTTTTGTTTTGTTTTTACAAAGGGATTTTTGACGAAATCTATTTTAAGTTCTTCAGTGTCATTTTAGTATTAATTATATTAAAAGTTGTTAGATTGTATGTATGTATTTTATTTTACTCCTCCTAGGTTTTTCTTACCAACATAGCCAGGGTACTACCCAGCCAATGAAAATCAATGTAGTAAGTTAAGTACCAGGGGGATTTGGCTGGGACCAACGAACAAAAATTAAGTTTTCTTCTTATTTTGAACCACCCTGCACTCAACCAACCTTTAATTTACTTGGGGATAGGGCCTAAATTGTAGACACCAGGAGGTAGACGTGATTAAAGGATAGAAGACTGAGCCAACTTTACAGAGAGGGTCAGTGAATGACCGGTTTAGCACCAGCGCTTTCAGTTATGAATGTCCCCGGTTCGAAACCCACTGAAATGGCCAATTTTCACTTTTCTTTTCCATTTCCCCTGCTTTTCTTTCTTTCCCCCTAAAACTTGCTCCTTTTCCTTTCCTTCTCATCACAACTATATGCTTATCCCTCCTTCCTCAGGGTTTCATTATTTTCCTACCCAAAGAAAAATAATGTGTTATCTAACAAATTATCTTAGTTCAAGCTGGAACCTATACCATCTCGATTGAGCTTTGTGCATCTGCTGTTCTAGAACAACCAGGGGAGTTCTCGGTGCAACAAAAGTTAATTTTAGTACAGCCTATTCAGCTTTTTCCTTTTATTAATGTTAATATATATTTTTAACAGTTTAAATCTGTTACAAAATATATTATAATAAATCATTTGAACTCTTAAATAATTTTCTTTTGGGATAAATACTGAGTAACGAAGGTAATTAAGTACTTACTTTCAAAAGCTCAGAAGCAGATGCTCTGCATTCCACTTCTACTTCAAGGCACTGATCCAGAAAGTCTTGGAAAATTTGTGACAGTTTTTCCTTCTCCTTAATTTCTGGTTTTCCATTTGTTGCAATAAGGTATAACGCCTAAAAAGTAATTAAAGAAGGTTAAGAATTTTAACAGTGCAAGTGAGAATTGTACAAAATTAATTACCCTTAATGGATTTTCATTCAGGTAAGGAGGTTCCCCTTCTATCATTTCTATAGCCATGATACCTAGAGACCAAATATCCACTTTTGGCCCATACTGTTTACGAGTGACGACTTCCGGAGCCATCCAGTACGGAGTACCGACCATAGTGGTTCTTTTTGATTGTTCAGGAGAAATTTGAGCACAAAATCCAAAGTCAGCTGTGGATGTAAAATATCAAGTAAAGGAATAAGCTTAATTATTTAAGAGGGTTTTTTCCACATACTCAGCTTAACACTCCCGTCTAATCCTAACAGAATGTTATCAGATTTGATGTCTCTATGGATTACTTGGTTACAATGGAGAAATTCTAAGGCTTGCAACACTTCCCGGCAAACGGAGGCAATCTGTCCTTCGTCCATACACGTCTCAGTTACAACATCTGTTAACGAACCCCCAGGGAGATACTCCATAACAACCTATTAAAAGTACAAAAATAAAACAATTCAATTAAAACATCACTCTTTGATGACACAGAAACAGATTTTTATTGCCGAGTTACTTATCAATGTTACCTCTCCATTTTTCCTCAAGTACAAATCAAAATTTGAAAATGAATCCATGAGAATGGATATAAATAAATAATAACTATTTCTTGTCAAGAAACTCATTAATTGTAACTCAGAAGAAGATAAATCAAATCAGAAAGGTTTGATATATCACCCACTCACCCAGAGTTCCTCGACGACAAGGTAACTATCAAGGTAATTAACAACATTAGGATGTTTATTCTCCCTCATGACAAGAATTTCATTTATAATTAACTCTTTTTTTGGTTGCTGGGAGAGATTCATTTGTTTAATAGCCACTTCCATCCCCGTTGATGCTTCTATAGCTGTGTAAACAGTTCCTGAGGCCCTGTACAATATTATTCTAGTTAAGTTAAATTCAAAATTATAGTAAGAGTTCACAGATGAAAGGTTACCCTTGTCCAATCTTCTCCATTTTTGTGTACTTCCGATTAGGGTCTCCAACAGTCACAATTGTTCTAAGTCTATCGAGTATTTCATCATCGGAGAGTTTCTTTTTTCTCACTTGAGCAGGAGTAACAGGATTTGCGTTCGAATTTGTGAGAGCGGCTATGTTGTGATTCTTGTTTTTGTCTAAGGTGGGAGTCGAAGGCGTCGTCATTGTCCCGTTTGTTGTTCTCATTGGCGTGAGTGGTGTCGGGCTGATGTCTTCTACTGGCTTTGTGTACTACAAAAAAAATTAAACATGATTACTTTTATAAAATAGAATATAAAAAATTGTAATTTATACATACAATTGATTTAGTTCTTTCTGGTCTTGTGGCAACGGGTGGAGGTGGTGTTTCGTCTTCTTGTTCAGAAGAAGTTGACGTTCCAGTTGCTGATGCAGGAAGATATGTGTTTGGTTCAGTGTCGGGAGTCGAGGAAGAAGATGGGTGTGAAAGAGACTGTGACTGGGCTGAATTTTGTCTAAGCGGTCTCAGTGAAACTTCAAGACCACCACTGTTACCTGAAAATTTGAAATACAAATTAACTTATTTGATAAATAATGAATGATGCCAAAGCTGTTTTAAACCAGTGCGTACCGATCATTTTAGTAGTGGTCATGAACTTTGAACCCTTCACCTCCTTGCTGGAATTGTCAAACCAGTTCAAGACATCTAAAACAGCCTGTGGATTCTTCTTCTGCTCTTGTTTGCTGATGTTTGAATTCATCAAGAGCCTCGTCCACGCTTCTGGCATCCCCTAGAAAAAGAAAAATAATAAAATTTTTGAAATGATTTAAATTATGAGTGATTTCTGCCATACAGGAGAGAGCTCTATGTCCAACCACCCGTTAGGCATTGCAGACGAGTGTTCAGACAACTTTACAATATCTATCAAATTATTCATATATATTCAAATTATCAAAAATCATCTAGAAATCCAACATAAGACATCTATGTAACAAATAGAAAAATTGGATGTTATCATAATTTCCTACGATTAATAAATACTTTACTCAATTGACTTGATTTGAATTTATTTTTACAGTTTATTTTATTTTTTATTTATTTTTTTAAAAAGCAATCTCAAATTTTGAAAAAATTCCAAAATATAGGAAATAAGAACAAAATAAGATAACATACAACAAACAGAATAAAATAAGTATACAATATTTTGTGAATTATTTTGGACAGGTTATTTATATATTTATTTATTACTATTATTCATATGAACTTTTCCTTCTTACAATGATAGAATTATTATAAATTGAATTAAAATTCTCAATTGCTTTGTTAAAAAGAGTCAAAATATACATTATTTTCTTTATATACATACTTATTCTACTACAATACTTTTATTTGAGTACAATAAATTTTTTCCTTTTGAAATCATTTTTAGGATGGTAAAGTTATATATTAGAAGCTTAAAAAATTGAATGAAGGTACTAGATTTTGGAATTGTTAAAATACTTTTGCCTGTGGGTACAAAGCATTCAATCAAGGTAAATACGAGTGCTCTTTGATAACACATAACGTACGACGATCATACCAGTACAACATAAATCTTGCACCTCTAAAACAATAAAAGAAATGCTTTTAAAAATAGTACATATTTTCACATTGACAATGACATAAGGATATCATTATTGATAAAGCTAAGGGGGAATAATCACAATGCTTTTAAAAAGGAAGCGACAGTCTATGATACTGAAATGAACTTGAAAAAAAGCTTAAAATTGTGTTTTCAAAGCGTTTACACCTATTCGATAAAAGCAGAATGTGAATGAATCTATAAACACCTATGGTGTAAATTATAAATGTTGAAAGTTATGTTACTGGATGAATGACATGCAAATTGGCTATTTACTTACTTTGAGCGGCAGCTTGTAACAGAACAGAAAAACTATTGTATACATTCTGCAGTGTAAATTTTTGACGTGATACACACACTGTGCTCCATTCCGTTCTACATTTTTAGTGTCATTCACTTTGACAGTCGTAAAATTTTCGGATTGATCAAAAGTGCATGGCACATAAATGTAGCATATATAAAAAAAGCTCTTTCTCAAAGGCAAATAAACCAAAAAATGCGGTGTTTATTTACCGTGAACTCGCCGGTGACAGTGTCATATCCAACATGAACCGTGTGTTCAAAGTTTGTCGGATACGAGATGTTAGGCTTCTCAGTCTCTCTCGTCTTCGTCCGGCTTTTCTTGGCCGCCTTCTTTTTCCTGTCATCGGCATCTGGCTCTTTGGGGAGGGGTCTCATGTCTACAGGCACTGTTGGCGTTGTTTCAACTCTGTAATAAAAATGATCATGTAATTATAATATTAATAAGATACACTTCTTAGATATAAGGTTAATTTGATAAGGACAATTCTTAATTTTAACATTTCTTTTTTTTTTTTTTTTTAAACAATATAAAATATTCTAAGGGTTTCTGGTATTATATATTCTATATAATTATTCTAAAAAGGATTATTTTTCTTTATAAAACCTTGACATAATACCAATGTTAATAGTAATTAATTATCTTGTAGTTAGTAAGTTTCGGGGTTGGCAAATGGCATTGGTCATCGCCTTTATCGTGTAGCAATAATTGTTTCTTAAAAGTTGTTTAAATTTTAAGAAAAAACTAATGTTACTAACTGTTGAATTCAATCTCTGAAAAAATCACATGCAGTTAAAGTAATGCGGTAATACTAGCTGTTATGTGATAAACACACAAAAAACCTAACTCTGCAACTTTACAATCCCTCTGATCAGCAAAATGAGAAATGGCCTTTATTGTTAAAAAAAAGAAAAAATGATTATGCATTTTGTGATCTCAGTTACTGCACTAAAATATTTGTATACAGGACAAATAAAATAAATGCTTTTATGGAACTCAAACAACCAAGTTCTTTAAAATTATTATTTAAAAGACAATATTAATTTGGTTCTACCAAAATCATGACAAACAACAGACTTGTGAAGAGTGGAAGATGGGAATGTAGCATTCTCCACTGGTTGTTTGCGTTCCATAAAAACATACCCGATCTACAATATTGTATAAATATATCATGTTTAAATGTGAAAAGGGGAAAAAAAGTTTCTGAAAACTATTTTATTTGTTATGACTCATTGTTTATGTAATATCTCAATGCAGGTCATCAAACAATCTAACATCATATGTGTCACCTGTCAACAGCAAAGAGCGACAATTGATGAATTGAAATTGGAATTTAAATTGCATAGAATAACCATTCCAAGTTGATCATACTCAACTTCACACAAGACTAAAATAATCTGAATGGAAGAATCAGAAAAGTTTGGACTTTTTGACTGTTGATCAACCAACAGAAGACATAGGTAAATTTTGAACAACTTACATTGCAAATTTACTTTTAAATAAGAGACAGCATTTAAAAAAAATTAACTTTTATTTATCCCAGTAATATCATCTTGCTTTTTTCATTTTAGATTTTTCTCAGGTTGGAAAACAGTCAAAAACCATGGTTTTAGCAAGCATGGATTGAAGAGGTCATACTACTTTGCTATTAAGGTTTTAAGGAGATGACTGACATTTAAATTGCTGTTTGTCTTTTTTTTTAAATTGTCGTTCCTTCTCCTCATTTCTAATAATCAACAGTCAATCGTTGATTCGAACGAAGAATTAATGAACTGCTTCAACCATTTATTGATTAATGCCACTGCATTTTGGGGCCTTTCTGACCAAGTGCTCCTAACAGTAATAAGAACAGAGCCAAATAGACCCTGAAATGGTTGAAGCAGTTCATTATTTCTTTATTCGAATCAATGATTGACTTCTGATCATCAGGACATTTGTAGATGTATTAATGCAACAGGAAAAAATGAGTAGATCATTTTGTTTTTCCACCAAAAAGAATACAACGATGCACTCAAAATATTCATACGTCTTAAGATTGCTCACATGGCAAGTGGTCAAATGTCTGAAATTACATTTTGATTCTTTACACTTTTTTTAAAGCTTGTAACTATTCAAATATAGATTTAAACAAGCTTGAATAATCCAGTTTGTAACTTAGGATAGATTTAATCAATCACCCCCTCTTTTATTTGACTATTTCTCCAAAAAGCTTTTCTACCTAAAGGTCAGATCCATTTCAACATGACCCACACTGTACTGCTCGCACATAAATGATCAAATTGAATTTTTTTTTTTAGATTTTATTAATGCACAACCGTTTATTTTTACCTGTAGCCCTAGATAATATGAAGTTAAATAAGTATTAGTTTTTTTAAAGGTTAGCATTTACACAGATTATTTACATACAGTTGCCAGATTAGATTTTAATAAACCAGGTTTTGACAGGTTTGACAATACGTATACAATTAAGACAGAAACGTGCATAACAGAGAGAATATTGTAACAGTGTTTGTTTTATTAACTATCAGCACTTGTGCACTTTAACTTTAAGATTTAAATACAATATCATATTTGTATCATCTAGAATTTTGTCTTGTTTACTTATTTTCTTTAAGTTTAAAATATACAGGTATTTTACCATACATGTCTTATCTTAATTTGATAGAATTAAGATAAGAATTGTTTTTTTCACACCACTCAATAATCTGTATAGAAATGTAAAACGGATAATGCAAAAATTACATTCAAATGATTAAGAATGAAAGCCTCTAAGCCCTGATTCGCTTTGATAATTTTACACTAAATTGCTCATGTGGAAAATGATCTAGAGTTTGATTCTGTAGAAATGATATTCAATTGGAGGATTAGATGTCACATAAAAAATGCACACCCATTTGAGTTTAATTATTATTATTATTTAACAATAAAATTAAGTAAGTTTAAATTTTGTAGGTTGTGCTTGATGGTTTAGCTAGGTTATTTAATAAAGGTAGTCTTTTATTTAACATGTTAAAAACAAACAATTTTATCAAGTTAAGATAAAAACCAACTTCCCCATTATTCAATAATCAGTACGCATTGAAATTCACTTTTTCAGAGATTGTAACAATTTATTTTAAATCAAGCCTTTCACAGAAAATATTTCCATTTCAACATAAATTCTAAGCTCAGATCTGAGAAAATTAATTACGTAGAAAACAACAAAAACTCATTTGATTTAAATGAATTTGTATAAATTACGGAAATAAGGATTAGAGAAAAATTCTCAGCTGTTTGATCTTTGTAAGAAATCACACATTGAAATTGAATAATTTTGGTTTATCTAGTTAATTGATTGTAGACTTATCCAATCATGTGAAACACAAATACACATTTTTTAAATTTTTTTATTGGCTTAAATATAAAATTAAGCAGGTTTTTCCATTTAATTATAAGGTAAAATAGTTATTTGCATTCAAATAAAAACTTATAAAAATAATAAATTCATGACAAGCTTAAATAATTCATATGCAGATATTCTTCCACTATTACTCAACAATGAAGGAATCAAAATTTAAGTTTGCAAAGACGAATGGGACATTTCCTTTTTAACAAACAGACAAAAGAATACGGCATTAGCAATTTAATGTATTGATTTATTCGAGGGATTGCTCACACCATACGACTGTAATCTGCAATAGACATTTAATTTGCAGATCATACTATACTAGTTTCTCTAAAAACACTCATAACGTTAAATAAGAGGCGACATAATACAATTTAATTAAACAACCCAGTCCAAGCCCAAACAGCCAAAATCTAATTGTGAAATTTCTTCTTAAGGACTGACAAACCAGTAGCTGCGTTGTTTTTGATCAACCTGGTCTGCCAATATTTGCCGTTTTGCTCTGTCAGACACAATTTGGCTTTTCGCCACATTGAGTGATTCGTCTAAAATATATTAAGATTTTATAAAATGATAATGATATGTTATTTTCAGCTTTAATTATATCTGTGGAAGTATAATTTATCAAATGCATATTTGTGAAATTTGTTTTGATGAAATCTAAGGCCACACACAAACAAAGGAACAATAATAGCAATCTTGTGAAAATAAGCAGACAAAAATGATCAGAAACGACTAAGCTACAGGACAAAAACATATTTAAATCTTCTGAATTTAAATTGGTGTGGTTAAAAGTTTTTCAAAAAAAAGTCGGCCTCTTTACTACATACACACCACAACCAGTATTGATCTATTGTGCATGAGTCGGGTGAGGATACAATTCTCATTTTGCAAACACTGTAATTTATTGTGAAAAATCGTGAGAAATAAAAGCCTTTGTGCATTGTTTGCATTAGTCACAGTCCATCTTCTCACTGATATCTTTACTTCATCGATATTATAATCATAGTGATTACAGGATTGATTTCCTTGTGCGCAGTATGTTTTGAAAATAAAATGAGTCTAAGTTGAGAATTTTGTTACCAATTCCGACTACTATTTGCCCAATTGTATAAACATTAACCTCTCCAATTCACATCTGTATAAATAAATTTAGAAATCTGGGTCATTCATATTGTATTTTAATGTTATCGTAATGCGATAAAATTTTATTTATGAGTAAAATTTACATTTTTAATTGTGACTAAGCTTTTTGAAAAGTTATTATAAAAACAAATAAAGCCTATTATAGAAAGAAAGAAAATCATCCCCAACCACCAATTTGGATTCCGAACAAGACATTCAACAATAGGCCAAATTCACCGAGTAACAGATGTTATAAAAAAACTTTTTTAAGAAAAACAAATTTGTTCTGCCATCTTCCTTGATGGTCAAGCTTTTGACAAGGTCTGGCACACAGCATCAATAAACTAACATGTATGTTACCAAAACAGTATGTCAATATTATTAGTTCCTACCTGACAGACTGTTTAGAGTCAAACAAGAAGGTCAACATTCAAAACTAAAAACAAATGCAGGAGTGCCACAAGGTAGCATATTAGGTCCACTTCTTTACTTGCATACTTTACTTGCTATACACCACACACTTCTTTACTTGTTATACACCAGTGATTTTCCGAAAATAGATGGATTAAAACTGCAACGTTTGCAGATGACACAGCGGTGATATCAGTAGGACCAATTATCAACTAGTCAACCAAAATCCTTCAAAATGCTTGTAATAAGATAAACGAATGGACAAAAAATGGAAAATCAAGCTAAATCAGCATCTAATCTTTACAAACAAAAAAGTGGACCATGTTCCGTCGCTCACAATTGATGGAACTACTATACCATTCAGCGATACAGCTAAATATCTGGGAATGACCTTAGATGCCAAGCTGAGATGGAAAGTATACATGAAGAAAAAAGGACAGAAATAGGTTTAAGATATAGACAGCTATACTGGCTGATAGGAGCGGCTCCAACCTTGCTATACAAAATAAAATATTATTATACAAACTAGTCCTAAAGCCTATGTGGACATATGGTATTCAACTATGGGGTAGTACCAAACACAGCAATATCAAAATCATACAAACACTCAAAAATAAAATCTTACATAACATGGTCAATGCACCTTGGTATGTAAGGAATAAGGACTTACTTAGGGATCTTAAGATCCCTGAGGTCACGGCGGAAATACAAAGATTTGCCGCCAAACACCAGTCTCGCCTCAGCCAGCACGAGAATGTGGAAACAACTCCTACAAAACCGAAACACCGTCAGAAGGTTAAAAAAAAACCAAAGCCATATGAACTAGTGCAGTTAAAAATTAGTGAATAGTGAAATGTTCATCTTACTGTACCAATGGGTTTATATGAATGTAAAGATTTATTATTTATTTATTCTATATATATTATTGTAAAATTAATGGTTTGTCTAATAAGACCAGTTTTAATAAATCAATTTAATTAACTTAAAAATAAATAAAATAAAATAAAATTTTTAAATGTCAGAAACTCATTCACATTTCCTTCTTCATTGTAGTAGAGATTTCTCCCTTTAGCACTTAAACTTTCATCTATTGTACCCATCTTTGCTAAAGTATCTCCTGGAAAATCAGTATGGCTTAAGAACTGCTTTCTATGCACCAAGCTTTTTCTTATCTATTGCAGGGCAGTTGTAAAGGACATGTTCTGTGTTTCTGTCCCTTGTAGATATAACAGTGATTGGTCATTTGTCAACAGTTTTATTTTTCCCCCTGTTTTAAAAGGTGGTGTTTAATTGGAGGACGTATATATACCAGTGAGAGTTTTTTTATTGCTTTATGTTAAATAGGATTTCCTCTTTCTCCTATTGGGTAGTTTATGAAAGTACCTTTTTGCTTGCCACATGTTTGGTTTTTGTTCCCAGTATTTATTATGTTCTTTTATACACAGCTTAATTACAGAAAACAAAAATAAAAACTATCCAAACCGGCTAAATTGAATAGTGGAATTTCTACACACACACACACAAAAAAAAAAAAATCTTTTTGTCCATATGCTTGTGTACAATCCTAGTGAAGAGAATTTCTACAAAATTATTTAAACCTAATGCTAAATAGCCGGAAGTAAAGTTTGAAAAAATTTAAATTTACAAAATTCCGCCTTCCAAAATATTCAAATTCAAATTATCCAAGTCACGCTAGCACAAGTAGTTAGAGCAACGGCGTATTAAGCCGAAGGACATGGGTTCGAATCCCGCTCGTGACACTAATTTTTCATCTCAACCAAAAACCTTAGATAAAAATAATAATTAATTGGAATAATTAATATGGTCAATTATGACCACTAAGCAAATATGAATTACTTTCAAATTATGTTGCAGTTCTTATAACAAAATATAATGGTTTTAAACCTACCAAAACTGTGTTTATTAAAAAAATTAAATGAGTAAATATTATGTAAAATTATGCATGTAAAAAACCGCAAGTTGGATCATTGTAAGATGTGGGCTATGTTTAAACGGATTCAACCTTTAGATAGAAATGTTGTTACCGTATTCTCTTTGGAGAAACGATCAAAAGGGGGTTCCTGCACTCTCACATTAACTTGATTATCTAATTATCTATTTAGCTGTATACTCATGCATCCAAGGATAAAAACTGGATTATTCAAACTCGTCCTCAAGCCCATGTTTGAAATTTAAAAAATAACTGTTCAATTCAGATTTGAACAAATGAATTTAAATTAACCATTTAAACAGCTCACGACACACTAACTTCCTGCACCTTAAAAGAAAATAGGCACATGTTGGTTTTAGTATATGGATTTCATTCATATTGAATTAAACAAGTTGAAAAATGTTTCATATTATTTTATGACAAAAATATTGAAAATAATGTCATTTAAATGAATATTGTCTAGATAAGAATGTTTTTTACGCACAACTCAACTTGTTGAAAAGCAGATTCAAAATACAATTAGACAAAAAATAATGGAACATTTATTTGTTTAATAGGGGCACTATAAATAGAAATAATTAAGGTGGAGTGTGTTATCAATTACTTCTCAAACTGGTTTTAAGCAGTTAAAAGTTTTTTTGTATAGCAAGTTTAAAGTCTTGAGCAGCAGTAGTTTTCAGCCAATAGTTTATACCCAGTTTGTAAGTGGAACTATCATTTCTAACCAGTGCACCCACATATTAGCGTTGATTTTGGACATTATTTGATGGCATAATTGGTTTTTACTTGTAGTGAATGAAATAAAGGAAAAAATGAGTTTCAGCCCAGATTTTTTGTTGTTCATTAGGCAGATGATTTAAACAATAATAATGGTACATTTCAAGTTCTTAAAATAGATAAATATCAATATTGAACGATTCTTATCTAGATTAAAAATGTTCGTCCTGCACCACTCAACAAGCTGAATGGCAGTTGTGAAAATCAATTTGACAAAGAATAAAACACAGATTTTGTCTACGATAAAGAAAATTGCCAGAAATTATTAATCAAATGGATCATGTGTCAATGTTTGGGACAAATGTAATTATTTTGGTCAATATTTGAAGGCATAATATTTGTCTATGAAAAACTATATTGCAATAATGTATCACCATGTAATGTTTGAGATTAAATTTTATCTTCTTTGACATTGTTTGAAGGCATAGCTTGTTTTGCCGTGTAGTGATTAAAACGTGACATGAGTTTCGGTCCAGTTTTGTGCTGTTAATCAGGGAGATGATGTAAAATGAATAAAACAGTTTGTTTCATTTCAATTAATTTTTAAAATAAATAAATATCAATATTTAAAAAATTTCCTGCACCACCTCATCAAGCTGAATGGCAGGATTGAAAATTAATTTGGCAAAAAATAAAACAGATTTTGTCTACCATAAAGAATCACCCCGAGGGTTCATATAACATTGCAGCTTATTGATTGAGCATATCACATGTCAATGTTTGTGATAAAATTTAAAGGTTTTTGCCATTATTTGAAGTCATACTTTCTATTCACTTGTAGTTAATGAAATGTGAGAAAAATGAGTTGTCCCAGGTTTTGGCTGTTGATTAACCAGATGTTTTAAATTAACAGGTAGATAGATTTAATTTAAGAGACATGTCAATGTTGAAATCCATTAGATGAAGAAGTTTACCTATTGCTAGAGAGTCTGACAGGTGGTGCTGGAGGCTTATCTTCGTCGTCTGACATTGTGCTGGAGGTGTGTTATCAACTGTCAAATCTAACAAGCGTAGGATGGCACCAAAAACGAAACGGCAGCTTTTTTTAGCGAAAGGTCGTTGGAAGTAACAGTGAATCGGCCCGAGTTCTATCGTGAAGTCGCGACTGACAAAACAGGAAGTACAAAAACGTATGAATCACTCGAGATAAAGCTCGAGATCGAAATGAAAATTGTGGATGTGCGTCTGACGTTTTTGGACTTCGCCCTTTGCAGAGGGCCCCGGCCCGTTTTTTCCAAGGAGTCCGCACTGTACGAAGGCGATCAGCCCCGTGTCCGTCCTCCGGCGAGAAATCCCGCACGACCGTCCGACGTCGGAACGAATCGAAACTTCACCTCTTTCCCGTGTCGGTTTGGCGTCGTTCCGAAACGGAGGCAAAAGCATGTAGAAACAAGTTGAATTATCACAGCCGAGGGATTTTTATTGTTCAGATTTCTCGCCGAACGTTATCTCGGGCTCAGGGTACGAGATAAAATGCGTTCATCTCACGGTTTTCAGTCTGACAAAAACGCTGCCCTCGTCGAAACGTTTCCAATTTTCATATTTCGGGATGAACCTAAACGGAACTTTCGTCCATCTCACATAAAACTACTAACAGCCGGATATCTCAAGATTAAATAAATTAAAACAAAATAAACACTTGTAAGGGCCGCACTCCGCCATATCTGTCCAGTGTCCACCATTAAAATTGAAGTTCGAGGTTAAAATCATACTGCATGCAACCTCCCTGTCCGACTTTTATTTCTAAAAAAAATTCAATCTCTTCCAATAAAAAGACATCACTAAAAAAATGATAATAATTAATACTAATAACTTTTAATTTCCGTGATATGAATTTCTTTTTAACCCTGGAGTCAACGCATTCGCCGATCGTAGTTTTGAAAAACAAGGATGAGTAATAGTGCTAAAAAATTGACTGAGTAATAAAGTAAAAATAACGAAATGGCGTCCAAAAGGCAGAAATAATAATTAGCGCCCAACATATTTTACACGCTTAAATCAAACTGTAAAATTTAAAAAAAAAGATTCCTTTTAAACAAATTTCATCGATTGTAAAATATGGTTGTAATAATTTCCGAAAAATTAAAACAACTTAAAAAAGAGAAAAAAACCCGGTCCAGAAACAGAGCCCCTACATTTCTCGTCATTTTTCTAATAGTTTTATTAATACTTGCCGAAAAAAAAAATATATAAATGATTAAAAAAAATAACAGAAAGTATGGTTCAATCTTTTAAAAACTTCTTTCCAAACACTGCTACAAATAATGAATATAGTTATTTGGAATACAGTTAATTATTTGTGCTCACTCTCACACTCTCTTTCTCCTCTCTCTCTCTCTCTCTCTCTCTCTCTCTCTCTCTCTCTCTCTAAAAAAATAAAAAAAAAAAAAAAAAAAAAAAAAAAAACCATTTACTATTTAGAAAAGATAAATTATTCTTAAAAAATTTACTTTCCTACATTTCCGAATTTATGATATATTCTACAATTTTTTTCAAAATGCATATAAGTTAAATGATATGAGAAGAATTGTGCTATCAAATTGACCATGTAATAAAGTAAAAATTATGGAATGCATTCCAAAAGACGGAAATATAATTAGCCCCCAACCTGTTTCGCATCCTTAAATCAAATTGTAAAATTAAAAAAATAAAAAGATTCCTTTGAAATAAGTTTCATCAAATGTAAAAGATATGTGACTGTAATAATTTTCAAAAAATTAAAACAGCGTAAAACGAGAGAAACAAACCAGTACAGAAACAAATCCCCGACATTTCTTGTCATTTTTATATACTTTTTTTAAATTAATAATTACAGAAAAAAATAACGATAAAAAAAATAATAGCGAAAACAAGGTTCAATTTTTTAAAAACTCTTTACCAGACAACAATGCTTCAAATAATGAATACAGCCATTTGTAAGACAATACATTTCTCACTTTATCAAAAAAACTGTAACGTTAAAACAATTTACTACTTGGAAAAGATAAATATTTACTTATCTAGTCGCTAATTTTTAATAAATTCTACGAATTTAAAAAAAGCATATAAATTATATGATTTAAGAATAATTGGGAGAACAAAGTGACCGAATAATAAAGTAAAAATAATGAAATGGTGTCCACAAGCCAGAATTGATAATTAGCATTCATGTTCACATGCTTAAGTCTGATTGACAAATTAAAACACAACTTAATTAAAAAAGAGAAAAACACCCAATGCAGAAACAAATCTACATTTCTCTCATTTTCTATAATTGTTTTATTGATAACTTCAGAAAAAAATTGATAATAATGATTACAAAATATAAAAAACATGTTCAATTTTTGTTAATCTTTTTATCAGACAATAATGCTACAAATAATGTCAGTTGAGATTTTCGGGTTCTGGGTATTTTGGTTGTCACATAACTTTCCTGGTATGGAAAATGATTCCTGTGTGTTTTGGGCTCAAGAGATTGAAACACATTGTACACCTCTCTCAACTGGGAAGGCCTATTATGCCCTTTATATGTCACAAGTTAGATATGACATTGTATTGTGGGGCAGAGATGTCACTCAGCCTGCTTAAAAAGAGAACTTTGAGAGTGATTCTAGTGCTGGGATACAGAGACAGCGTCTAAGTTCAAAACAGCTCAATATACTTACAATTTGTTGTAGTAGTGAGGAGTAGTCATGAATTCATCAAACATTCTTGACCGCTCCTCATGACTGCAAGAAATTATCAAACAACCAGCCACTAAAAACTCACATACTTACAATTCCTGTGAACTATATCCTACAAATGAGTAACCACCAAGACAGTACAAAACACTTATGTCATGACTACAGAACCAGGCATAAGGACAATTGACAATTTTGCACTTGTATCGCACTTTAGTCTATAATCAATGGCAAAAAATTTAGTACTAAATGTGCAGACAAATTGAATTTAAAAACGAGGATTAAAAGAAAATGCCACAACTTCTTCTTGAACTAGTGCTCTATGTGATGTCACAAATCATGCAATAATTTATAAATATATATTTATAGTTTTTATAAGTTTTGTGTATACATATTTACGTATTTTAACAAATATGTAAGACGCTGCTATGCAAATTTTTTCCGTCTCTAAATAAAAGTTGTCGATCTGATTGGTTTGAGGACAACTCATTTCTTCTGCTATCAAAATCTTGAAACAATTTACTATTTAAAAAAGATAACTATTTTTTATGTACTTTCCTATAATTGCTCATTTTTGTTAAATATGTACAAATTTTACAAAATGCATATAAGTTACACGATATGAGAATAATTGTTCAAACAAATTGATTTAATCATAAAGTTCAAATAACTAGAAACAGAACTCAAGAGAAAGTGCAAGTCCTAAACATAAAAAACCAAAACATGAATTATATATTTTTAACTTACTTGAGTCATATTCATTTTTTAGTCATACCTAAATTTAAAGCAGGCGAAGTTCATTACAGACGGAAACAAAATATCTTGCAATTAAATTTAGTAATATAATAATAGAAATCGTTAAGCGAAAAAGAAAAAATCAAAATGGTAAATTGTAATTTTAATAAATTATGAAAGCATTTTAAAGATAAAGATAAAATAATTTTATGACGAAAAATAAACATACTTTGAATAAATGTACCACTTTGAATTTGTTTTATCCATTAATTCTCCAGTTAGCCCATTAAATGTTTGGCATGTGTTGTCCAGTGGCTCCTGTCGTTCACGTACTCTTCCCGACCCATCCCTTGATACGTTTATCGGGCCCACGTGAGATAAAGAATCGGAGAGGGAAGGTTACACCGGCTGTTATCCAAATTGAACATTCAAAATTTGCTTTAGCAAATTCAATACAGCGGTAATGCCACTCATCGTCGTACAGACTTAGTTTAAACACGAAGATGCTCCTGAGAACTGCGATGAACTTGGAGGGCCACTGCTTCAGGTAAATGGGGATTTGTTGACACGCGAATGCTACCGATGATAATTCTAATTTTGTAAATATGGACACAATTTAAACTCCTGTACCAAGATAATTTCAATTTATCATGAAGCTTGGCCAGTTATAGTTTTTCTCAATGACCTGCTCTTGTTTCCTTCAAAATTCTATCAATTGAACTGCTCCATCATTTTTTTAATTTTGTTTAACTGTATGAACTTTGCCAAGGACATTCTTATCACTCTTTTCTTTAATGTTTTATAGAAACAAAGACAATATAAGGCAGTGGAATTGTGAATGCGTATATGTTGATTTTGCACAGATATATTCAATATTAAATTCTGAGTCATGAGCATCTTTATACTATAATGTATTCTTATATTGTGAAATGTTGCAGTGCGTCTGTCAGAAGATAAATTGTCTCTCACTATGGCTTTTTTTAATGTTTGACAGATCAGTAAACTCAATTTAAGTTGTTGAATCAGTAATGATCATCATTTTATGTTTAGGTCTTCTCAGTTAAAGACTTTTTTATTTTATTTCTTAATTTTATTATTTGATGATGCATTGTATTAATGAGGGAGTATCATGAAGAAAGGGCCAGGGGTGATGGGGGAATTGAACCCACGACCAGAGTGTCTAAAAGCTGAGAGTCTATCACGTTAAGTACTCGGCTACTGAGTTCTTTAAAATTTTCTTTAACTATGAAATATCACCTTCAGGTCTGATAGGTGATAAATTTGCAAAATCTCAAGGCATTCTTAGATTGTTCAGTGACCAAAGTTAATATTAAATTGATTTTCTATCATGATCGTCATTTTATGTTTGACCGTTTCAGTTAAAGAATGTGTTCTTCAATATCTTCTTTAACTGTGAAATATCACCTCCAGGTCTGATAGGTGATCAGACATCTCAGGCCAGACTAAAGCCCTTCAAGATTGTCTGACAAAATTTATAAGTTTATTTTCTTATTTACCTAATTTACAAAATTTGAACTTTACATGGAAGTAAAATCTTAAATTGATGTTCTGATATTCTAAATTGAACATCCTTTTTTATTTTTACAACATTATAAGTATGGGGACCGTGGTAGCCGAGTGGTTAGCATGAGAGACTCACGCCGCGGTTGTGGGTTCGATTCCCACTGTCACCTCTGGCCCTTTTTTCCCGATAACCCCCAATTTGAACAACATATATAAGAAATTCGTCATGGCTAATATGCAAAGATCATAAAGCAAAAAAAAAAATCATTATAAGTAGAGAATCTTTATTGAAATATGCATGTGTGTCTGTATGTTTTAAAGGTACGACCTTCAGAAAATGATTGCCACCTTTCTCATTTTAGTATATTTTATTTTAATTTTTCGTTAATTTCAAGAAAAAAATTCTGAATGTCTATTGCTGAAACATATTAAAACGATATAAATTGTATTTGATAAAAAACAGCTTTCTGGAATTAACCTAAAAAAGAACACAATAAAGAAAGAAAAAATCGGAAGAGCATAAAATTTGATTATATTATTAGATCTGATAAGTAAGATTAATTATGAAATCAGATTCATTTTTTAATGTGAGATTTTATTTTTAAGGTATAATCATGATTAAACAAATAAGTAATTTTGTCGTCATAAATTTATTTTATAGGCTGTTTGAAAGCAAGGCCATCAATTCAAATGGGTATTGGTTAAGAATGAAGTTCAAGAAGTTCTCAACTTCGTCGACTTTCAACACAAGGGGGCAATGGTCAAACAAACCAAAACTCGAATCCTTCCAGCCTCAATTCGACAACGTGAACATCGACACAAGAAATCTCACAGGAGGGCGACTAATTAAGCCATTTTTCTTCACCCTTGCAGTAAGTTGTAAATTATTGCATCTTTGGCCCTTTTTTTGTTACAAATCGATGCAAACTGTTTTAGTTCAGTACTGCAAGCATTTCAGGAGCGGCGATTTGGCATTATGAAAATACTAGGCCTAATTACTTTAAAGACTGGAAGTCATCTGACAGGGCATATAAATATGTAGGTAACTACCAATTTATTTCTTTTTAATTAATTAATATTTTTATTTTTAATAAGTTGAGTTAAGTTTATAATTTACTTTTTAAAGGTCTTTTCAGTAAATAAAGTGATTATTTTGACAATTATTTGCAAAAGCTGTATGTACTTTTTTCCCTTATTTTACATTATTGTTGTTGTAGCAGAGGCATAGGAATTTTTGGAGTGACCTTAACTCGGCTGCACAAATATTTCTTCCGATATGCCTAGCGAACATTCTTGTCTTTTTGGCATGGAGAGTACCACAACTTGAATACACCATGATCAAGTATTTCTGTTCTAACCCTGCAGCAAGTAATATTGATTGTTTTTTAAGCCTATATTCAACAGGTAAATCTCAATTAAGAATAAATTTATAGAAAATAACTGCTGGCCTATGGTGTTGTCGACATTCAGCCACCACTCTTTTTTGCATATATTCGCAAATATGTACGTACTGCAGAGCTTCTGCACAGGTATGGCTATTTAACGTGAAACAGGGGTTGAACTGTATAACTCGACAATTGTTTTTTAGCTGCCACATTGAGCATGGGTAAGGAACAATTTCTAGGATTCTACATGGCAGCAGGCGCTGTCGCATCGTTTGCTAGTTATGTGCATAAAGTGATTGCTTCAAAACCTGGATTATCCCTTGGAGCTGTAAGATTTACATACATATTTTTAAATAATAAACAACTTTCAAGTTTGTTTATGGATGTTTAATATAATTAAATAAATTCATTGTAAATGTTTTAGAGTGGTGCAATTATGGGTATACTTGGTTATACTTGCGTGACCTACCCTGACATACAATTGAGTATAATTCTTCTCCCATTTTTTACTTTTAAAGCTGGACTTGTAAGTCAATTTTTTTTAATCACTAAAATAATTTTCTTATTTAATTTTTGTTGTTTTATTAATCTTTAGGCAATAAAAGTGATAATGGGCTTGGACCTTGCTGGCGTGCTATTAGGCTGGAGATTTTTCGATCATGCAGCTCATTTAGGTGGAGCAGCTTTTGGAATGTAAGTTTTTGGTTTTCCTGTAAAACTGTAATAATTTCACTGTACAACTATGCTGCTTTTCAGATTCTGGGGTCTTTGGGGCAACCAACACATCTGGCAGAAACGTGAAATCATGGTCAAATATTGGCGGGATTTCAAAAAGAAAATTTAAACGGCTAGATCTTTTCATTATTTCCCTTTTAAAAGAATAAATTATTACAAAATACTACTGTTAAAAGTAAACCATGGTATTGATTAGTCATATTTTTCTATTTTAATTGTACATAATGCTGATATACTGTTTTTTTAAACATTTGTTTGAACTTTTGTTTATTGAAAATATCAAACGTAATTTAAGTTTTTAGTTTAGTTTAAGTGTAATTTAATTTTAGATTTTGTTTTTCTTTTGTCCACCTGGATTTTACCCAAGGACAAAAATGTGCATTAAATTGGAAAAAAAACCTGTTATAAAACAAAGAAGAAACTACTTATAATTTAAAAATTTCACTTTTTGTGTAAATTATTAGTACAAATTTGATACAATATTTTGACAAATACCAAAATACTTTTTAACTTTTGGCCAAAACTACTGTTATTAATTGGCAATCCCTGAATTAGACGAATTTTGTTGGAAACAGTTATCAAATGCATGATATTTTTGCTCAATTGTATTAATGTTGAACAAGTCTGGCGATGGGTTCCTAGTTCAATAGTTGAAAATGAATGGAAGTTAAAATGATACAAATACATAAAAATAAATTAAATGTATAACGATGATTAACATTATACAACAATTAATAAAAGACTAATAATAATAAGTATTGCATAGGCATAATTAAAACAAAAGAAGAAAGTAAAAATTATATTTTATTTGACATTTTTGATACCCAAATTTTAAAACTATATATAATATATAGTTAAATATTTTTTTTTCAATCTAAAATAATAATATAAAAATAGAATAATTCAATATTATTAAGTAGTAGAAAAAAAATGTTATAACAAAGCAAATGTTTGGTTTAGAAAATGTTTTACAAGATAAACTAAAGTTTTTGGCATGTGAACTTATCTTTATTATTGTTTCTGGTTTATTGGTTCTGCATACTGCAAAAATGGAAAAACCTTTTAACTGAAAAAACAAAATAAACAGAAAAGACTGATTACTGCGTCAAATATTTGGCATGATGTTGAAAATGTTCTCCAATAAAAGATGATACATAAAAATAGCTATGATCGTATCCTTCTCGCATATGCAGTATGACAGGCACTTGCGCAGATTTGCAAGCTTGTAGAAAATTTTCTGGCTGGAGTTGGCCGTTGGACAAAAACTCATCAGCAGCACCCTATAAAATAAGAGGTCAATTTCCATTGGTACACTGTGTTGATTTTTTAATTATCATTTAACCTGATCGATTAAAATGTCACTAAGCGGCCCATCAAATTTGGCAACTAAAGAGGTTGCGTCATAATCATGCCACTTGTCTTCTTCTTCGCCCAAGTATCCCTTGAAGGCCTTCTTTCCCCAGGGGCTCTGAGTCGGATTGCAGATTGGCGCAAAAGCACTCACGGATCGGTATTTTCCAGGGTTTTTCAAATAACAAATAAGAGCACCATGGCCTCCCATGCTTGAAATAAATAATTAATAAATATAATATTGTATAAGTGCGTATAAGTATATATTTTACCTATGACCCATGATGCTTTGATGATAAGGATCAGAAGGAAAATTAGTGTTTATAACATCTGGGAGCTCACTTGTAATATACGAGTACATGTTGTAGTTAGTCTTCCAAGGATCTTGAGTCGCGTCAACATAAAAACTGGCCCCAGAGCCAAAATCGTAGCTATCATCTTCCCCAGGGATATTTACTCCTCCTTTTTAAGGAAATCACAGTTATTTTTAAAAGAAATATATTTTTAAAGGCAGAAATATACTTGGGCTCGTATCAGGGGAGACGACAATGAAATTGTGCTTGCTGGCATGTTGTTGCGCTCCTGACTTTATTATAAAATTCTGTTCGGTGCAAGTCAAGCCTGAGAGCCAATAAACGACTGGGACATTCTTTCCATCGCAATCCGGCGGGAGATAGATCCCAAATTTCATTGTGCATTTTAAAACTTTGCTGAAAAAAAAAAAAAAAATCAATTTTGTTTTGAGTTTAACAAAAAACCGACTTGCCTGACATGGCTGTAGACATTTTGAAACCCTCCAAAACATTTGTTGGATGAAAGTAGTTTCAACGACATCTGGAACTTCAAAATTTCATTGAGGTTACAATTTAAAAAATTAGGAAAAAAATAAAACTAAAAAATGCTGTCTTATCCTTCTTGTTTCCAGAACAAATATACAATTGGATCATCCAACCCCGCAATACATACAAATTATAAAATTGTCACATTCATTCATAATGATGGAGTGCTTTGTATTTCTCCATTATTGCAAAAAGTAAATCAAATCAGTATTAATGTACCATTATTGACCCTTCCACACCCTTCATAGTAATAAATAAAACCAGCCAAACAAGGAACTAAAACTTGGTTGTGCATAAGAAAAATTATCATACGATAAATTGGCCTACAAGCTCTCTGTAAGGAGTTAAAGTATAATTAGAAAACACCATGAACTTTTTTTTTCAAGGCCAACATTTGTAAGAATTTGCCTAAGTAATTTGTATTCCGTACAATAACAAAAAAGTTTTCATTTTTTTTTTAAAACTTCGAATACAGATTACTTAACTTATAATGAAAAAATAATTAATTAATAATATTCTTGACCTTTTAACGTTTTAACTATTTATAACACAAATAAATTGTAAGATGTGGTGACCACAACGATTTAGGTGTCAAATCAGTGCTCATCACAGTAAGGAAAAGGAATCAAATCCAGCAGCCATGCATTTGAAACAGACATAATTTTTTTTTTAATGACATTTAACGTGTTGAAATTGGCAAGGTGAAGCACCTGTCGCTGGTCAACCTTATCGTCCTATTCTCATTTCTTTGTTATTTTGCATTATCTTGTAGTTGATCTTCATGTTATTTGATCAATTATGACCGAAAATAAATAGCCTCAGTGTTATGAAATAAAACACATACCAAACCTCCAGAGAAAATTTGTCTGATAGACAAACCCAGTAAGCTTAGACGAGAGGATGATCGCAGATGATCAAGCTTGTTCATCACTTTACCGTAAATGTTAATTGGTCTGTTCTTCACCTGTTTTTTTCAATTAATTTGTTCATAATATTCATTACTAAATGTCTTAATCCAATCAAATTTGTTAGATATCCAACAGTTTAGGAAATATGATTGTCAAAAATAGTTCTGTCAATCAATAAATTGACATTTAGAAAAATTTCCCTAAAAGATTAATTTTATTAATCATGCATAATTGTTCTATGAAAACATGTTTCAAAAGTGCTTTTTAGATATTTTGAACCTCAAATTTTATGATCAACACACCACATACATTTAGAAAAAAATATACAATATATGTACACATGCTGGATTTGTTCTTTTAAGGCATGTTGTTTTTTTTTTTTTTTTTACACTATCATTACATATTTTCCGGAGCCAAAGTAATGTGTCAAAACCTCACAAATGAGGCATAAGACTTCAGAGATATCAGGACTTGTTACGATATGGTTTATGTGTCAAAGAGGCTTGTTGCATATCCTCATTTCATGCACAACATATAATCCTTTGTATTTCACGTATTAATGCTAAACTTTTTCATGGAGGATGAAGTGGACGTATTTCCGCTATGTTTCATTTCTCTTAAATTAATTGAACATCTTTCAATTCCCCAAAACAATGCACATGGAGGACAGACAGAAGAAAAAGTGGGAAAACAGCAACAAGAAACAACAAGCACAGTTCACAAACGCCTTTCATTACCATATATTAAAGATTTGTTTGAAATGCGTAAAAACTAAGTATATTTTAAGTAAATAAATCTGAGTTTTTGTACTCACAATTTTGTACCTGGGGAAAAGGAGGTAACAAAAGGAAGACTAGAACGATGCCTGGCGTCAATGCGATCGTCAGGAAAAGGGAATGGTTAATTTTTGAATAGGCCCTCAACAATAAAACCCACATAATAATCAATAAAGAAGAAATATCATAAACATAAAGAAAAAAAACCAATACGTTTTAGTGAGAACAGTTAAAAGCTGTAAAAAGGATTTTGTAAAGCAAATTAAAAGAGATGGAAAAATTGTATTAAAAAGACATATTAAATATTTATTTTGAATAATGGTTTATTTAATAAGGTTAATAAGGTGCTAATAAACCATTATTAAAAATAAATATTTAAAAAACTGTGAAGTCTAATGGTAAACCGAAACTACAATTGGTCATCATCAGTAAGTGGAAAAAATGTCCAATGCAGATTAAGACCTGTGCTGAGGAGAGTCATCTGTAAACTAAACTATCAAACAAGACAAGATAAATCTTACAATTTTAGTAACTTTAAAATTTCAAAAAATTTGTATAGTTTTAAAGGTTTGTCAGACTGAATAATATGCTTAAATTATCACTGCAGAGAGAAAATTAATTAGGGCAAGTCAAAACGTGTTAAACGGGGATCGACGAAACTATGTGGTCCTTACTAATAATATATGCAACCACTATCAGTTCTACTAATTTTTCCTGATTTTAAGTTTGATGAAAGTGCAAAATTAAACAAAGGAAGTGAAGAATGTATTGAAGACGTAAACATTTATTGAAATAACGTGAGTTGATAAAACAACCTGTCAACAGGTCATCAGTAATCATAAAATGTCGTCTTGCTTTATTAGTTTTTAGATATTTAGTGTTTTGGAGTAGGACTGAATTGTGTAGTACAATCTTCAAAGCAGAGGTGAAACTCCATGTCCAGACCTGTGTTGATTAGGAATTGATGATCAATAATGTATTAAAAAAAAGCAAATTGAGATTAATTGACGAATAAGGCGATTTCTTTGATGTTTCATCTTAAAATATGCGTAGCTAAATGACCTTATAAATTTGTATCCTTTTAAAGGCGGTCAGAAAGAATATCGCTGGAAAATCTTCAAAGAAGAGCTGAGGAAATTGATTCAGTCCGTGTGCAGACCTGTGTTGAATAGGTATCGTAGGGAAATCTAGAGAAGCCAATTAATTTGTCGGTTCTCTGTGATGTTTTATCTTATAACTGTAAATATACATATCTATATGATATAATTTTTCATTATATTGAAGGTTGGTCAGACTGAATATCGCGGCAAAATCATCACCGCTGAGTTGAATAAATTATTCAATGCAGTATAGTTCCAATGATGAGGCGTCTCGCTGACTGCCGAACATCGTGTTGACTTTTTCTTTTTGGTTTGGCGCCCGTTTCGTGTGGAGTCTCGACGCCGGCTCCCCCTGTTATCCGCAATCCGCGTATGAATCGGAAGGAAAGCGAAACCGAGAAGGGCGACCGGTGTCCAGCACGCTTAATGGCGCTGTCTTTTTGAATCTGCCACTCCGTCGACGCCAGATCTCGCGGAGCCGTTTCACCCTGGGATGCTCCGTTCAGGCTCGGTCCGCCTCCTAGACGACGACTCGGCGAAATGATCCCATCCAGGTTCAAGCCGCTGATCAGCGATGAATCGTCGAACGAGAGCCAAGGGAGCAGCGACGAACAAGCTGTCACGAAAGAGGCCCTGGTAAATACATTTTCACTTCTATAAAAAAAGAGAAATTTTCAAATTTTTGAGTCAAAATTTCATCCCTTCGACAGAGACGGTGCCTCTCCTCGACTGTCCCTTTCAAATCGTCTATTCCTGGACGTGGAAGTTAATTTAAATACATAACCTTCTCCTAAATATTACCTTTTTTGTTTATCTTTGTCTTTCAATGTTATCATTTAATTTTGAATAATTTTTCTTAGCGTTAATTAAATTCAAACGCTCAAGGAAATCAACCTGTTTTGTCACAATTCAAATTTTCTTTAAATTGAAATTATTTAATCACAACACTCAATTGATTGATTTAATCAGTCAGCACGTTATTAAATTTGATTGGTCTAAATAAATTAACGTAAACAATATATCAAAACTACAATTTTTATATATTTCTATCATCCTTTTGGCAGAATTTTAGATAAAACCGTAAAAAAATCAGTATGGACCAATTGTAATAAGTATCTTAAAACAAAACAAAAATTAAAACCCTCCCAAGCCTCTCACTAATTTGCACCATCTGTCAATATCAACTGATAGTTGTCAGCTTAAAAAATAATCGATTTAAATTTAAATTTAAACATATTTTCTTCTGACATTTCACATTTGAAAGAAACCTTTTTCTCAAAAAATATATTTATTGTATTAATGGGGAACATGGTTTCTAACTGCTAGGGCGTCCAACTCATAAGTACCATACTAGTGATTCTTAGTTCGAATCCCAGCTGAGCCCATTTCATTTTTAATTGTGAATAACGTAGAGAAAATGTCGTAAGAGAGGTTCATGACATCTAACTGTTAGATGTTAAGCCCTGCTGCATGACAGGAATTTTTTTTAAAATTTGATTAATTCACAACTCGCTCTATTGCTTTAACCAGTAAAACGAAGAAGAAAAAATAAATTAATTCTAATTTTTGCAGTGTTGAGGTATTAATCAATTTATTCCTCAATAAAAAATAAATAAAAAATCTCTAATTTTACTCTAAACTCTGACATGTCTTGACTTCACATCAAATGTGATGCGATAGCACGAGGGACTGATTTTGAAAATGGGTTAAAACTTAGAAGGGTGGCTAATACTTAATTTATAATTATGTTTATCTTTAGGGGCAAAAACTTCAAAACACTCTATTTATAAAAGTTAAAAATACTATTTTTTCAGTTGTTTGTCAATGCGTGAAACAAAATAACTGTTTTGTAAATTTCTACTCCTCTATCTTTTTTGGTTGATTGTCTTTTCTTCAATGATAAATTCAGACAATAATGGTTGAAGCAGTTGCTATTTATTTGTCCAAATCTACACTTCATTTTACATTAAATTTTTTAAAATCATTATAAAACACAAAATTAGCGAAATTTTCCTGTTTGTTAAAAAATTGTTTGTTTTAAAATTTAGAAAAAAATAAATAGCTTTGATGATGGATACGAGAAAGCAGTGTTTGCCTCTCCAAGCTCTGTAGCCTTCTGGCTTATTGTACCTTCCTAGTTCCCTAGTTCAATGCAATTGACCAAATCCTCCTTCTCAGAAGTATTAAGTCTTTGAATGTCACTGCTATAGTTTTATTCCCTGATTTTTTTGGATGCTAGGTTATGATTCCATTGAGTTATTGCTTTGCATTCAATTATAATATGGGTTTCTTAGGTGATATGTTTCTTCCTCCTCATTGCATAATCTGCAAATGAGATCATCGTTGATATGCCCATGTTATGCAGATGTTTTCTCAGATGCCAGTACCGATTAATAGTCCTGTCACTCCTCTGAGACTGTCCTCTCCAATTGCAGCAGTGAGTTTGCGGTGTCTGTGTGAGTCTTGGTGAGGGTTGTTTTAGCTTAAGTTTATTGTGTCTAACGACCCTAGAGTTTGTCCACTTCTCTTTTTGGTTTATGTGGCTCCATTCTTTGATGGAGGATACTGTATTTGTTTTTGTTACCCCAGGTATACGTTCAAGGCCTATATATGGTCTTGCAGATCTCCTCTGGCTAGTTGTCTGTTTTTCATTACCCCCTGTTTTGAAGGATGTTGTCTATGTGTTAAGCATAAATGGTAACATCAAATCCATGTGTGGATGTCATCCTGTAGGCCTTGTGCTAAGGCTTCATTTAAGATGCAAGATTTTACTTGCAATTCATTTACTCAAAACTGTTGACCCGTTGAAATTAGTATTCACACGTGTTTATATATGAAAAATAATAACTATAAAAAAAATTGAAAACACATCTAAAAGTGTGATTTTCCTCAAAATAAAAGTAGTGTCAAAAGAGCATCATTTCCATGATTCGAATTTCTATCTTGGTTCATTCAAAGTTAACAACTCAAGAAAAGCGACCCTTCTTTAAAAATGGAAAAGTGTAGCTTGATCCTGTCTGCCTATTCTTGTTGCTTTTTTTCCGACAGATGCATTTAAAAGAGACTCAGAGTAAAAAATAACACAAACAAATCACCGAATATGCTAATAATGTACTACGGTATATCAACACAATATTTCACAATTTAAATTTGATTTGATATTCAATTTGATTGATTCGTTGTCAAACTGGTTAGGAAGTAGGATCATTGACCAGAACGAATCAGTGTAGATAGGCTTATTGAGAATATTTGAAAACAATTTTTTATGACAGAAATTCTTCTTAGGTGTCTCACTTGGTTAAATATGACAATTCTATAATCACACCTGTGTATCAACAATGATTAACATTTCAGAATTAGAACTAGACAAAATGGGGGGAAAGCTTTCAACAGCTTGTTTTGATACATGAAAGGATTTAAGTTAAAATAAGTGGCTCAATGTTGTCGAATATGTAAAAAAATTGATTAAAAATCTCTTTATACAAATGTATTAAGATTTATCATTGTGTTATAATTGAATAAGTGGCATAAAAATAATTAAATGAAATGATGGTGAGATATTTTATGCTTTTATAACTGGCCTGCATGCTTTTTTTTTGGGAGCTAATTTGTGTTAATGAAAATTCAAATAGATTTTTTTTCTATCTTAGATAGCACAAGGTTATATTCTTATTTGATCCTCCATTAATTTATAGGAGTGTAGTTTTAAATGTTAACAAACTAATAATGATTGTCTCCATTTTTATTTATTTTAAACTCACCTGAAAGTCATGATTTTGTTTCAGGAGCAGCAAGCCGTGACCCAGTACCAAAAAGCCCTCAGTTTGGAAAGCGAAGGACAATGGGAAGAGGCAGAACAGATATTGAGAGATCTGCTCAAATCAGACATCATCCTTCAGGTATTAATTTGTTTAAAAATTGTAATTATATATTTTTATTAATGAATGTAAATTTCAGGAAGCAAAAGGCAAAATTTTGGGCAATGGGAACATCCAGTCGTCAGTTGTACATTTAAAATATTGCGTGACTATGAATTTGGGCCACTGTCTTGCAAAGCAGGATAGATTGAAAAAAAGTTTAAAGTATTACATTGAGGTAAACTTGATTTTCATTTAGAAAAATTATGTTTTTAAAATGGCGAACTAAACTTTTTTAAACATATTTCACAGGCTTCCAAAATAGATGTATCAGACTTGAATCTTTGGTACTGTATTGGTACTACTGCCATGCAAATACACGATTTGCATTTAGCTGCCTCAGCTTTTGAAGAAGTATAATTTTTTTTAAAATTTTAATTGAATTAAATTTAAATTTAATATTTTATTTTCAGGGGTTGAAATGCAGTCCAAATCATTGGCCTAGTATTGATAATTTAGTAACAATCTATTATGCCCTTGGTGATTATTTGTCTAGTTTATTTTATATTTATAAAGGGACAAAAATGGACACAGGGTTTCTAAAGGGTTACGCTTTCAAGGAAAAGATCTTCCTTCAATCTCCAACACTTAAAGATGATTTTAATTTATTTTATCCTGATTGGTAAGGGTATATAACTATATTTTAATTTTACCATTTCTTTAATTTTTTTGTTGTTGTATTAAAGTGATTTACCTGAAACACCTCATAATATTTGCCTGGAATCAGATGATGTCCAGCAAATGTACAATGTTGCTGAAAATCTCATAGATCAACAGCAAAAAAGGTGGAAGCCGTACAAAATTCCCCCCGAGCCTCCTCTTCAGCCTGAGTGGTCTGTGAGATTAGATAGTTGGCTCAGACTAGGCAAATGCCTTTTGTACCTTCTTCAAGTTGCTGAAGAAGAATATCCAGAAAAAGTAACAAGTGTTAATTTAAAATTTAATGACAAAGCTTTAACATATATGTCATTACAGAACTTATTTCGAACTGTAAAACTTCATGTCGAGAAAGGCTACGATTCACCGGTTAGTATAGAAGACGAAAGTTCAGGGGCTGAAGAGGCAAGATCAAAAAATGAAGAAGAATTGAATAGTGATGATAACGAGGAAGGTAGTGTTTAATTAAAATCATTCTTTAAATGTAAAATAATTCAAAACTGTTAGCAAAAGGACGTCTCTGGGAAAAAATATGCAACAACCAAAATCAAAAAAGGAGATCGGCGAGAGTGAGAAGTACTATCAGAAGGGAAGAACCAAGTTTGATGGAATCATTTTCTCAGATCATTCCTCCTGACCTACTGTAAGTATTTATTAAAAGTGTTTAATTTACTAGCTTTTTTAATGAATCTAAAAAAAATGGGTTTTTCTTAGGCCTAGGAATTTTGGAATATTTCTTGAAGGTTGCTCTGAAGATTCTATGCACACGATGGATTTGTACAACAGATGTTTCAGCACAGAAGAGAATAACAAAGATGAAAGAATGGACAAGGTTACAAAGAAGCAAAGACAACAGTGAGTAAACGGTTTTTCATTAAAGTATGAATAATGAACATGAATTTGAAGATGAGTAAGGGTAAATTTAATAGAAAATATGCCACTAATCATTATGTAAGTATGCTATATATTATGCATGTAATATGAATATTATAAACTACTAAGTTACTGTCTTTAATCTGCTTTGAAAAATATACTAGATTACTTGCACATAAAATGTAATTTTTACTGGAGGGTGAGGTATGAGGGGGTCCCAAGGCGCTTTAGGTGAAGGTTTTTATTTATTTTATTTTTATTTTTTAACATTTCTTTCTGTTCACCAAAGTGTGTGTTCTGATTATAAGTCATTACTACCCATGATTGTGCACAAACTCAGTAAGAGACTCAATGCCGGTTCAACATGTGTATATCGAACAATTCATAACTCAACACACACCATCAATTCTTCAAAATTCCTCAAAACTATTATTTTTGTGTATGTAAATTTACTATAAAAACTGTTTTGACATGGTTTCTATTAATTTGCTGACTTCATGCTGCAGATATTGTCACATATCATGGTGTGTTAGCAGTATGCCAGTAAATTTGTCAGTGTTTCATAATTTTTTTAACATATAAATATTTGGAAGTTTAAGGCAAATAAGTAGCACATCCTCATTTTTGTTAGTGGCAAAGAGTTCATTTGAAAATTGACAAGAAATCTTGGTACACTGGCATCTTGCAGAGCCCCAGGGATACCTACAGATGACCCTGACTGCTTGTTTTGTCACTTGGAATGATAGAAAGTGTGGAAAATGAGTCAATAAACATTTAGAAATTTGAAACTGTTCCATGTACAAAGGAAAATGACTTTGTGTTTCTGTAAGTATAATGTATTCGAACAATTTTTACTTTGTAGGTACATAATTGATGAGGAATACTTCAGTACACAAAAGGAGCTTGACGATGTCGCCGAATTTGTTAGATATTGTCATTCCAGCAAAGACAGCATAATAGATTTGTTGAAAAGGTTCACACTCAAACTCTCTCTCAAGTGGAAATTATACTGGCCTGAGAAATTAGACAAATTTTTCATGAAAGCATGCGCAGCTGTACTGTAAGTGAAATCATGGGTTTTAAACGTTTCTTCAATTAATCTCATGTGTTTCAATAGACGATATTACCCTGTGGCGATGAGGTGCAATGACGAGCCGCAAACATTAAACGAAGATATCACCGTCTTACTCTACGGTGAACTTTTATTAAACCTTTGGCTCGAGAAAGAGAAGAGTAAAGGATACATCAGTCCTTTAGGAGACACGTATGTTTAATTAATAATTTATTTATGGACATTTCATATTCCTTTCTCGGTAACAATTTTTAGCGCACTTGGAGGAAAATTTTCCACCCTTCATTTTGGAAAATTAAACGTACGTGCTGCGAATTCTGAGGATATTGAGTTTTTCATACGGTCCTATTGGCTCGAAGGCTTGCTTTTACACCACTCTGGCGATAACGAGTCAGCTGCTGTGGCTTTACAACAGGTTTTTTTTTGTTGGCAGGTATAAATTAATGGAAAGCATAGTGTAAATGGATTTTTCAGATTCTAGGTTACAAAATGGCAGAAAACGTGGAAATAAGAATACCAAACATAACCCATCATGCTATTGTAAACAAGGAAATTATATCGAATTTATTGAAATCATTTAAAAGGTTAAGAAAACAGGAAATACAGTTAACAGTAAACAAACGCAAAGTATAATATAACTTTTGTTCATAATTTCAGAAATAAGAGTCTAACTGAAATTTGGAGACTGTACAATGACGGTCACTACGAGGAAGTTACAGAAATATTAGCCGACTCTTTGAAGGTGAATATAGATGATATGAAAGCAGAAGAGGTTGTCATATCGAGGCCCATGCAGTATTCTCTCATCTTAGATTCATACTGGAAACAATTGAATTACAAGGTATGTAAACCGGTTGACCTTATCATTCTGCATATATTATATGGTATTTTTTAGGAGTGTGTGATATGGACTGAGGCTTGTTTGCATGAGATGCTCAACGAATATCGGATCTCAAGCGATGAAGAAAGGCCGAATGTAGCCACCCTTCTTGTCAAAGTGATGCAAGGTCTATTAGCTTGCATTGACTCGATGGGGTACTCAATATGTGAGTATTTTATATTTAATTAATTTAATCATTTTTTCCTTTTTAATATACAACAATTCCTCAAAAGTTTACTGTCAGGTTTGATTTGTCAAAATAATGTGTGAGTATATATTTTTACCATCCATGTAATTTAACTAATAATGTATTTTTATTTTTATTTTTTATAATAAATCTATACATTTTCTAGGATTACCTTGCAAGTTTTTGATTTATTAACTAGTTTTAAATGTTTTTTCTTTTTCAATATAGTTCGTTACTTGAGTTCAGAGAAACTCTCTAAACTGATTCAAACATTAAGTAGTATAATTAGCTTTCAAATGGAAGTTCCTGACAACTCATCGGAAATGCCCATTGAAAGTGTTGCACCTTGGTTGATACTTCATTATATTTTAAAATTGTAAGTATTTCAGTTGTAAAAGAAACAACTAATTACTTAAAAACAAACTTATAATTTTTTTAGTGATGAGGATTCAAAGAATAAAGTCTTCAACACAAAAAGATCATGTGATGCCGAAGAGGAAGAAGAATTGCCCTCTTCTTTAAGGATTTTATTCACAGGACATGATTACCTTGGAAGGCAATATACAATTTTTTAATAAAACATTTTCACAATTATACCCAATAATGTAATAATTAAAAAAATTCAATTTCAGGAGAGCTTGGTGTTGTTTTGATGAAGGAAACCTTCTCTATCATACTCTTAGAACGATGTACCCTTTGTTGCAGACTCTCGATCTTGAGAGTAATAATTATGCCAAGCTGTCGCAGCAGACTGAACAGATATTCTATTGTTTGTACGGCTTGCAGAAGAAAAACAAGGTGAATACATAAATTAATAATAAAGTTGTATTCTAAGATTGCTGAAATACTTTAAACTTTACAAAAGAGATAATCAAGCCAATTAAAAAGGATTTTTTTTTAAATTTCAAATTACAATAATACAAAAAAACAATAATTTGAAAATAAAATTTGAGAAAGTGATGAAGAAGAAATTGGCCCACTTGTCTGCAACAATGGATAGAATGGATATCTTTTAAGTTATAAACGTTTATCTACTTTGTCTGAATCTTAAAATTAACCTTCAAATATTTTTATTTATATAGAATTATCTTTAAATCTATAAGATGGATTACTGATTATATTGATTAGCTATTCTTGTTGACTTTCCAGTTGCAATATTTTCCTAGTTGTTTTTTATGTTTTGTTTTCATAACTTTTTTTCATACACTGGATTATGGTATGGTTTTGATGAAAAAGGAAATTCAGTTATTACTGCCAAGCATTTGATCTATTTTAAGGTTATCATCAGGTTAAGTAACCCATGGTAATACTGTTACATCCTTGGCAATGTTGGGACTGAGTTGGTCTTTAAAGAAATTTGAAATCATTTGAGAAAAAGTTAATTATGTTAATCAGTAGATATTTAAGATAGTTTTGTCTTGATGATCACCTTAAAATAAGTCAAAAGCTTGGCAGTAACAACTGAATTTGTTTTTTCATCAAGACCATACCATATCCAGAGTAATCATGAGAAGAAAAGTGGTCAATATATCTAAACTTAAAACAACTTTTTGTACTTGTTTAATGTTATTTTCACAAATACAAATTATTATTTTATTTTGCTAGGGGCGGTTGGTCGTGGATCATAATGTACTTGGGCTTGCACTGAGCTGGAACCGGGCGCAGCAGGTGTTTAAATTTTCCAAACCGAGAGAGTTGCCGTCTTATGACAGTACTGGAAAATGCTGTGTGACTCCGGACAATGAAACACTTTTTTTGAAACTTATTGAAATCATTCCACCCGAAAACAATCCAAGTAATTACAACAATATCTTTGCAAATGTACAAGACTGCAGGGTAAAAATATTTAATTTTCCTAGATCGTTTGTTGTGGGAGATGAAGAAATATGTAGAAAACGATTTGAGTGAAGTACCTAAAAATGACTGCCCACTCCCTGATGATATTGCTGATATTTATTATCTTTTAGGTCACTACTACTTCAAATCGAAAGCATGGGTAAATATGATTTATGCTGTTAACTATTTTACACAATTTATAATTAGATGATTTTTTCTTATTTTTTGTTGGCCTTTGAGTTTTGTAGGTGTTTTTAAATAAAACCATTTTTCCGACTTTTTGACATTGTGTCATTAAAAAAACAAACTATTTCTAGTTTAAAAAAAAAATTAAATCACAGTTTCTTGAAAAAAGTACAAGTTGCCAAAATGTGGGAGAACTAGTTTTATTTATAAACTACCTTCGAAACAAAAAGGCCTGTAAAAAAGAAAAAGGCCAACAATAATGAAGAAAAGAATAATAAAATAGATTAATTATTTATTTTTTTGTTAGATGAAAGCTGTTAATTGTTTTCTGTTGGATGTGTGTGCCAATCCTACCCGCTTTGACTCCTGGGCGAGTTTGGCTTTGGCACGAGGAAGCCTGATAGACAATAAGTTGTATTCTGTAAGTCCTGTTAAAATATTTTTATTTCTGAAGAACCTGGTTTTGTAAGACAAACAGGCACTATAAAACCTGTAATAATCTGTTTAGAAGAAAAATGTTAATACATACATTTAAATTTTAGCACACAGAAAGGATTTTTTACTAGTCTGTTTAGTTTAATTTTTTAAAAGTATATTCATGATTTGCTTGTGCAGTTTATTCTCCAGTTTTTTGATTAATCATTGCATTTGTTATAGTGCAAGACAATTGGAAATATTCAACAATTTCTTCAAATCGCTCGCTGTGTCTGCAAATATTTTGAGAGATCCTTAGAACTAGATCCTACTCAGAGTACATTGTGGATAGAACGAGGAACTTTTTCTTATACTGTGCATTCCTTTTGCTCCAATGTTCTTAAGAAGGTAAGTTTCATAAAGACAAAACACATTTTAAATTGTAATGTTTTTCTGCTTTCCTTAGAACCATACTTTAAGTATAGAAATGTATAGCACAATTGAAAAACAAAAAGATGATTTGATTGAAGCAGCGAGGGAATGTTTTGTAGCGGCCAATAAGGTATGACTTGAATTTTTGGAGAAAAAAATATGTTTTATGATTGGGCTTGATTTTCAGCTTTGGTACACGACTGCAGAAGGTGAAATCCAAGATGAAAGATGGCTACATCATTACATGCTTGGAAAAATATCAAAGAAGACTGATGGAAAACCGAACGTTTACATGGACTATTACATAAAAGTGTGTAAATAAGTTTATAATGCAAAATAAGTTGGTAAATTTATTACATTTTACAAATTAATTTTCTAGTCAGCTGAACTTTTACATGAAATCGGTGCGACTTATCCGTCACGGATAAACATAAACAACCCTCAACACTTAGCAGTCGAAGCCTTAGAGGTTAGCTAAATTCAACAGATAAAAATGATAATACTTGATATAATTGATTTTATACTTTTTAGCTTTACTACCGAGCACATGCATGTATATTAAAGACACTGGAAGAATTTGAAGATCGGCCTTTGCCTGAATCGACGATAGAAGTTTTTAAAACTGTAATAAACACGTTTGCAATAAGTCCGTTTGTTCTGCAGGTGAAACAGTTTCCGAGGTAATAAATTAAAATTAAGACAAATAATTTAAAAAAGTTTATACAAAGCACATAAATTTCTGGAAGAATTTACTTAATTTAATTTACAAAGATATATAAAAACGAATTAAATAGTGTTTATGATTTAAAATAGTTCGATATTATGGAAAAACTTGAGGTTCATAACAGTGAAAGTTAATTTAAAGATTTCAGAACTTCCGGAATTTCTTTCAATTAGAAATAAAAAAGAATAACTGTTAAAATAATAATGATAATATAAATGAAATTGCTTTATGAACTTAAAGGGTGCAGGGTCATATACAGAAGATTTTAAGTTAAGGAAAAGAAATTCAGTGAAGTTTTAAGTGCTGTAACAAGGATCAACTAATCCATTGATTATACAAATAAAAATAGAGTTTACACAAAAATATAACAACTTGAGAAATGTGGTTAAAAGTAAAGTTTGTTTTGTATTTTGTGTTTACTACACTAATGATTGCAATTTTTTTATAGGGTTGAGAGTTTAAATAAACACAAAACGAGTGGAAGCAGCGATGAAGAGGTAAGTTTTTTAAAATTAATCTAACTAAAGCTCTATATCCATGTTCATTTAATCTAACTTCTTTTTTTTTTTTTGTACAGGAAAGCTCTCATCCAAAGGAAGAACAAGAGCCTATAATTAAAAACGAGAGCAATCAAGGTTCCAATTCTCAAAAACAAAAGACTTCATCAGATGATAACATTGAAGAGACAGAGCCGCAGAAAAAAATCGTTTCTGCAGAGGACTCTTCTTCAGGTGATAAAAGAAGCACTGTTCAGGTTGCCACGACTTCAGAGTCGAGTGACACTGTTAAGAACACCCAGGTTGAAACTAATTCAGAAATGGGTGGATCTTCAAGCAGTTCAGATTCTAAGGACAGCAAAAATTCCTCATCAAGTGATTCTTCGAGTGACTCTAGTTCAAGTTCATCTTCCTCGTCTTCTAGCTCTGATAGCTCATCATCATCATCTTCTTCTTCAGACAGCGATGATGTATTTTCGCTTCATAATTTTTTTAAAATTTATGTATTCCACTTTATTTGACATTTTTGTTTGTTTTAGGACAGTGATTCTTCTTCAGCACCTGAATCAAAAAAATCAAATAATGAAGAAAGTAAGGATGTCATTGTAGAACAATTGGATACAGTTAGTTGGAAGAAAGGTATTTGATTTGTCAGTTGTTCTAAATCAAAGGTATAATTTTTTTCTCTCTCGTAGAACAAGACGAGCTTGTTGACAAATGTCTTGATGCCCTTAGGCTTTGTTGTGCTAGATTTCCCCAACACTACAAAAGTTACTACCATCTTGCACACTTTTATTTCAAGAGCAAGCGACATAAAGACATAAATAAAGTATACGAATTCTTGCTAGGTCCTACTGGACTGTTTGCATTAAGAAAACCTTCAAATTTCTTCAACGTTTGTATTTGTTTATGTTAATTTTTTCAAGTACGATTATGTAAATTTACTTTTGAAATTTAAAAAATAGGGCATATGGAAAATAGCCAATAATGAAGTGGATAGACCAGGCAGCTTTGCAGCCCACATGGGTAGATGCATGCTGCTGTTGCTTGATTTTTTAAAAGAGACAAAAGATTACAAAATGCTCCTAGATATATCGGTGCAACTGAAGGCGTTACCTGATCCTGATAAGTGAGTTATGGTTTGTTTAAAACCAAATAACTGTTATTCTAATATGAATACTTTTAAAGAAAATATCTGAGAGACAATGAGAGAGAAGAGCTGAGTAAGGACGCAGCTGAACTTTGTGTCTTCTGCTTGAGAAGAAAGTTTCAAGAGGCTAGTGACAATGAGTTAAAAAATTTCATGCTTGACCTCTCACAGATCTATAAACGTGTTGTGAAAAATTCAATGAAGGAAACTTCCTTCGGAAACTTGCTGATGGATGTTTACAACAAGTTATACCCCAATAAGGTTATTTTCATTGTATTTAACAAAAGTATTGTTGTTTATAGACTTTTATGCCTTAGGGTGAAATAAAATCAATAGAGACAATATTACGCCACTGTCAACAAGAGCTTTCATTGCTAAAGATTGCATCGAACCCTACAATGCAGTTCCCTTCAATCGGAAATGCACCACTTTTGCTGAATAAACAGGGCACACCTAGTGATATCACATTGGAGGTAATTATTATAAATAGTTGGCACCTTATAAAATTATAATGGTAAATATTACAAACTAAGTGGTATATAAATATTACAAAATAAGTAAAACGTCGATTAGGATTTTATAAACATTTGATTTAATATTCATGTATTTCAGATTACGCCGAATACATCAAATTTAAAAAAAGATATCGCACGATCGGCGTATGGAAGAAAACCCAGGGGCCGGCCACCTTTGTCAAGGCAGGGTTCTAGCAGATTTCCTTTTCCAAGGAGTTATTCTCAAGATGCGTATCCACCTCGTTTACCACAGATTCCGAATCCAGTCCCTGGCAGTCCAATGGATGAACTTTTCAAACATTTTAATCTTCCAGACCTGAATAAATCAAGTCAGCCATCAGTGATAACCCCGTCGATGAATCAACCTCCTAACTTGGATTGTACGCCGATTTTGAAGGATCGCCCCAATTTGTCCATCACCCCTGTTAAACCCGCTGGGGCTAATAATAATAAGGTGTCGAATTCCATGTCACTGTCTGTTACCAAAATAACTGGTAAATCTCAAAGCAATCCATCGACAAGCAAACCTAACAATATATCTCAGATAGCTCAACCGCAGATGCAACACAAAACTTATCAACAATTTCAGAAGGCAGTACAAAAGACACAACAGCAAGTACAAAAGGTGCAACAAATCCAAAAGACACAACAGCAAGTTCCAAAATCACAGCAGCAAGTTCCAAAATCACAGCAGCATAAAAATATTGTTCAGTCAACAACATCGATACGCACAAATCCTCATTTACCATTGACAGCCTCTCCTTCCTTTTCTCAGTTAAATATCACACTTCCACAATCAAAATCTCTGTCGATATCCCCTATTCCAAGTCCCACTTCTCAACAGTCGAAGAAATCACAGTTGTCACCTGTCAATTCAATTTCAATCACCCCAAAACGCCCATCAGTGGCTCACAGTTATCCAGATAATTCTAAACCACCCCTGTTTCATCCTGCTAATCAAATAACACAGCGGACGTCCAGTCCGAAATTATTAGCATCGAGTTCGTCAAGCCATATGTCACAAATTTCTCAAGCCATGCCAAATACGATGGTGCAGATGTCACAATCGCATATAGCCCAGTTGTCTTCACAAATATCACAGTCTGTTCCACAGGTATCGAAAACGGCACAAATGCCACAATCCTTGCCACAGCCGTTGATGAACCCAGCGTTACCGTCACAGATTAAGGCACAAATACCTCAACAGATGCCACCACACCCACTACCTAGTCAATTGTCTTCTCCGCTCCACACCACTAAGCCTTCAGAGCCAAGTTTGCAGCATAAAATTTTATCCGCCAAAAAAATGGGTTCTCCCAGTTATTCGAAACATTCATTGTTAGGACAGCCGAACAATGGAAGTGGTTTAGGTGTAGACATGTCCATAAGAGACAAAATGAAACATACTTCTAGTTCCAGTAGAACTGATTCACCAAAGCCGCCCAAAATGGCAAAATACAGCCATTCTAATACACCAAGCACAAACTTCCACAATCCATTACAAAAATATTCAGCCAAAGAATTTCAAGAATTTCTTGATAGTGTAACTATCATCCCTACTTCTTCTAAGAAGGACCCCCTTCCTCCATCCGTGTTGTCCAGCGAAAAATCGAAAAATTTCAATCAGATACCCAAAAGTTTAAACCCCGCTATAGCAGGCGCCCTGTCGCTTTGTAGCAGTTTAACGATAACTGCGACAAACACAGAAACGCAAAGGTACAAACCAGAATTGCATACAATTCCCCACTCTCATCAAGCGCCATTGACATATATGCCAAAATCCCAATTAGAAAAGAACCAGAAGATTAAAGAAGGTGAAATTATTTGTATAGAAGAAGATGGATAGCTAAGATGAATCGACTGTAAATAATTTGTTTGTAATTATGTAAAATATACGGTGTCTTTAGTGCCAACTTTTATGTTTTTGTAAAATGTAATGTTCCATTTATAGTTATTGTTAATAGTACTGTATAAGACAAATTTGTGATATTTATTTTTTATGTACTAAATTATAAATTTATACTTTAAAATATTAATTTTTTTCATAATTTATCTACATTTCTTATACATGTTTCAAATTAAACAATGTACACAGTAAAATAAATTTTTGTTTCTTTTTATACAGTAATACTCTATCCTTCAACTCTAAAAATAACAAATATTCATCTGATCCAATAAAAGTCAGATGGTTAATTTATACTGTTCGCAAAGTTTATGTTTGAACAATTCCATTTATTCAACAACCAATTCCATTAAGTTTTGATGACTATTACACTCGGTCATTGGTTCCTTCTAAATTTGCCATCCATTTTCTTCAGTCAAAACGTTTTATAAAAGCACATTATAAAAGATGTTCGATCCAATTATTTTACTGCCCTTTTCTAGTTTTTGGGCTTGGATTTCAATTCTGCTTGCCATTGCATTCTTTTCTCTGTTTTTTTTTATCATTTCATGGGTATTGTTCAACCGTCTTGGCAAGCTGAACGATGACATTTCAAGGTGTATCGATGAGGAAATAAGGCAAAACCGGCCAACATTCGGTTCCAAGAGACAGGACTGCTTTGAAAAACAATATCAAACCATTGTTAATAAATATCTCAATGATTAATATTAAATAAATTTTAACAATTACTTGGCTATTTAGAATGTTATTACTTTCAAGTGTTAAAAAAATGAAATACTGTATTTTTGAAGTTTAAATTCTATCATAGATTGTTTCTTTTGATCTCCATCCACCAAAATATTTTATTAAGTTTCTTACCATGAGTGCTTTACACGCTGACTGTGCCTGGAGAAAATTGTTACCTGTTTTTAGGGCGGAACTTTTTTTACTAGTTGGTTTCCTTGGTATGAACATATCTAGTTTATTTTTTTAATGCATTTTTTTAAATAAAAATATTACTGAATGTGCTTTTTACAACTTATATTCATGATTTATTATATTATAAAATAAAATAAATCAATTACATTAATAGTGCCCAAAGGTCAAAATGGAAAAAAAAGACAAAATAAAATTTTTAAAACCATACATTTTGTTGATACAATATGTGTTGGCATAAAATGTACTTTTTACAATTCAAATATTAGTCATATTTTCTTTTCAAAACTTTCCCATTCCCAGAATAAGTATGTAATTTTTTTTTCTCTTCATAGATTTAAATGTCAAAACTTAACTTAAAATGTATTAAAAAAATTATAATTCAACAAAATCCATTATAAAAATTAAAAAAAAATCAGAATAAAATGGAAAATGTTTTACAAAGCCAAACTTCACTCAAAAAATGAAAATGTTTGCATATTTGTTAGTTTTGTTTCTGTATCCTAATATTTGCCTAATTTACAACATAATAAAACAAAATCTCATATAAATATTTAAAAAATAATATTGAATTAATGTTTCACCTACTTTTTTTAAAATAATTACTGAAAGCATACAAATGGTGTTCAATCTCAGTGGATGGCTGGGTTGGTATCCGGAGGGTCTCTTCTACACGAGTTCAAATTCTGTCAAAGTATTTTCAAGGCGTTTGACCCCTCGTCTACGACACAATGGTTAGCTGGGCCTTAAGCCCCCCCCCCCCCCCGTGTTACAATTACTGGTCAATAGCATATGAGAAAACAACTACATAACATACAAATTTAATACTCAAGGAATGAGGAGGAAGAAACAAATACCGTTATCTTCGAATGTGAAGCAACTACTCAACAGACATAACCTGGGACATAAAGAAAACCCAGGGAAAGGAATTGTCAACACCAGTCAAAGTCCTTATATTCCTAAAGAGAAGAATTGAGTCAATTGAACAGAACTAGGAAAGTACAAATAAACCAAAAGGCTGCAGTGCTTGAGAAACACAAAATCCCCATTTTCTAATTTCCATCATCACATCAATAAATATGACATTCTTGAGGAATACGTGGTGCCATTTGTTCCTGTTATTGGTGTGCAATTCTTGTTTATGCAATATCATGTCACCGCCAGGGTTATGCAGTACATTCTTGGTATTTGCACTTTAAAATGATCTTAACCCTATTGAACAATGTTGGGACAATCTTGGATAAAACAAAGAAATAACTCATTAACCTTAGCTGAGCTGAAATTGACATTAGCTGATATGAAATTCCTAAAAACCATGCTTAAAGACTTAATGAGGTGCTGAGAAGATTGGAGTGTGTAATAAGAACAAGAGGACTAACACACCCTATTAAAGATTTGTTAAGTTTATTTTATGTTTTATATTCATACACACAAGTGAAATTTACTTTTTTTCAACCAAATTTTTGTTTTTGAGAGGTATTTTTATTTTCATATAAATAAAATCTTTTAATAAATTCCGTAATTAAAAAAATACAGGTGCTAATATTACTGTGAAAAGACAAGTATATTTCCCTGTTTTGGTGAAAACATATTGTAAGAAATTTATTATCGCATGATAGTATTTATAATCAATCATTTAATTATTACATTAAAACTTAAATTTAAGTCTTATCCTTTAGTATTGTACAAGGATTAAACAAGATATGCAATGCTCAAAAATATTTATTTTAATAAATTATTATTGCATAAGAATGAGTATATTAAAACAATTTCTAAAAAGTAAACATTAAACATCACAAATGAAATATAAGATATTAACATTATCAGTACTAAAATGTGATTAAAACACAGTTTTATAAAAATACTGGTATATAGTTATTGTTCACAATGCGAATGAGTTAAAATATATAAATTAAATCTATTCCAAGATTATTTATTATATTAAGATATGTGACTTATCAACAACTGAAGTACAAAAAAAAAATAATAAAAATTAAGAAACATATATACACATTATTTATTCAATTAACACAATAAGGACTGTAATTGAACCCTCATCATAAAGGGTCACTAAGCAAATTTGTGATCTTCCTGTCAGCATAAGCCAAGTTGTCAAAAAGTCCTTTCGGGCACCCCATACTAATTAGGGTGGAAAATCTGAATGTACGGAAGTTTTTGTTCTCATCGATGTATGTGACTGCTTGCATCAGGGGGCACATTATGATTTTAGTGTGATCCATGAAATTGATCTATACAAAAGTTTTGCAAAATTAATTTTACCTTACATTTTTGGTAAGGTAATGTTTAAAATGAGAAATGTTACCTGAACCGTCCCGTTGGTGAGTTGCATGATGACGGCTGTCGATGACCTGTGCCATAAATGCAGATGGGGTATTCGACTGAAGTTGTCCGATTCTAGAACCGGAACTGACCCTCCAGCTTTCATAAGGTTTTCATTCATGTAACGTCTGAAGTACGCAAGTAGTTTTATTTTCTTATCTAAATTTGGTGGTGTTGAATCCATCAAGTAATAATTCTCAGTGCCATCTTTTTCGATGTAATGAACATTTCTGTTAAAACAAAATTGTTTTAAAATTTCCCAGTTTTTATACTTAAAAAGTATTCACAGTGACATTAAATAATAGATATTTTCGATCGAGACCCGTATGTCATGGAAACAAGTAGATAAAGTGAACCACTGGCTTGATATAAAACTTTAATCTCAGGCTTAGAGCTAGATGCCTGTCAAAATTTATGTGGAATTTTTGGTGATAACATAGTTACTGAACATTGTAAATAAATAGTGGTTCTGACATTTTCATAATAGAGAGACAGATCAAAAATCAGCCTTGTTGAGAAACACCTAAAGAGCCTCATTCACCATCTATTATCTCCAGACCTTGCCCCTTCCAATTTTTACTTGTTCAGCTCCCTAGACAACCACTTAAAAGGTAGGGCTTTTTGAACGGAACACTAAAAATTGGTCTTACAGATTTTTTCTAGTTTGAGACATCAGACATACAGAAAAGGGATGTTTCTTCTACCAGAGCAATGGCAGTATGTTATAGAAAGCAAACAAAATTATATTATGGATTAAAAATAAAATAAATTGATATTTTGAAAGTTTGACTTTTTTCTTTTAAAAAATTAAAAACTTATTGATCGTAGCTAATAAAATATAACCAGTATAAAATTATAACAAACCTATGATTAGGAAGAAGGACTATTTTTGAGCTATCATTGAACATAACCCCAAATCCATCATCACAAAGCTGGTAGCCGAAGCCGTATTTATCCGAGTAATCAACCCATTTGGCAATCCAGATGAATGGTTGAGCAGCCGGATCTGAGAGTTCATCTAGAAAAAAATAAAAAATAAAAAATCAAACTCAAATCAACTGTACTAAATAAACGCATGTAATGGTGTATATACCAAGATCTACTCCTGTCAGTCTTGCAGGTTTGCTTACAATAACTTGAGATATCTGTTTTTGCAGTTGTGAAAGGTACGCCCTACATTGTTTTGCAGTAGCAGTAGAAGGACGTTGACCACTGCAGGAAGCATATACACTCTTTTTTGGTTTCTTTGCATCCCCAGAGGGAATAATTTCACCTCCTTCTGTTGTTAAAAATAAGACAATTCAATTTGTATCAATAAACTAAGATTTCCTCAAACTCACGGTTGACTTCTATTAGGGGCTTCCTGTTTGGCAGATTCATAATTGAGTCAAAGTGAGGTGCCATAGTAAGACATGAAGCTGGAAGTTCCTTTGGCAAAAACCCTTTTAAAGCGAGGAAAAAAATTAATTAACAATTGAATGTTTTACTTTAACTAGTAAAGAAATTACCATTTCTCATAAAATCCATTCCAAGAAGTTGTTTTACAGAAGGCCGTTTAGAAGGATCAGGCAAGAGCATTTGATGCAGCATATAAGCAGTAGCTTTTGGAAGATTGTTGGGTAAATGGTACTCACACCGTTTTATCTTCGCATATGTCTCCTTGAGGGAATTAGTTTCAAATGGGGGCTTACCAACAAGTAAAGTATACCTGAAATGTTTGTTGTTAAACATCCACCCTATCAAATGAAATAAAATGCGAATTTTTTAAGTTACATTATACATCCGATGGACCAGACATCGACCTCAAAACTGTGCCCCTTTTTTGTAAGGATTTCTGGAGCAATGTAATTAGGAGTACCACACAAGGTCCTAAAAGAATATAACATTATATATTGTTAACAATTTATAATTTATTTTCACTTCTGATTTGTTGAAACTTGCCAACTTTAAATAAATTTAAAATTTATTTTTTCCCATAATTGGACAGTTATATCTTAATAATTCATAATTGTATCAGAAGGTGTAAAGGCTACTTATTGCCATTTTGATTTGTAACAAGAAATAATGTTACAATAGGACACCAGATTTATATGAAAACACAATATAAAATATGTATCTTTTTAAAAAGATAGTTCCTACTCTCAGTAAGTTGTTTTCCGAATTTCGAGCCTACAGCTCATCATCAGGTCGAAGGATCTCTACAACCACGTCCCTCGACATGAATTGTAAGACTGAATCCCCCGGCCATTGCGACATTCATATGAGAAGTTGGTTTTTAATGCCGCTAAATTATCACGTGCGAAAATCGGGAATTATAACACAATTAAATAAGAAATTAATTCTAAATTAGTTATTTTTTAAATATATATATTTCTTCTGTATTTTTAAAAAAAATTTTAATCTATTTATTTTTATTATTATTCATTTATTTTTATTAATTAATAAAAGATAAAAATTAAAATGATACCTTAATAATAGATTAGTAAATTAATGATAATATATTTAATTAATTAATTTGTACGCCTAATATTATTTAAGTACTTATTTAAAATAGGAGGTAGATCATAATCCACCATATTATTAATGCATTTATCTCCATGTTCAATTTTACATTTTTTAATTTCAATTTTTCAAACCAATCTAGTTCCCTTCCTTTGCATATAAAATTTATTCCTGTTTTTTAATTATAATTTTTGTTCCATAAAGTAATAATAATGGAGTCAGACTAGCAAGAGTCTTGGCTCATTGTTATCCTTTTATTCTTCCATTCAAATAAGATAAATAAACTAATGCTACATAACAATAATAAGAAACAAAAACACAATAACACTTCTTTTTCACCTAGCAATAATCGCATCTCAGTAGAACTTCATTGATTACGATATTGCCACTGCACTTTTTTTTAGGGAGCTATCTTTCTTATTTAAATTGCGATTTTGGGCATTGCGGTTTATTACTCCGCAATTTGCATTTTCTTCTATTTCATATTTCCGCTCCGGCAGCCTTAAAAATTCCTGAAAAAAGAAAGAAATCTTGCACGCATAACTCTCATTCAAACATTCAATGGTGTAACAATTTGGGAAAAGGTGTAAATCTCATTATAAATTCCAATAAATTTGAGAAAGCTGAAAAGTGCTCTTCAAAACAAACACTGGGGACCCAGTAACTCCTTTAAATCACTCGAAAGGTTGAGCCTTTGCTAAAGGGTTGCAAAGTGCGACAGTTGACCAAAATATGTTTTGCAGTCAGAATGATACGTTCTCCACTTTGCATACATCGAGGACAAGTTGTAAGGTTTTGCCTATTAAAAGCCTATTATGGATTAGCCTGATGTGACCTATTCACAATCTAGGGAGAATCACAAGTTCTTTTCTCTCAAGTTCCTCTGTTGGCCATTTACAACTGGCTTAATTTTTTTCATACTACTCTACAGACTTGTCGCCCACTTTCGTGTGATGTTTTTTAACATAAACAACTATATCAACTGGCAGAGAGGAAATTGATCTGATCTTTGTGGATGGTTTGCAACGTTCCTTGCCTGTTGATCAGCTTTTTCATTCCCAGAAATGCCTACATGACTAGGAACTCAAACAAATACCACATGTTTGTTAAGTGTTTTGATTTCATAGAGATATTTGTGAATTTCTAAGATGTATGGGTCAACCGAGAAATTATTTCTGATGGCTTCAAGACCACTTTTCGAATCAGAGCAAATAATGACATTACTAATTCCTCGCGATTCCTTTATAATGCTCAATGATCTTCTGATTGCATGAAGTTCAGCTGTGTATATGCTAGCCTTATTCGATAGAGACCAGCTGAGGTTGTACTCATCAGCAAATATCCCACATCCTACATAAATTTCTTCCTCTTTCATTTTTTGGACCCATCAGTATAAAAAAACTTTATAATTGGGATAGCTATTTAAAATTTGCAAGAATTCTGCCTTGATCACTTCTCTTTTGTGTAAGACCAGATCTTCGATAATTGTGGCAGTTATTATATTTAAATTTAAATTGTGTTTTGTTTCTTTTAGATTGTCCTTAATTTCCGAAAATTTGGTCGATTTAGGCAAATGTTATTGAACTCTCATTTTTATTTCTCTACCGCATTGTCCTATATATTTAATGTCGCAAACATTGAGACATTAAATATATAAGATAAAGCGGTAGAAAAATAAAAACGAGAGTTCAAGAACATTTGCCTAAATCGACCAAATTTTCATCTAAATTCACTATGTAAAAAAAAAAAAAAAATAAACAAAAAATAAACAAATAAATTCAATAGTTACATAGTTGCAACAAAGGGAGGGAACTTGATTGGTTTAGAAATTTGAAATTAAAAAATGTAAAATTGAACATAGAGACAAATGTATTAATAATATAGTGGATTTTGATCTACCTCCTATTTTAAATATGCACATAAATAATATTAGACATACAAAATAATCAAATTAATTAAATGTTTATTAATATTATCATTAATCACTAATCTATTATTAAGGTATCACTTTAATTTTTATCTTTTATTAATAACAATAAATATAGAAAAAATATATATTTAAAAAAATCACTAATTTATAATTAATTTCTTACTTAATTGTGTTATAATTCCCGATTTTCGCACGTGATAATTGAGTGGCATTAAAAACCTGCTTCTCATATGAACATCGCGACGGCTGGGGGACCGGGTTCAGTCTAACAATTCATGTCGGGGGACATGGTTGAGCTTCTTCAACCTGATGATAAGCTGTAGGCTTGAAATCTGGATCTTTTTTTTTAAATTTTTATTTTACGAGGGTTCGCAACAGCAGAGGTTATATCAACCCTCGGGGTGCCCGTGTTTTTGAAATCCAGATCGTTGAAAACGACTTATTGTGAGTAGGAACTCTCTTTTTAAAAAGATTGAACAACACACTCACTCTACCATTTATCTTTTCTATTAAAATATGTACGCCTTTTTTTTTTCTAACGGGGGTTTGCAGCAACAGGTCATATCAACCCCCTGCCCTGAGTGCAGGTGTTTTTTAAATTTTCAAAAATAAAAATGTATCTTTCTAGTACTAAAATTTTTTTTATAATATAAAAAACCTTTTTTTTTAATGATTAAGGAATTATACAAGTGTCATTAAAGGCCAGATTCCCATGCAATTGCATCTTTTTATTGCTAACTTCAATTGCTATGAGACGAAGACAGAAATCTTTTGATACTAATCTTATTTTACGCAAAGTTGCAGATCGGCGTTATTGCATGTTTTTACACTTTATTGAAAAAATTGTATTTTTCATTCATCATGAAAATTTAAAATTTTTAAGGGTTAACTGTATAGAATAAATGAAATAAGGTGTTTCAGTTGGTTCATTCCATAGACCATTGTTCCTGGAAATAAATATGGTTCCATGGTTTCTACAGAGTGCAGTAGCAAACAAAATTTTCCAGCCTCAACGCGATTAAGAACAAATGGTATTTGTGGATCTTATATGCACTGAATTGGTCTTAGGCCGTCACCAAATTGCTCTACATGAGATGTGCCAGAAAGCATAAAACATATTGTATTTTCCTGTCCCAAATGCGAGACAAAATGGGTGGAGCGCTCAGGGCGAATTTTGCCTGGGTTGTTTTCAACTTCCTATCATATAATATAACAAATATTAAATGAAATTGTTTTATGTACACTTCTGCCGACTGGTCTATTTAGTCATTTGCGTATATCGCAGTCTTTCTTTGGCTTAGGAGCAAGCAGAACCACGTTTAACAAGACAAAAAATTGTTCTGTTTTATTGTGACTAACTTTGTTGTGCTATCTAGATGTATAATTTTAAATTTAGTTATAAAATTTAATTATATATTTGTACATATTGAGTTTAAAAAGTGATTTAAAAAATTTACTCGGATAAATGGGAGTTTTTACTGTAATTACACTTTTTTTTTCATGTTCTGAGGTTTTACTGCACGAAAGTCCAGTCTTTAGTCATTATATTATTTAATTGTATTTGATTATTTGTATTTAAAAAATACTAAAAAGAGATAAAATAAAAATTTAAAACTAGACTTCAAATTATTTGAAATAATATACATTTTTAAATTAGCAAAATTTGTGTTTAAATCTTGAAGTTTGTAGTTTCCTGAAACATGCTTTTTGCTATTTAAAAAATAAAATAAAATAAATAAATAAATAAAAATAAAATAATAATAAAAATTAATTAATCACATTTTTTCAAAAATTAGAAGAAAATAGAAGTTTAAAAAATAGCCCCTAGTGATAAATTAATTTTTTGTTAAAATGACAATAAGTAGTTTTAAAAAATTGCAAATGTATAGTGTATGTGTAGCTTAAAAAATGTATCATATATTATTATTATTAATATATTTTATATTTATCACTACTATAAACTTTCTGTTCTTCAGAACGAGTAACACAATTTTTTATTTATTTAATAATAATATATCACTAAGAATACTGTAAATCTTGTGAGATCTGGGTCAGGTCAGTGTGTTGTAGGTTTTAGGGGTAAATCAATAATATAATCCTGTACATGGTAGTACAAGCCAAATATCAGGCCTTTCACAAATATCTTACTTTTTCCGTTGACCAATGTATTCTATTTTTGCCGCTAGCCCAAAGTCTCCAATTTTGACTTCAAGATTATCATTGAGGAAAAGGTTGCCCAATTTGAGATCCCTGTGTATAATTCGTAAGTCGTGGAGATATAGGACACCCTCGAGGATCTGTTTTATAAAGTATCTCACTTCAGGCTCAGTCAGTGCCTTCCTTCGTCTAAAAAAACAAACATTTCAATCCATTAAAAAATCGTCAAACGAGGAGGCAAAAGCAGTGAACTTACTTGTGCATCTCCATCATAGATCTTTTACGGCAGAGTTCGAGCAAAATGTAAACAAAATTGCTGTCCTCAAAAAAACGATGAAATTTAACAACATGCTTATGGTTCAGGGATTGGTGAATTTGAATCTCCTGGACCATCTTCTCTTTTTGATTATCTTTTGAGAGTAACTTTTTGGGAACTATCTTACCAGCGAATATTTCATTTGTTTTGCAATCCATTAGCTCATAACATTTTCCAAATCCTCCCTGTAAATTTACAATTTGCAATTAGTTGCTGTTCCATTACCTGAACATATAATGTACATTTTTCTATTTTTCTTAATTTTGTAAACATTATACCCTTTTAATATTAGTGACAACTGAAAATTACCATATTCACATTGTAAATTTTAAGAAAGTAGAATAATAAAAAAATGTAACGAAATCTATGAACATTACCAAAAGAATAAAATTAAGTTTAGAAAGGCAACAATAACAAAACAAAATTATGGTTTTACTAATAAGTTAATTATTCATAATAGGATTCAGCAAAATGTCAGATATTAAGATGTTGCACTCATCAAACTCATTTTAAAGAGATAATTATTCTTTTTCATTCTATTTTCTTTTTCATCAATGAAATTATTTTCTTGCATGTCCATTATTTACTAATATAATTCAGTAACTAAACAAAAAGGCAAGCATTTGTATGCTTTAAGCCAATATTGCAAGTTTTGTTAAAAGGAAAATAAAAACCATCACACAGAGAGTGAAATTGAGGCTGGAGTGAGAAAGAAACTGGGATTTTGATTATTTCCTATTATCATTGCATTGATATGTATATGATAAAAATCCAGTGTATTTTCCCATTCTTCTCGGGTAGTGAGTACTTTATGTATCTTAATAAGAGTGACTGCAATCAGAATGAATGAAAGGGATCAATTAAGCTATATTATTCTCTTTTATTATAATAATTTAAAAAATGAACAAGGTTGTGACTAGCAAAGAAGAGAATGGAATTATGCATGATAAAAGGAAATAATCTCAACTAATTAATACAAGTATTATTATTATTTGTCTTTAAATCACTTTTAACTATTTTCTATATATTATTATTATTCTATATTATTACTTTTTTTATAATCACTACAACCATGGGGATCTGTGTCAAGCCTAGACACTGACAGTCTAATCCAATTGGCCCTTTCTTACTTTATTTTAATTAAACAAATATATCAGCCTAAGCAAAACTAAGAAAAACTAATATTTTCATTAAAAAAAGTCCCATAAACAGTTACAGTTGAACTAAAAACCAATTCTGCAAAAAATCAAAATAAATTTTGATGAGTGAAATTGATAAATAAAAATTGATAATTAAATTAAAAATTATTATTCTAAAATAAATTGCATGTATCATGGTTAATAAAAGTCCATAAAAATTAAATAAACAGGAGAAAATGGAACTGAAATTATTCACCTCTAAGCTCAATAAGGGTATATATTACCCGTAACATATATACAAAGATTTTATTAATGGACTTGGTGTTTCATCAGAATTTTAAACTCTCAGTGCCCCCTTTTTTATTTCATGAATGAATATATAATCAATATTTTTGCATCAAGCAGTGAATTTTATTGCTTTGAAAAAGGTAGTGTGTAAAAGTTAACCTCTTTTGGGGTAGCAGAGAGTTTAGTGAGGGTAGATTTTGCCCCCCTCAAATTTAATTAATTTGCAAATTTTTTTTTATTATTCTACTATTGTATTTTATGTGAAATTCCCACAAACACATAATGTAAGGTCACAGATCTGATAAAATTAGACAATAAATTTTTACAAAATTCTGTTTAAATTTTTTTTTTACAAAAAACCAACTCTTCAGGATTGTGATTTTAAAATTTAGACCTTGGTACAAATTCAATGTTTTTAGTAACTTTCCTTTATTGGGCTCATATTTATATTTATGAATTATTTGAGTTTATAAATAGACAAGTAGAATTACCTAAACATTAACATAACTTTTCAAGATGCCTAAAAAGCCATCCAGTTTTGCCCCGGGGGTGTAGAATTAGTAGACAGCCCACAGAGAATGGAAGAACAACCCTCACTGACTCAGAATAAAAAAATAAAAGAAAATAAAGCGATATGAATGTCTGTTTGCTATCAAATATCATGAAAACGGCGTACAAAGACTGTAATGCAAGAAAGACTGAATTTGTATTGAAAGGTATTGATACCATAAAATCCTCCCACTTCAGACAGTTAAAATGAAAAATGCTGAAGCAAGACACTACTTACAAAGTAAAACATTGATACTTCCCCTGTGATATTTAAAAATCCATTATCATGAGATTTCATTTTGGTTTCTGACAGAAGATGAGAGTGCAGTTTGTCCATTCCCAATAATTTTGGTCTTTCAGATTGTGTTTCAGCTTCTTGCCATCACTACATCTTTTACAGCACTGAGTGAGAAGTCTAAATGTGTCTGGCAGATCAAAGTCAGAAACATCCAAATTACATTATTTATATATTCATTCACTACTTTCGTGGTCCACTTGACAAATTAATACATGACAATTAATTAAGGTTTTTAGTTGAGATGAAAAAAGTTAATGGCACGAGAGGGATTCGAACCCACGACCTTCGGCTAGATATGCCGCTGCTCTACCACCTGAGCTATCGTGACCTCGATCCACTCGGATATCAACTCCCCATCTCAACCCCACCTTATGAGTTTTCCCTCCTTTTGCCATTTTTCAATGTGGGTTCGAATCCCTCTCGTGCCATTAACTTTTTTCATCTCAACTAAAAACCTTAATTAATTGACATTATTTATATAATTTTCACAAAATTGGTAACCACGATTTTATGGATCAGGAATGTGGTTCAAAAAATCAATTTGATTTGTTATGTTTTTGCAAAGCTTTTGTTGTTTGCAGGAATGTTTTTTTAAATTAAGGAAATTATGCTCAAAATAACATTTATCAAGCACTAAAACAACTACAAAACAAACATCTTTTTAGAAAGTTGAAACAACACACTAACTCCACCATTTAGCATTTCTATAAAACAACATCTATCTCCACACTTAAATGTTTACTTTTTAAATTTTAATAAGAACTTTTTCTCCATCACAATGTAAGCCTCGTCTAATTGTTAAGTGAGTTATGTTCTTGGATGTAAAAGTACTATTAATGTGTGGTGATTAGTGACAGTTAATTAATGATTACTTGGAGATCATGAGATGTGGTCTGGTGTGGTGTAGGTTTAGAAAAACAACGCTTCGATCTTTATTGAGATCATCTTCAGGGCCTGGGATATATAATCATTGTTTAAATTATACAAATACTTAGGATGTGAAAAAATGAATTTATACAATGCTAGAAATTTTAGATTCAAAGTATTTGTACTCACTCAGTGTTTGTTTTCTGTATAGATGTGACATTATTGTATGTTGTGTTGAGAATGCCAGTGAGATATCAATGTTTTATGCTTATATATGTTGGATTTTGAAGGGATCACGATCGCCAAATAATCATTAATCACTAACCACTACACAGATTTAAAGCTTTGCGAATTTATAAAATAATAAGCCTAAATCACCTCACACATGCACAAAAGCTAAGTGGCTTTACTCCACCTAATAATAATAATCACTGTTTAAATCGTTGAACTTATAATAAAGTTTACTAAATTAAACAAATAAAAATATATTAATAAAATAAATGTTTGTCAATACAAGTTTCGATGAATGATTATGTTGCCAATTAAACTCATTTTTCACTTATAAACCTACCATTTTCTCGTCATCATATTTTAGAGGGATTAGGGAAAATTTATTGAAATAATCTTTTGTGATGTTTTTTAAATATTTTGATCGATCTTTAGAAGGTTTAGTTTGAGCTTTAATCGAGTTTATCCCTTTGATATGATTTCAATGTTAAATAATGGTCAGAGAGGGCGAGTAGGATGTTTTTTAAAAAGAATAAATTAAAACTGAGGCTTAGTTTGATATATATGAGTTAAAATTCAATGTGTTCAAGGTTCAAGAGAGTCGGTCCATACTTTTAAACTTGTAAGCCGGTGTTTTTCGTTAGTCTAAAAAAAAATCGTGTCACCTTTCCGAAAAATCTTTCCCTCTTGTAAGAATTGCCGGAGCTGCTGTCGTAGATGATCTCTGGGATCTGCTCTTCCTTTGTCGAAGTCATTTCGTAGAAAAGTTGGAAACTGCGAGGAAGAGGGCGAGGGAGACGTCGTCGGTTTAGGAGCGTGGACGGCTAACGGACTGCCTGTGCCTTTGCACCGTACTTCTCGGCGGCCGGAGAGGTAAAACCAACGGTCGAAGGAACCCGTTTCGATTCAAAACGGCCAATCGCGAGGAGCAGAGCTGAAGCCCAGTCCGCACGGTTACCGCCTTCCTGAATATCGTTGACGACACTTTTATTTCCCAAATCGGAAAACATTTGTTTTCCCCCGCGCTCACAAATGTGTTTATAAAAACAAATATGTTTTTTATTACGCGGGCTCGTTTGGGTTTTTTCGACTATTTTTGAACGGCGTACTCTTCGAAAATGGGACACCCACTGCTCGTCGGGCTACGCGGGCTATTTCAAATTCGTCGAGCTCGTCATTTACAGGACTCCCTCTTCAAAATTAAATCGAAAAAATATTTATTTTCACGATTTGAATCATACTTCCTGTCTTTTTGAACCTTTTCTTCTCTCAGAAGGATTTTTCTCACAGACATTTTCGCACTGATTAAAACTAAAATACGTTTCGTTTATTTTCAGCACTATAACGCAAATGAAATGCCCAGCTGTTTTTACACTTTTTCAAAACAGTGACTTGATTTATAAGAGAACTTGGTTTTCTAAATAATATTCATTGTCTATATGTACAATATGCATAAATAACGGTTAACAAGTGCATAAGCAAGTTTTACAAAATTTTCTAACAATACTATAGACCTGTTTGCACATTGTGCCAAGTAGAACATGTCATTTTTTAAATTTCATTTTATTTCATATACAGGCTATTATATTAAATTAAAACGATCATTTCTATTAATCTAAAACGATCATTTAAAAAATTGCAAATGAAAATTAAATATCTTTTACTTACCTGATTTACAAAAGAACTTTATTTTCTAAAGAATATTCATTGTATATACATATAATATGTTATATATAATGGTTATCAAATGCATAAGCATATTTTGCAAAATTTACAATACTATAAACCTATCTGCGCATTGTGCCAAGTAGAACCGACCGTTCCTAAACCAAAATTAAAAAAAAAAAAGATAAAATAATTGTAAATGAAAATTAGATATCTTCCTATTTATATTTAAATATTTCTTTATTGCTTTCCGTGGATTCCCCTTGGTCACGTGAGGGCAATAAGAAAGGGGTGTTAAATGTACAATAATAATTATTATTTATAACAAAATAATAATAAAAAAGAGAAACATTCAAATAAATAGAAAAAAATAATATAGGAATAAGCATAAAATAAAAATAATGTAATTGTAATATGTACCTACAGATAAATGGATATTATTGTAAGTGGACGACGGCGAGGCGGCTGAATAATCTCTCAATATTCGCTTACTTTTCTCTAAGCAACAAGAGAGGAGTCGGCGTAAGCGCGTCGCTCCTTATTCTTGTGTATGGGAAGGTAAGGTTCTAGAATTTAATAAACCATAGAGTATATTCCTTAACATTTATTGTAACACAATTCCGTCTCTTAACTGTACCCAAACAACAGAATCTTAATCAATCTAAAAGTCACCCACAACTCTAAATCTGGGATGAGTCTATTAACAAAGGGACTTACCCCAAATGACGCTCGCCATGATTAGTGTCCATAGCATCCCCAGCTCTGTCTGTTCTCTCAACCGCTGACTTGGTTTGACGGGTCGCAATGGCTGCTCCTCGCTGGCTCTGGCTGGCTGATTTTCCCTTATTCCCTTTTTGAGTCCCAGACAGAGTGCAGTTACTTCTGTTCTGGATTGTCTCTTGGAGTTGACTGTTCACTCCCTGAGGGTGAGTCTCTGGTTTTGACTTACTTTTGATTTCTCAGTCATCCCTTTTTATACCAGTTTCTCTACTGGAGTAGGGGTGGAAAGGAGAATCAGGAGTGAACCGGCGAAGATGGGTGTCACGCACATGGTTGACGCGACCCCAATTTATGATGTCCCATGTCACTACATATTTTTGACTGTGTGACAACCCTTCAGCACTAAATAACTAGACGATAGTTATTTATTTGATTGGTTGTTCAATTATTCATTATTTTTCGTGGTCCGCTTGACCAATTAATTAAGATTTTCAGTTGAGATAAAAAAGTCTGTCGCGAGCGGGATTCGAACCCATGACCTTCAGCTTGATATGCCGCTACTCTTTTTATCTCAACTGAAAACCTTAATTAATTGAATGATATTGCAACTATGTTCTCCAGGTTCATGGGAAACTTGATGTGTTCCAGTCTGGGTCTGCGACACCCTTCGACGTTCTTATCTATCTGTCCAATGGTGTAATTATTTCAAAGTTATGTTTGCCAGATTTGAGGGGGACGTCACGTCGTTCTCGTCTGGGTGATCGCCTTTTCAGATTTACAACCTTTGTTCCCTATCATCGTTTATCCTAATTTTTTCTTGCTTTAACAAATAAAACTTATCCCTAAGACGGGGGGATTTATCCCTAGGGGACAGGATTATTTGGTCATTTTATATAAAGGAGTCATAGAGAGATGTTGGTGCCAGTACATCTCGGGTCGAAGAGGGTGAGAGAAGCCCACGCTGTTCTGTTTGGTCTTCCCCTGACCTTGACCTCCAAACAAAGCAAAGCCTATTAAAAAATATATTACCATAAATATTATAAGAGAAAGATGGTATAAATATATACATGTAAGGAAAAATACATATAAGATGCATAAAAAAGAACAATTTTTTATTTGTGAACAATAATATATGGTACATTATTGTTTGATTATATCAGTTGCATTTTTAATTTTACATGCAGACTACATCAGTCTTAAAAAATTAACTTGAAATGTAAATTGAGGTTGTTTGTAGCCACTTACCAATTCTTTTTTTTTTTATATATTGATATGCAGGTAATGATGATATGTTTACTGGCAATTTATTTAACAGTTTAATGCCAATAAGTTTAAAACTATTACTAATTTTTGTCTTTGTACTTAACGGATGTAACAATTTATTTATATTTCATATTTTATGTTCATTATTTACAATATTTTTTCTTTGTATACAATAGAGTGAGATATACACTCAAAGATTAAAAAAATTGTTTATTTCAAACTATTTGTATTTTTGTCGTTACATTAATTACAACATACATATTTTAATATAAACCGAATTAAACAAGATCAGAAATTAATTTAAAAAAATGAATTATGATGTTTTTAAAGAAAATTCACCAAAACACTGAAAATCATTTACTGATAGATTAAAATTTAACTAACAATTTATTCTACCATTAAATGATATCTCAGAGTTTTGGTAAATTTTCTTTTAAACTATCATAATTAATAATTTTTATTAAAATTCATGAATTTCTGATGTTGTTACCGCTAAATTAATTCCATTTTGCATTGTTATATTTTGCTTGAAGGTCTTTCCTAATCTTAATAAGTCCTAGATTCACTAGTTCTGCCATTAGTTTCTGTGATAGTTCTTTGATGAACTTTTTTGTATGCCGTTTTCCTGGGATACATTCCTGTTGATTGGAGGACTTTTTTTTAATCTCTTGTCTGGAGTATCCATGTTTTTGGCAGTTTAACATAGCACAAAAGGTAATAGGTGTCCTTATCAAACTTACCTTGGCTAATTTTTTATTGCCCATCTTCCCTGTGTGTCATGGGGGGGGGGAATAGACATTATAATAATAAAAAAAAAAAATAAACAATCCTTTATTGAATTATATAAATATTATTTTATTTATTTCCAAAGATTCTGGCTTAAATATCTAATAAAGGCATAATCTTACATGTCACTTCACTGCCATTAACATGAAATTGCTACATAAATTAATCACAGAAATGTGACGTTTTCAATAAGCCTACTTTGGCCTATCGGAAGCACTCAATGAAAAGTAGCTTAAAAGATGTATGAGGAATTGTTTGAAGTTGAACAAGTGAAAACTCATCAAACATCGATAATTTTCATCTAATAGTTTAATCTAATCTGAATTGGCAAAACTAATAATCTCAAGCAATACACACATTTACAGAGCAGAAACTTTTGCAAAGCTATAATCATATGTAGAAAAGTAAATTAATTTCTAATCTAGACTAAACAATGATTATGTAGTTAAATATAAGTTTGCCACCTTTTGTAATAAACTGAACCAGGATCGATATGCTTTTTATATAATTTAAGTTTGTGAACTTTAGTATAAATATAAACACACCACTCTTTTACTTTTATGATTTTTTTTTAAATTTTAAATTTAATCTATTGGTTTTGTATTGCTAAGCTTGATGACTTTGGTATATTTTGACATTTGGAAGACTTATTATTGTAACTTTTCAAATAAAGCTTTTAAATGCACAAATTTGTGTTCCATCTGAAATGTTTTTAAACAGAATGTTATTGAACAGAATTGCTTCAAATGATTGTACAATCCTAGAAAACAGCATAATGAATAATTAGAAGCACTTAATTTAAAATTGTCTACATCATTTTAAACAAAAACAATAAACATAAATGCGATGTATGAATGCAGTTATGACTAGATAAATTTAGAGAAAGAAAAGATCATATAACATTGCTAGCACATTTAAATAGTCTTTTGGTTAAGTGTGAAATTTAAATTCTATTATCACAATTTTACTGATACTGCAACATACATTTCAGTCAACAAAAATGTAATCATACATTTCAGAACAACTACCATCATTTTTATCTCATCTTTGAGCTTTAGTAGAACAAACCGAATACTGACGATATTGTCTTCCCCTTTTATGTATATTTCAGGATGACTGACTGAGCAAAACAAAACTCAACAGTATTTTATAAAATGATAAATTTTAAATTATTATACAATTATAATTAATTGGCACTATTTTTTTATTGTTATTAAAATATGCTAAAACAAAAACCTGAGCTCGAGCTTGGTTTAGAATAGGAAAAAAGTGTTCCAGTGAAAGTTTTAATATTTTCTATTCATCCACCTTCTGTCACCTTTTTAAAAATTGTTCTTATAAAAATAAACTTTCACAGCATTGAAAGTTTTCTTTTTGGCACAAGAAATAATTATTGACAGTCAAAGAGGTCTTGTTATGGGCTTAGGTCTTCATAGAGGTAACTCAATTTTTCTTCCATTCCTATAATTTGTTCGAACAGAGATAAGCAGTCTGCGTCCTCCTGCTGAAATATTTTATTTTCACAATATTTCAACAGAGCAGTCACCAGATCACCAACACTCCACTGTCGATCAAGCAGCACACGGCATACAGTATCCAACTGAATTATAAAAAAAAGGCATTGTAGTAAATTAAAATAGTTAAACAAAATTATATATTGTAAGACATAAGTTTGGAATTTTTCCAATTTAATCATTTAAATAATTTACTGATGCTATCATTGTTTTTAAACATAAAAGTATTGTAGCAGAGTATTAGAACTATAGCATAAAGTACCTTATTTAATTCAGCATTAGTAGCGGTAAAATAAAGAACGTGGGGCAAGAGGGCAACACTTGCTGCAAGCCATTGAATCAAAAGTTTAAGCTGAGGGTCGCCTTTTTTTGAAGAGCAACCCCAATTGAAAGTTGCAAGAGGCATTAGATCATCATTTTGGTTTAATACTATAGAAACCTTAAACAAACGTGAAATTAGAAGATAAAACAGTAAATTATTAATTGACTTACTAATTGGGCAGCTAATTTATTCCTATGCCTTGCCAGTTCGAGACTTAAACTCCTTGCGGCAATTTTGATGTTTTTTGCTGGGATTTCTTCCTCTTGAAACCCGTCGGTGACAGGAATGCCGACAAAGCTTTCAGAGAGTGTTCTTTTGAGAAGATTGCCAGCGAATTGCCTCACCGCCTTGTCCCTGATGGCTTTTATGTCCATGTCTTGTGGTATTGTTTTGTCTTCGTCCAACCACCGGCCGAGCTGCTCGTAAACATGCTCCAACTCTAGAACAAAGGAAAATTAAAGGTGTAAAATCAAATGTTTGAATAATTTCAAATGTTGTACCTGAGCTGTAGTCTGTACTGAAACTATACTTTGACGAGGCTGATCTGTGCTGCTGTAATTTTTCCTTAAAACTTTCATTCTTCTGAGATTCACCATCAAGTACAAACCCACATGACCCTTCTCGATCATATCTACCAAATAATTATTTTTTGTAGTTCTCTCAATATTTGACTCTTTAAAAAAAAAAAAAAAAAAATGACCAGCCTTGTTCATTATACTGGGTCTGTCAGTATAGTGATCAAGTGCCAATCAGTTTAATATGTAATTTATTGGTATTTCTTCTTTGGGTTGTTGAATTATAAGGATGTTGGTTGGACCAAATGGGAAAGATATAACAGCAAATCTTTTGTTTCAATTCATGTATTTTGAGATATGTTTTGGTGAAACAGAAGATTTGCTGTTACATCTTTCCCATCCAACATCTTTCAACGACTTGCAGACCAACAACCATCACTAACTGAAAGGTCTTTACCTTAAATCTGAAATTTCAGATTCTGTGGAAGCAACCTCTGCCCTGTTCAATGCTTCTTTAAGCCTATCTGCAAATATACTTCTCCTTTCACACTTTTCCAAATTACAGCTGTATCTCCGGACAGCAGCATCTTCAGATTCTGAATACTTTTATATCATTAATATATAGCAATGGTGAGGATTATATTTATTACTTTATTTTTCTCACCCTCTTCTGTGAAACTTGTTCGAGCTGAATGATATTCTGTTTCTAGGTCTGGGGAAGTAGAATGACAGCTAGAATAGCGAGAAGGGATTCTTGTAATAGGTAGGCATTCACCGGATGAACCGAGCACAATAAATCTTCTACTTACAAGTAAATGGTCAGACTGCTTTACTGGCAATTCCTAAAACCAAAGTGTTTAGTAGGATGAAGCAAAGTTTAAATTATATTTGGAAATTACAGTTTTTTTCGATGAATGGTCTTTTTCTGGTGTTGAACTGAATGATTCACCTATGGGAGAAAGCCGGGGCCGCGGTAGCCGAGTGGTTAAGGCGTCAGACTCTCGGCTANTTGGGAGCAAATTGTTGGTAGGCTGCTTCTGACGAAATCCAAGCAGTGCTTTATTAAGCTCTCTTAGTATGCTGTCCTGCTGATACTGTAGAATGGGCAGGGTTGAAAAATCATCTGGGTCCATACAGCAGAATGTCAGCTGAAAAGTTGAGTTTAAACATTCGGCTAAATATTTATTTTTCTATTTTACTTACGGAATTCGGGTCTGTCAGTTTTTCAATACTAGCCTTTCCTTTTGGATCTGTAATTCTTGAAATCTGTAAAACCCCTTCTAAAATTATAACTTCGTTATCTTCCAATGCTTCAACACAAAGAAGGATTATAAGCATTTCAGGACAAGTGATAAGTTGGATACACTCCTGTATACACACACAAAAATATATATATATTTAAATTTATAATTTTGTTTCACGACAAAAAATATCTTACCATAGATTTTCCATCGGAAAGTACTTTACCTCCCAATCTACTAGAACTACCACAAACAATCATATGGTCTGACCCTACACAGTTAATATCACCATTTCTTCTTATTAGCAACGGACATAACGGCAGTTTACACTGGGACCAGTCTTCTATCGTTAACCAATGAGTTCCTAACATAACCTTTAAAAGGTTTAAATTATATTAAAAAATGTTTAAGTATGAATTTTGATTTTTTTAAAAAGCGATCAATACCTGTCTTGACAAGACTATTTTTTTGTGGTGTGTGTGTTTGTTTATTATATTGAAATAATGAAGAAGACTGAGTAATTTCGCTTTCTGCCAATTCCTAAAATGAATATTTCCTATAAAAAACTAATATTTTTTTATATGCTGGTATTAAACAATAAAAACAAAAAGCAACAGTTGAAATTTGAATAACAAAGTGCCCGGTAAAAAAATAATGTGAAAAAAGTCTAATTTTTAGTATTAATCCCTATATTTTAGGAACTTCAAAAAATTATACATTTTTAAAGATTATTTTTACTAATTATTTATTTAATTACTTGGCTTTCAAGTGTTGCTTCTATATATTACATCTATATATAAATTTATCGATAATTCTGTAATTACTTACAAATGTAGATAGCGGAAGAAATAAGTACAGTTAAAATCTTGAAGTGTGGGATGTGTTTTGGAAGTTCTTTTAGGAAAAGTGGAAAAGAAACAGTGTGCCAGAAGAGACGTGACAAATTCCCTTTCAAATTCAACTTTGTCAACTGAAATCAGCATCAGATTGGTGGAGAATAAAAGTGTGTTAGAATATAAAAACCAGCAGTACCTTGTTGTTGCAAGCTGAAATGAAGGCCGTTGGGGGGACGCAGCCTTTTAAGATCCAAGGCACTTTGTACAATATTGGGAAGGGTATGGTCAAAAAATATACTCCTCTCTTCTTCAGACATCTCTTCGTCCAGATACTTGCTTAAACCTTCAAAAACCTCAAGGTCAGGTGCATCCGTCTCATCCGGGTCAAGGCCAACGCTAAAATATTTAAAATGTTAATCCTTCGTATTGTATCTTTTTACGTGTTGCTTGATTATTCCATACTTGCACAAATTGTGAATCCTCTGCATAGGGTTGATTAAATCTTTGGAAGTTTTGGCGGTGGCGATTTGTGTTAGGTGATGTACTATCGTAGGCCACCAAGGAAGGTCACATGGTAACATAACTAAAGCCATTTTTGCTAATGGGTATTCAAATCATGAAGCTAGAAACAAAATTAATTCAACTATATGACTATGAACCTTAAAATGATATAATTTCATTCAAGATCAAGAGCAACTATAGAAAAATCTTTTAAAAAAACTGGTAATCTTAATAAAAGGGTAAAAGGTAATCAATTTAAACAAATAAAACATGACTTAATTTGTATAAATAACATTATATCAGTGAGAAAAAATTATTTTTTGACAAGAATATATGCTTATTTTTAACAATAAGTAATTATTTACTTATGTTTATATAAACAAAAATAGAAATATTAGCTAAATGGTTTTTATTATTGTATTATATTGTCTACTGAGGCTTTACATAATTAATTAAGATATGAGATAAATAAACAAATATGTAAACATAACATAAAAAATGAAATTAAGTACAAAGTATCAGGTACTTGCTTAATGAGGTGGAGAAGAGAAGGGATGAAAAAACAAGGTGGAAGTGTTGAAAGTAAAATGAAATCTTTCTCCAAAATTTTTTTTCGCTTATTTAAAACTTTAAATGCATGCACTACTTTATGAAAGGCTATATTTTGGAAAATGAGCTATTGCAGGATTTTTGTTTATTTAAGTTTTCGTTTATCTTGGAATTAGGCTAAAGCACAGGACACCACACTTTGAGAAACGCAAACTGCCTATGTGATATGCACTTGCCGGTGACCTTGATGACTCTTTCTCACAATAATATTGCAAAATTTTGGTTCAAGATGATGTCAGTCCATGGTTAAAGAGAAATAAACCTGGATTAAAATGGAGAAAAGGCGAGACAAGATGATTGTTTACAAAATGAGTAGTTTTCATGTTTACTTTTCTTAAGGAAATCCATGATTAAAAATGAGGTTTTAAAAATGTTGTTTTTGGTTTGTATTTTCTATTTTGCTTTTTCCAATTAACAAGAATATATAGGTTTTATTTAAAATTAATATTAATTTTATTTAAAATTAATAGAAAATGAATAAATTTCAAATATCCCTATTAATTTTTGCATTTTATTCATCAATGGCATCAAACCCACTTCAGAATATCCATCTGTACATGACAATATCAAAAATTTTGTGGAGAGGGGTGTTTCATTTAATGGGTATCAAAGTTTCGATAATCACTTGCCTATCACCGCTGTTTTGGTCTGCTACATGCCTTTTGATATTTTGCCATCTTCGTTGCTGAGTCTCCACACAAAAACGACCAAATTAAAGTTCATCACTCTGCAGACCTCAAGGACAAACCTTACAAAAATGAAAAACTTGATGAGTTTAAGTTTATGAAATATGGAATTTACTCTAGAGGTCTGCCAGGTGCCGAGTTTAAATTCAATATGAAATGACACATACTATTAACTAGTTCATTGAAAAAGTATATGAATCATTATACATTAAATGAAAGGAATGGTCTTAGTATGCTTCCTTGTGTACTCTTGATAACATGATCTGATAACCTTTGGTTGAAAATATTATGAGTACACTGTATTTTACATATGATTTCTAATAAATAAATAATAACTATTAAGTCTGTTGATAAATGTTTAGTGATGTTCATGTTGGAAATTTTTGTTAAGAGATCTTTCATGATCCATACATTACGGCGCTGTGAATATACCCTACCGTGAAGACCGGAGAATATTGAAATTTAGTGTTTTTGACGCCTTAGCGATTGTCTGGTCGGAGTAAACCGACTAACGTGTTAATTTTTGACGCGCTGATTTTTTTCTTTCAATACTTTACATGTTGAGTAGTACTGCTTTGCCTTTTAGATCTTGCAATTTGTATTGGACAATAGGCTGGTCTGGTCGCACCGAACACCAAATTTCAAGACTTCAAGTGTCCCCGGTTTAGTCTAGGCGCAGCGCCTTGAAATAAATGTACTTTTGAAAAAAAAAGTTTTCTTTGACTCTTTCAAAACTACGAACCTTTTGAAGAGACAGGAAAATGTATACAATAAAATTCCTTTCAATATTTATAATCGAGAGATAAGCGAAAAGTTCAGAAATACTTAGTGTATGCAATGAGCCATTAGATCGTTGCACTTACCCGCACGCATCTAATAGAATCAAGCTGAACAGTGTATAAGGTGCAGAAAAATAGAGAAAGAGAAAGAGTAGGAGAGAGAAACAGAGAGAGAGAGAGAGTCAGGGGGAGGGATAGAGAGTAAAAAAAGAGAGAAAGAGAGAGAGAGTAGGAGGATATATCATTATGTAAAGAAAATAACAATGGACCAATGATTGAACCATAGGAACACCACTGAGCAAAAGTCTAGCACAACAATTATCAGTATTCCAATTACATATTGGAATCTATTCGAAAGGAAATATATAATCATAGAGCACGCAGAAGAATCAAACTTACAAATAGTGCATAGTTTGTTAATGCGAATTTGATGTGAAATTGTAAAATTTACACTATTATTTACAAATACAGTATATATGAACACACACACACACACACACACACACATAATTTTGTTTATTGCACACTTGTAGACTTAAATTAATATTTTTAGCTTATTTAGAAAGTTCAAATATACACACTAATTTATGAAAGGCTACATTGCAGAAAATGTGCTATTGCAGTATTTTTGTTTATTTAAATTAAGGATTACTAAAGAAAATTCCGATTCCAAGTCATGTAGACTTGTATCTTTAAAATATTTTTAATTGAAAATTGTATAAATGCACTAAAAAATTACTATACTCTCTAATTACTCTAAAAATTACTACATTCTCTAAATTGGTTATTAGTGGTTTAAAATCTATTTGTTCAATAATGTTCCAATTTTGTTAATTATTACACTAATTTCCAACGTCAATAGACATTTAAAAAAATTATTTTTTGTTATAAATAAAAAATGATACAATTTATCATAATTATTAAAATTTAGTTTTCAGTTTTGTTTTGTAAGAAAACAAAGCCACATTGATGAAAACACAAATGAAAAAAATCACTTCTTCAAACTTGGGTTTTATGAAAATAATCATTATTGGAAAATTGTTTAAGCATTTACCATGCTTATTTATTTTTATAATAATAATGGATAAAACGTGATTTTAATACAATAACGAAAGGAAGGTTATAGTGTTTACAAAGGGTCAAACAACGAAGTCCCATCAAGGGTTTAATTTTCCTTAGGGTCCTAGCGATACACAGAATGTGTTAGTAGGGTACGTACCTTCGATATCCTTCGGGAGAGGATGTCAAAAAGACTTTTCTGCACAAATTTAAACGGCTAGTTACAGAATCTTCGGCCGAATCGAAGAGCGATAAATCATATTACATCTCCAAAAAGGGACAAAAATCACATTTCGCACGATTATCAGGCGATGCCAGGACCAAAGCCACTGTTTATTTTGGCCATTTCTCTCCTGTTAACGATAACCGTCTATTTATACGAAAAAGGGACGGGGAATTAAAATAGCGTCGCAGCCGGGCAGGTATCGGAAAGAGCATAGGGAACACCGAAATAGCGAGAAAGATCAGGACAAGGCTGCAACAAAAATAATACCAAACTTAACGCCTTAGGTATAAGCATTTTCGAAATTTAACCTAACCGTACGAACGAAGAGTTTTATTAATATCTTAAAAGCGTGGCGGACCCCCATCACGATCGGTGCCCCCCTTCCGACAGATCCCCCACAGGCACGGTTTGCGCATATTCCATCCTCAGATCGCATGTCCAGAATCCAATTTGCCCTTATATTTTTACACCACGGGGAAAATTTTTATCAATGACATTAAACCCACTTCAGAAGTGTCCTCCTATACACGGCAATATCAAAAAATACAACACGCGCATTCGATATCACTGATTTTTTTAAAAACAAAAACCCCGTTAACAATATCACATTACCCATCGTTGTATTTTCGTGGAGAGTGTTTCATTTAAGTTGCTAGGTAGTATCAAAGTTCCGATAATTTTACCCTGCCAATTCTCGCTGTTTTGGTCTGTTATGTGACGTTCGACATTTCGCCATCTTCAGTGCTGGATCTCCACACGAAATTAAAGTTCATCACTCTGCAGTCCTCAAGGGCAAACCGTACAAAATTGAAAAACTTGATGAGTTTAAGTTTATGAAATATGGAATTTTCTCTTGAAGTCTGCCAGGTGCTGGGTTTAAATTCAATATGAAACAACACATTCTAATAACTAGTTCATTGTAAAAGTGTCCGAATTATTATACATTAAATAAAAGGAATGGTTTTAGTACGCTTCCTTGTGCTACCCTCGATAACATGATCTATCTATTATAGATAAATATTTCAGTACCCAGTATTTTACATATTATTTCTATGTGTATAAATAATAACTAATAAATCTGATTATAAACGTTTAGTTCATGTCGGAAATTTTTGTTAAGAGATCTTTCTTAATTGGATCCACATATTACGGCGCTGTGAGTATACCCTACCGTGACGACCGGGCAATGTTGAAATTTAGCGTTTTGACGCCTTAACGATTGTCTGGTCGGGGTAAACGACATTTTGTTTATTTTTGACATGCTGATTTTTTTTGATACTTTACATTTTGAGTAATACCGCTTTGTCTTTTAGAATTGTAATTTGTATTGGACAGTAGGCTGGCCTAGTTGCTCGGAACATCGAATTTTAAGACTTCAAGTATCCCTTAGCCTAGTTGCAGCGCCTTGAAATAAATGTATTTTGTTTTCTTTCACTCTTTTACTACTACGACCTTTTTGTAGAAACAAGAAAATCTAAATAATAAAATTTCAATTGTTGTTTGTTGTTTTATTCAACGTTCATACAATTTTTGTAGTATTACGGTCTACAATATGAGGATGCCTGCGATAAGGATGGCGATGAGGATATATCATTATGTAAAGGGAAAATAACAATGATCCAAAGATTGGACCTTGAGGAACACCTATGATTTCTATAAGGATAAATATATACAAATAACTAATAAAGTCTGATGATAAATGTTTGCTGACGTTCACGTTTGAAATTTTTTTGTTAAGAGTTATTTTATAATTGAATTCATATCTTACGGCGCTGTGAGTATACCCTACCGCGACGACCGGAAAATGTTGAAATCTAGCGTTTCTGTCGCCTTACCGGTCTGTCGGGGTAAATCGCCCATAGTTTTTATTTTAATCAAAATTATTTTGCTTCTTGTTGGGGGTTATGTTACGTAAGCCAATGGAGATTATTTCAATAATAAAAATGTTTATACTACTTTTTAAAGTTAGTTTCACTTCATAAACTTCACTTCCCACTTCATAAAATGACCTGACTTCGGAGGATATGGTATTTAAGAACGATTGAAAAATAAAACTGCATGCGTTATCTGCTGAAATGACAGAGTTTTTGATAGCCCTTGATTGGGTTTCTCAACACAAATTAGTTAACTCACCGTATTTAAAAAAAGTTTTTTTTTCTTCACTCCCTAATTTTACTTCTGTTAATGAAATTATTCCCCTTATTTTAAAACGTTCGGAACGTAACAAATTTTAATGAATAATTACCTCTGAGGAAACTTAACTTTATAACCGAAATTTTAACCGACCCTTATTCTTTGGACGTTTGTAAATTAGTCCAAATGCAGTAAAAGGTTGGTATGTAAACCGGTCCAAACCGTTAGAGCCTGTTAGGGATGGTTAAAGTTACCTACCGTAATAATAATAAAGGTGTATATATAAATATTAATAAAATTCTTTCGATGACAGCAACGCGGTTATTGCTATTCTCCGTCGATCCTCTCGTTGCGCTTTTGTTGGAGAAATATTTTGATCTGGAGCGTCTCGGGAAAACGGTGGTTGTTATCTGGGTACCAGGACACAAAGATCTGGAGGGTAACGAAAAGGCGGACGAAGGGGCTAAGGCCGGGAGTCAACCTATGAACTTAACCACCGCGATCCGGCCCTCTGAAGTTAAAAATGTAATAAAAACCTTATTAAAAAGTGATATCGTTAGTGAGCAATCAAATTTAGTCGGAACTAAACTCTTCAAGCACACAATTATAATGAATAAAATTTGATACCAATTCTTAGAAACTTGAATACATGACTCTCTTTACATTATACAGTCTCAACAGACTAAAAAGGAGAGAAAGAATTCAAGAAAACATCAGATACAGTGATTTGGTATATAGATGGCTCTAGAACAAACGAAAGAATAGGATTAGGTGTTTTAGAGTAAGACTATCTTTTTAAAGTGGAGAATGCCTGAATTTATAAGTTTCATGTACGAATTGTGACGTCTACAACGTACGTAAAAAGTGGAAGTAGAGGGCGTCTTCATCATGTTTTGGTTTCTGGTGCCCGGTGGCCGCCGGCCGGTACTGATGTCTACACTCTACAGTCTGTAGATAGGGAGGTTCGTTCCTGGAGATTGCTGTTCTCGTGGTCGTTGTTCCTTGACTTCCTTCTGTTGCTGAGTGTGATTAAAATGACAGCACCGGCGACTGCTTTCATGTTACCGTCCAGCGGCGGTGGCCAGTGCATAAAGTACGCGGCGAAGGCGATCCGGCTGGCACGCCGCGGCTGCACGAATCGTCCCTTTTACCATATCGTCGTGATGATGAAGCGCCGTAACCAGCACGACCAGCCGATCGAACAGCTCGGCAGCTTCGACCCGATGCCGAACACTAACGGTGAGAAGCTGGTCGCCTTCAACTTCGAGCGAATTGGCTATTGGATCGGCGAAGGGGCCGAGATCTCGACTCCGGTCGCAGAACTGCTGGGCCTCTCCGGCTTCCTCTCGCTCCACCCGACGACGCTCATGACCGCCTGGAGGAACAGGAAACAAAATCTAGAAAAGAAAGAAGACTCCCCTTCGTAATGTTCAACCAGTTTTATAATTATTACTGTTCTGTAAATAGCCATGTAACTAAAATTAATTTTACAATTAAAATATCATAGCATTTTTCTCTCTATTTTGTCAGGTTTTTTTTCCATGGGGTCAAAAGGAGATGCATCTGCAATTTGGTCGCCTCCAATTATTTTGGACTGCCAATTCTCGTTAGTTCGGTCCAGTCTGGCTTGTGTATGGCATTCCACTGTCAGCCACATAGATACTGTGACATTGAGACATTTATTACTGAAGATGGCGAAATGCCGAATCACACTTGACATCAAAATTGATTGAAAGTTACTATTTATTTACTTGCTTGTAGTTGACTAACAAAAAAGTCTACATGCACCACAATAACTTTTTAACAGAAATATTATACTCACACAAAAAAAAATAATTTCATCATTTCAAGGGCCAACTTGTCGAGTGCATTTATTTTTTTTTAATTTATTTTCTTTGATTAAACAAATTTGAGTAAAAAATTAATTATTAATAGCATGGTTTAAAGTTGGGAAGATCTCACCTGGGCAGTTGCTTTGGCCAACGACGAACTTAGTGTCCGATACATAGCTCATGTCCTGGGGGCGCCACATTCTACCATCTACAATGTTCTACAGTGTGATTGGAAGTCGAGTTAAGAGAAGGTAGTGGTCGTCTACAATGTACGACAGCTAGGGATGATCGTTTTATTGCTCTGACTGCACTACGGAACTGTCATTTAACAGCTCCCTTGTTAGGTAGTCAACTCCAAATAGGCAAATGCCTAGTCTCTAGAAAGTCCCACATAGGTTCTCCACTATCGAAAGGTGTCAAGTAGAAAGGCAACTTTTCACAAGATTCTACACCAAGGCCTCTCTGCTGTCTATGCTATGGAGGTTGATTAACTACCTGAAGCTGTCTAGTGAGTTACAGTAACAGAGGAGCACAATAGATCAACTCAGGTCAAGATGCAGTATTTCTTTTATTTTACAAATTCCAACCTTTAATAATATTACAACATTTTAACAAAGTTAATTTTGTGAAATTTCTTTATAGCCTCTGTGAGTTGATAAAAATGTAGTTTGCGCATTCCTGATTCATCATCCATGACAGAACTAGTACTGAAGCCAGCAAAAAGCTGAAACGGTGCAAAACGATTGGGAATAACCGAATTATTTTCTTGTATATACTGTGCTAAACAGTTCCTCACTGAAAATGGCACAATGCAGAAACGTGCTTTAGAGTTATTTAACAAACCTGCAAGTGTGACAGACCCAATAAGTGACCCTATGCCCGTTCTGCATGAGTTCACAGGCTCGCAGACCAACACCCATCAACTCTATGCCAAAAAAAGTCTAGATACAGTATAAAAAGAAAAACAACATTTAACATAAATAATAAGTTGAAGTGAGTACATAATTTAATAAATATACGAACCTACGGACAATAAACATTCAAATATTTAAGTTAAAGTTTAATTTGATATGCATCAGGAAATAAATAAATATTATTTCATTATAAAAAATAAATTCCCTTTTAGTTAAGGAAAAAGTCAGGAACTGCTAAATAAAAAAAATAATTAAAGCGCTAAGCAGATGTATTTACAACAAAAATATTAAAAAATAACATAATTTGGTAGTATGAAACATATTTACATAATTTTACAAATTAAATATAAATAAACTAAATTCTTCAGAAGATAAATCACATCTTAAATATGCATTTTAAAAATATTTAAAAGTGTATAAATTATTTATAAATAAATAAATAGGATATAAAGTGTCATTCTGTCGCTTTAACATTTAAAAATTCAATTTTCAAAGTGAGTCATATTTGGCAGTTTATTTTAAAAAAACAGACACACTTTTTTTTGTTAAATATTAAAAATAGAATAATAAAATGGTAAACATAAACAAGTTTGTTTTATCTTAAAATTCTTTGAAGTGGATTATAAAAAAAAATTAATAAATAATAAAAAGATGCACTCAACAAACATTTCACACAAAACAAAACGTAAAGGATCACAAGAACGTAACAGTTTGTACTTTGTAGCACCGTATTACAGTTCAAAAGTAAGTAGGCCATAAACAATAAAATACTGACAACTTTCTTAAAAATTAGATTAAAAGTTTTTTTAAATATATAATTTTTGTATTTTTCTGAGAAAAACAACAAATAGAATAATACCTACTTAACAGACAATATTAGGTGCAATATATTATTAAATTATCAGTCGAATACAGGCTGGCCTTCGAAAGTCTCAGGACCGACCATCACGCATGGTTTTTACCCTCGTTCATTTTAAACCGCCTTTGTACTTTGAAACAACTTACACAATAAATGCTTACACTAACAGTTTGTTAACAACTTCAGATGAGAATTAAAAAATAAGATTCAAATGGTTCAAAAGTTTAACAACTCGAAAGACATTAGAGGAAGAAACAATGGTCTAATGCAAATACATATTTTCAATTTGAATTTATTATAATTCAAAGGGAGAAAATATTATTTTTTGAAATGTATCAAGCTAATATTTAATGAGATTCTATTACATTTTGCTAAATATAAGAACTGGACTTTTTTAAAAAATACAACCACAACATTACAAAATACATAATTGTTTCTATATCAATTCCTAAGTAGGATATAAAATATAACAGTTATTTAGTAGTCCAAACAACAGTTCAGAACAATGAAAAACTGGATGAAGGCAGACTTCATGAATCTAAGATTTATAGGAAGACAAAGAGTAATAAAAATATTGGAGCCTACGGCCATTAAAATACATCATATTTATAGGTTAATTTATATATCATTTAATATGTAATAAGTCATGATATAAGAATAAATATTGAGCTAGAAATCTTCAATTTTAAGGTCTTGGCCAATGCTCTAGGTTTAGAAGTGGGAATTTGTGTTTGTAATGCACTTTTTATGAGTTTTAGTGAGCTCACAACTCTATTATAGGTATAAAATAACAGTATAGAATAACTTATTCTAATTTGGGCATTGAAATTTTTTTTTTCTTTTTTTACAGATTCTAAGAATGTGTTTAGTAAGTAATTAAATATTGTAATAAAAAGGCTCTTTGATTTAATATTGAAAATAGAAGAATATATAAGTTTGTAATCATGGATTTAAATAATTTCATTTGTATTTTATTCTTCATATTTGATTTTAAAAAAAGGAAAAAAAAGAGAGGTATAGAGAGCTTATAATTTCTCAATGAGATCAATGGTGGCTATTTTATCTTCACCAAAGAATTTAAAAATTTATGAAAAGTGAAAAACTTTTATGTACTATGTACTTAAAAACCTACATAATCCATGAAAATAATAAATTAAAAATAAAATAATAATAAGGTACACTTCATAAAAGGACAAAAATTGTGATGCTGAAGATGCACTGGAAACCCAAAATAATTTATGATAATTTAAAAATATCAATTTTAAAAAACTTAAGTTTTGACTTAAAATTAAAAGAGGGTAAATGTAAACGTCAACATTTCCTCAGTGTTCCTGTGTCCAACCTATTGGCCAATAATAAATAGTTGTCATCGCCAATTGGTGCTTGCCTATTGGAAGAGAAAACAAGTTGTAAAGTAACATGTTTATATCTTTTTTCTCTATATATAAAAATGCACTTACTTGCTGCCATATTTTGTTTCCCGGGCTGTTATCCTTAGGTACAATCTTGTTTCAGCTTGTAGCTCAAGGGCAGCATCCCTTAAAGCCAATAATGTATTTCGACAGGGACCTTTGTCTTCCAAAATGCAGTTTATTATGTTGTCAGTCCTTTGAGATCTGGTTTCACATATATCTGGAAAAATAAGTAAATAAGTCGTCTTAATTTAACAATTGAATTAAAACAGTCTTACTTATTGCATTTTGAAGCCTGTCCAAGTGTTGCACAATAAGTGAATGCACTCTTGCAAGCTCTCGGTCCGAGTCTACGTTCATGTGAAGCTGAGTCTTAGATGAAACTTTGCTACATCCTTCTGCAGTTTCTTGTACAGAATGACAGCTGTAATTTTAAAAAAGTTGCTTACAACATTGTTAATTAAAAAAAAAAAAAAATTACCATTGCCAATGCCCATTGACATATGCTGCTGGGTGGTATCTTTGTAACCTTTGGTGATTTGTGTAGCACATTTTGGCAAGCATATCTACCCATTCTTTCTCCTCGACACAATTGCTTGCCTGCAAAAATATTAATATTAAAAAATAAATAAATAACAATAGTATATTAAGAACAATCCGGGCAACCCCTTAACATGCACAACCCTGAAGAATAAGTATAGCCAGGTCTTTGGACTTGGATACGACCTCTAGGAGAGGGCCACTTTGGCTCTGGGGATAGTACTCGATCTGGGAAATAGACCGACACTGCCCTGGGCCCTTCCAGCCATGCTTGTCCAATTGTGTACACTGCTGTGTAGCCAGATTGTGTACACTGCTGCGTTCTTAGAACTTAGATTGGAATTCACTAGTTTCTTCCTCATCTTTACGGATAGCTCTAGAACCGGCAGAACTGTATGCATTCTGGTATGTGCTGGGGGAGGGGATTCCTTGTCCGTATCGACTCCCTGAGCACAGTGTCAGTAATTCAGGACAGATTTTGGTTGTTCTCGTTTGAGAGAGATATGCTGAGCTGGAGTGCCTTAGAAAAATGTGGTAGTTGTCTGGGTACCCAAACATGTTAAACTGGAGGGCATCGACGTGCAGATGAGGTGGCAAATATTAGGACAATTTGATCCGGCCTGGTGATATTGTGCGAGCAGTTAAGAGTACTGTTAGAGGCAATGTCAGCCGAGGAGCTCTTGCAATTTAAGCACAACTGAACAATAGCCCTCTGAGAGTTTGAAACTAAAGGAAAGGATTGTGCTAACCCAATTAAGGATCGGATATACCCGTCTGTCACGGAACCCACAAAGATGTTGCGTTTGAAAAGAAAGGTTGCTCAGTATGCCATTCTGATTAGAGTACCATGCCTTGGCCCCTTACAGAGAGTGAGTAGGCATGAGCATTCAAGATGGTACTTGGGCGAGCGGGTCAAATGTTGGTTTGTTTCTTACGGGTATGGAGGTTTGTCCTTACATGTAGAAATTGTATAAATTATGTGCATGTGAATATGTATGTGTATGTATATACATAATGTGGAATTTGTAAATAATTAAATTATTGTGAGTGTATGATTAACAAGAGGGTGGAATATCGAGTAACTCATCAGATAACAGTGGGGTGCTAAAATGATACATTTTGATAGCCCCTGGTTTAAAAAATGCACAGTATATTAGATCTATAATAATACATTAAGAACAATTAGACAAACCTGAACATAAAGAACCCTGTGAGGTTGGACAATTTGGAACATGTTGCTTTTCCTGAAAGAGTCATGGTGAACTCTTTCAACTGCTAAAATATCAGACAAGGGTATTTTACAAAGTGGTTCTTTACCTGAAATTAAAGATGACAATTAGACATTGAAGAATGAGTACAACTCAAGCATGAACAATTAAAAATTGTTAAATGTTGAATTTGTAATAATACGATAAGTCTGCAAATACATTAATTTCAAAAGCGTAATGACAGTTTCAGTTACATTATTTAAAAACTAATGACCTCAAAATCTTGGTTAAAAAGAAAATCTTTGGTGGTAGCTGGGTTTGGAAATTTTTGCCTCCAACAACCATCGTAATGTAGAAGGAACACAATGGTCTATATTTAAGAAATAGGTATTAGGAAATAAAGAAATACCATTGATGTAATAAAACCATAATAAAACACAAGGATTAATCTTAATTTCATGCTGACAATATTTCAACAAAAAAGAAACAATTCATAAATTGCACAAACCTTTTTGTTTGGCATAAGTGAGATCGTGAGTTGTCAAAGTAAAATATCTTTGTTTGAAATTCTTCCTCCCAAATCTTTTCCTTCCTTGAGCTCTCTTGATCATTGGCCTGAAATAGTTAAAATAAAATAAATTAAAATGATAAAAAAATAATTTTCGTATTTATACAATAGGTGGACAAATAATTTAATTAATTAAGACCGTTTAAGACTGTAAGACCTAAATTTGTTAATTTTTTTATCTTACCCATAGCTAGCGACATATTCCTTCCTTTAGGCATTGCAATTAAAAATAAAAATTATTTATAAAGCTATAATTTTTGTTATAAAATAGCTATATAACAAAACTAGATTTGAAAATATATAACATAAATAAATCAAAGTACACACCCTTCTTTCAGGATAACAGGGCTATCATGGCTATCTTGCGAAGGGACCGATGAAGCAGAAATAATTTCTAAAAACTGAAAAAAGAAAAAAATTACATTTAAGTTATTTTAAGTCATAACAACAATTTTACCTGTCTGACGGCAGTTATGTGTGAATCGGTGTAAAATGCTTGGTACATCGACCCCATATACTGCTCTTTACAAGCTGTGGCCCTCCGAGATGTCACCAAATTGCAAAGAGACTGGATGGTTTTAGATATTAAAGTAAGGGTCCGATTTATCTGAGAATCCTTTAAGAAAAAAAGAAAAGTTTTATAAATCTTTTAAATAATATTGATAAGTAAAGGGTGTAAGAGACTTACTATATGTTTTGTCGTCAGATCGAACAATCTTGGCCCCAAAATTGCTGGAGCGAAAAACCTTAGGAAAATAAAGCCTGATATCACAGAATACCTGACTTCTTTATTATCTGGAATGAAAAGATTATTATAAATATATATTTTAATTGGATGGGTTCTCTTTGCAATTACCAGGAAAACGAGAAGTAGCTAATTCTCTAAGTTCATGAAACAACTCGCAAAGGACTGGGGGACATTTAAGAGCAGAACTGGTAACGGCAACAAATATATTTTCAACATACTCCTGCAAAATATGTTCAAAATTAAGACTACCTTTTCTTACGACAATTGTCAACTGAACATACTTTGAGGTTGTTGAGGTTTGTACAAATGGTCGTGCTGTCAGAAATCCTCGTCGGGTCTATTTCACAGGACTTGTGCTCTGAAATCACAACCTCCAGAGATGGCCTGAGCGTCTCGTGGAGGTAGTGCAGACCAGCTAATCTCATCGTCTCATCCATCATTTTTGAGACAAGCGTATTACCTCTAAAAATGGTGTTCGCATCCCTGCAAATAAATAATACATATTTGAGTGTACCTTAAAATTTATTATTTTTTTATCTTAACCTTAATGTATTTAAAATACTTACGTCGTTTTGTTCAACTCCCAAGTTGCTAAAGCTTTTATCACAGGTACAATCAAACCATGGTGTAAAAATAGCCTGGCCAAAGGCTGGGCTATGTCCATTTTATTCAAAATCACCTCACCTAACATGAAGCAAGCACTGGCCGAAATCGGCTGAAAGTAATGAATCTTTAGTTTAATATTACACTTATCTATTATTACATTACAAAATACAACTAAAAATACCTGAATGGAAGAAGACTGGAGAATGAGCTTACGAAGTGTGTCATACATTTGCGTGTCAAATACATAATCTCTTGTGTAATGAATTTTTAATCTAAGAGATCCGATATCAGAACATATTGGGGCAGCTTTGCTTTTTCCAGGACACCGTTTTCCCGGTTGGAGAAGGTACCTTTAATGATTATTTGATTTAATAATGTTAAGTTCCTATTTTAATTTTAAAACATACCATGCGCTTTGCTGCATGCTCGGTTGCAGAGGAACTCTAACTTCACCCAGGAAGATATTACTGCTGCCGCTTTCGTGGTAAAGAGTTACAACAAGTTCACACCAATTGCCGTCATGCCCAGCGATATTATATCTGCTATCACTGCCCCGACCAGAACTGTTTAACTGTAATAAAGTCTATTTATATATACATATACTCAAGATGTGAACAAAAAAATTAACCTCAAATGTAAAGCTTTCATCGAATATGGGGGAGTTTGTTTTCTTCCTGACTTTTGTTCTTCGGGTGTCAACTCTTCCTGATGTCAATCTGACAGCAACCATTGCAAATGGATCACAGCTTCCATGGCTCAGTGTCAAGTCACTACACTCCGATACTTTTACCGTCAGCTTTTCAGACAGTGGATCGAATCCGTTTTCAAATTTAATATCTAAGTGAACTTTACCCTGTGAAATGATCAAGAATATCGGATTTTACAAAGCATCTCTTTAACACGTTGGTTGCCAGCGATGTAGCAGGTACAGAGCTAGGATCATTTATCCTAGGACCGTACCTATTACCGTGCTGCTTTTCTATCTCTATTGTGTTTTCTCACCCTAGCACTTAGGGTAAGGCTTTGAAAATGTGTGTGGCTCTCAGTTAGACCGCAACTTTCATGTAAGTACATTTGGTTTGAGCAAAACCTCAATTTTTTATTGAGCTTTGTGAGTAAGTTTTCAACTATTTCCAGTCTTTATTGGGAGATCATGATGTGCGGTCTGGTGTGACATAGGTTTTAGAAAAACATTTTTTTTATTATGCCAATGCTTCGATCTTTATTGAGATCAAAACGTTGGCATGATAAAGAAAATGCTTTTCTAAAACCTACATCACACCAGACCACACCTCATGATCTTTCAATAATCAATGGCTAACTGTCACTAAACACCACACATATTTCCAGGCTGTTATTAGTAAATTGTCGTGTATATATTGTATTGTTTTTCTGTATAATTCAATCTGTTTATTTATTTGTTTTCAGGAGTCTTGTATGAAATCTTCATTTATTTGAGCAATCAGGATTTTGAAGGGAAAGTTTTGTATGATCTTTATATTATAAATGTAAAATTTGGATATTTCCAGTTGTTCATTTGCAAAACTAATTTTTGATTGAGAAAAATTAATTAAAAAGATATATAATTTTTTACGGAAATGCACTTACTACAGCAGGCCGTTCATTCTCAGGCAATTGCTTCACAATAAATGAAAAAAGCATACGGCGAAAAAAAAAATTTTTTTAGGTGTTGAAAAGCCAGTTAAAATTTTTAAAAATATTTCTCCTGATATGGACATGCATTAATATTCATTTTGTGTAAATTTGAATACATGACACTAGGCACTCTTTGTTCCAGTATGTGGTGGCAGTGAAGGTGTTAACAGAGGAATAAAGCACTTTACCTGTACTTCTGTTTGCTGATTTACATGTTTAATTTGAAACCAGTGATCTTTGTTGTGGTACATTTGCAAATCATCTGTCTTTATCGCTACCTTCCCTATCACTTTTTCTGTTTTGTCTCTGTCATATAGATACACGCTTAAATACCTAAACTTCCTTGGAACAATAAATTGGAATTCTTCACCAAAAAATGGGCTGAAATAAAATAAAATTTTAAATAACACATAGTATAGATATATTTATATACTATATAAAAATGAATATATATATTTACTTAAGGGTTCTATCTATGGTGGATGTTCGAAAGATCTCTTCCTGGTCCAAAGAGAGTGCACAATACACATCCCTTTCCACTCCTGATCCATGGCTCCGGGCAGGCAAATTTTTGGCTTCTCCTTTATCATAAAATAAATTGTTATTGACTAATAGAAATAATGTGCTAAAAAAAATTAATGTTAGATCAACATTGACTATTCTTGTTGTTTTTTGCCTGTCAGATAGTAAAATGCCAAAATGTCAGTCAAAACCTGCCATAAGGCAAACCTATTTTGGTCAGACTGAACATCACACCACAATGTTTCACAGTTAAAACTAACTATATATTATAAAATATTAAGGTAAAATTGTTTCAACAAAAAATTTAAACAAAACAACTATTGTATTTAACCGTAAGGAAGTGCTGTGAATGGATTTATTTTTCTACTTTCGCCTAATTAACATACTGGAGTTTTTTTTGTACAATAAAAATGATTTTGTCTGAGTATCATCTAATGTCCATACAAGGGTGAACAGTTGTTTGGGAGACAAGATGATCCAAATGCCAACAAAAGCTTGATTACTGATCAACAGATACGAGGGCAATGATAATTAATATAAATGATTTCTGAATCAATTACTCTGCCCTGAACAAAAACAACATTCCACAAATAACAATTCTAATCGCTTTTATGATTATTGCACACATCCTTTGTTTTATTTTGCAGGAATACAGAAGTAAAAAAAAAAATAAAAAAATTTAAAAAAATATATATAAATGATTTTTTCTGTAATAAGTACAAGTACTGATAAAAATATTTCTATATATATATATTTTGTTCAATGATGTTTTGAGGCAATTGAAAAATGAGTACAAGCCCATATAAGGCAATCTCATAAACATTCCTTTAAAGGCATGGCTGAAAGAAGTTGGTCAATAAATAAACAGAGAAAATACTATCACTGGAACATCAGGATAAAAAAAAACCACTTGTGTCAAATAAGAATAGAATGACAATTAATTTAAATGACTTATTTTATGTTGAAATGTTATATGTATTATCAAATGTCTTGTAGGCATAATTCATATCAATGATCCAGTTTTCTATGAATCATTACACCTACATTGAATACAGTGATAAAATTTAATAATCAATTTAGATTAACTTTAATTTATGTTAAAAAGAGCAAATGATTAAAACTTGAAAATAATGTCGTTTTTGTATTCAAGTTGATCTAAGATTTGTTTTGATAAAACATTTACCCAAGCCCATGACTATCCGTAAGAATTCCTTAAGTAGTGCTTCTTTACTAGAAATTTTTAATTATATTTAACGAAAGCGAAATGAAATGAAAATTCTCAGGTCACAAACAAAATATGCAGCTAAAACATATTTTATTACAATTTGAAACAATGAAATTGAATGCAAAGACAAAAATGCCAATTTAGAGAATAAATAAATTAAAGTTTAAAACTATCGCTCCAGAATTGATTTACGTTAGTAACATTAACATTAATTTTCAATTGTATAACAAGAAACATGACTGTAATAGAATGGAGCCAATTGATCAAATGTTTATTTATTTTTGTCTTTAAAAAATAAAAATGATCTGCAGTTCAAAGACCTCAGATTTCAATAGAACACTGTGCTATTTAAGTCTGACACAAGGATAGATGGTTGAATTTATATGTGTAATCAGGAAAAAACACTAATAGATAATTATTTAATCAATCAACTTTATACGATTGAAACTAATGTATTTTCCCTTACTTTCCATTGATCTTAACGTATTGTAATTTTTTTTTTTTTTTTTTTTTTTGGGGGGGGGGATTATTTTAAATAAAATTTTTGCCATAAACTTACAAGTTGTTTGTTTGATTATTTTAAGCATTCAAAGGAATATCAAAACAACTTTCAATTAAAGAAAAATTAAAATCAAGAAACATAATCTAGATATAATTAATAACAATAGTAAAAGAAAGTACAACATAGACAAAGGTAAAATGTTATGCAAAGCAACTAATTCATAAAAAATATTTCTGTTTGTAGAATTTACTTTATTTTTATTTCTACTTTAATCAACAATGTGCACCTATATTATTTTTTTGTAATCACAAATGCGGTAATCCGATGAAACAGTATGTTTGACAATACATGTTTGATATCAAATGTTTGTTTTAGGTGAAATAATACCAATTATAGCACGACTTTCAATATTTTCTCACTATTAGGCAAGCTAAAAACTTTAAGAAAGAAAAAGAAAAAGAAAAAAAAGTTGTTTTAATCCTAGACGTCCTCATGTGAGGTTTGAGTTAAAATTTATGCTTTACTTATTACAAATTTAAATAACTGATACAATCCCAGCCAATAAAAATTGGTTTTTGTTTTAATGTTTTTAAGCAAACTGAAAACTTTAGAAAGCCATGTCAAAGTGTCAAAATAAATATTCTATGAAATAATTTTAAAAAACTTAAATATAAAAGAAAACAAGATAAAAAGCAAATTTGTCTAGGTTTAAAGTACGTAATTACTAACTGAATGTTCTACTGCACTCGTTTATTTTAATAATGCTTACGATTAATGAAATTTTATCCAAATTGTCTTAATACAAGAATAACTGGCACTGGTGTTTGTATTAAAATTCACGTTCGGGATATTTTTTAGAATGTATTACAATTAGTGGCTATCCTCGACCTTTTTTAAGGTTTTTTTTTTTTTTAAATCAGCAGTTCTTTTTACTGTAGTAGACAGGTTGCTGGCCCAATGCAGTGTTTTTGGATGTTAAAATACACATAATTGCCACTAGTGTTCGTTTGAAGACTGGCTATCATTTGATATTTTTACCATACTAAAAACTTTATACAACCGTGTCCAATTTCCAAATAATTCAAATTTGATAGTTATCTCAATGTGACTAAAACAAACCTTTTCATTAAGCATATTTATTTTGATTAGATGTTATCTTAATCCTAGAGTTTCTAACTCTATTTTAGACATTAGTAAAGAAATAATTGCCATTGATGTCAAGACAATCTTTAGCTGTTTTTTAACGGAAAAATTTAAAATACCAGTAAAGGTCAAACAATTAATGAAAAATGTACTCTTGTGATAAGCTGTGGTTTTTAACAACTTAATTCCATTAAATTGAAATAAAAAATAAATGTTACTTTAATTACAATTCTGCACATTTTTTTAAATTCTAATTATTTTAATATGACAATTTACTAACTTTAATTATTTTATCAGCCTACGTATGTAGCTATATTTTATCATTTCAAAAAAAATTGGATATAATTAATTGAGTATGACAATTTATCCTAATAATAGAAGTTTCTGACCTAGTGTTTATGTTTAGATGTAGGCGAGATTACTTCTTTTCTTTTTGTTCCTTTCCTTCTTAACTAAAATAAATTTACAATATTTTTCATATTCACTAATAAATAACTGCCACTAATGCCTGCAATAAGAATGACCAATTTTAGCTGTTAAAAAAAAAAAAAAATTAAAAAGTGAAATATCCACTTTAAAAAAAAGTGTGTTACTCTCTACATGTGCTTTGACTTAACGCTTTATGTTTAGGTTTCAGCCAAGACAGGCCTTTTGTTGTTATTAAGCTAACTTGAAACCTTGAAATATCAGAGGTGATTAAAAAAAATCATGAATAATATAAATCACTTGTGATAAATTGTTATACTAGTGATAATTCTTAAGTCGAAAATTTAATTGAATTAGATGAATAATTGGCACTAATGCCTTAAGTGTGTGCTTTAATGTCAACAAAAAATTCTTTAAGCCCCATTTTTCTAATTTGGTAAGTCTCAATCTTGGGAATTCAACTGTTGTGTCTGAATTAGATTCAATCAAATAAATATCATTGATGCGTGAAGCAAGATGATTTTCTTTAACTAAACTGAAAAGTAATTGATGAAATAGTAAATATCCATGAAACTGGGTTTTATTGTCAACTATAAAATGCTTTAAGTCCAATTTTTCTCATTTGACAAGCCTCAATCTTGGGGAACTCAACTCTACTGTCTGACTTAGATGCATTTAAATAAATAATTATCGCTGATGCAAGATCAACTCGTTCTTTTTAAACCAAACTGAAAAGTTTTTGATAAATTTTAAATATACATGAAAATGTGTTTTTGTCAACAATAAAATTTCTTAAATCCCAATTATTTTGATTTGACAAGTCTCAATCTTCAAGAGCTCGACTCAAGTGTCTGGACTTACAATTTTAGATACAATCAAACAAATAATAACCACTGATGCATGTATCAAGATAGCTCGTTTTTTAACGAAGCTGCAAAGTTATCAATGAAATATTAAACATCAATGAAACTGTGCGTTTTTTTTCTAATTTCCAATTTTTCTAATTTGACAAGTTTTAATCTTGGAGAACTCAACTCTTCTGTCTGACTTAGACACAATCAAATAAATAATTATCGTTTCTGCATTTAGGAAGATCATTTTGTTTTTTAACCAAACTGAAAATTTATTTATGAAGTATTTAATATCCATGAAACTGTTTTATTGTCAACAATAACATTTCTCTCTCAATTATCCTATACATTTTGACTTAGTGTTTTGACATAAGGATTTAGTCAAGGTATTCCATCATTTGTTGTTTTTAAGAAACGAGAAAATATTGAAAAAACACGTTTATGTTTGAAACCCTGATAAAACAGATGCTATTGAAATGTGAAGGAAGGAAAGATAAATAATTGTTTGAGTAATGTAATTTAGGTAACTTCTAACTTTACAGATAGCACATTGATGTCAATACTGAGACTAGACAATATTTTGATAACTCCTGCTTCCTCTTCGACTATTTTGATTGGACATGTGAAGTTTTTAAGATATTGCTGTTTTTTTGTTTTTTTTTTGAGTGTTTGTGAATGAAAAAGTAAAAACGAGTGAAAAATCCGAGACGTTATTTAAAATGGGGCGAGCACTACTTGGTACTTTTTCATCAGGGTCTATGTTTAGAAAATCCAGCTTTTGAGGAACCTCGTAAAACTAGATATTTTATATTTAAATCCCCAATAGGGTCGGGCGCGAGGTGCGGGGGTTGAACGGTTTCCCTCGCCTGGTAGCCCAGGGGGCAGGTTAGGCCCTCGCTGACCCCAGATCGATCCGCCGAAAGGGTTTTCTTGTACTTACGGATTATCCTGGATCGAAACGTTAAAGGCCCGACCGGGCGGGGGGAAAAGCCGTTAAAACTGGAAAAATCCGGAAACAAAGGGCCAGGTGTAAGCACAACACTCCTCACATTGCACAAGCACTTCCTTTCGAGTTTCACAACGGAGGCGGGGACGTGGCCGAGGCCCCTCAGACGCAATTCTTTCCTCGTCTCTCGGACGAATCCACTCACCAATTTTAATCCTCAACCTTTCCTCGACCCGGACTTTACGTTTGACTTCGGCCATCTTTGGATCAGCCAGCGCCGAGCGACTGCCTACAACATGCTGTCCGTCCGCTACGGTAATGAATGGATCGACCACGGCTGCCAACGGCGGGGGGAAAAATATTCCCCACTTCGACACGACTCGTCCTCACCACGACCGAACTCAGATTAATGCGAAATCCGCGTACATCCGCTCTTTAATCTCAATAGAAATACACACTGAAATGTAAAAAAGAGAAAAAAAGTTTAAACAAACAGTTGTTATTCAACCAATATCTTTTTGCAGCCTATCCAATATTTTTGGTCGACCTAATCAATATAATGAATGTGACATCAATACCGAAAATTACAAATTATAACAAATTTACAATAATTGAAATAAACGACTAAAAATACATTCAAATTATGAATTCTCATACTTACAATAAATAAATTAATATATGCATATAATATATTAAATAATGATAACTAGAGAGAGAGAGAAGAGAGAGAGAGAGAGAGAGAGAGAGAGAGAGANGAGAGTGGAGAGAGAGTGGAGAGAGAGATAGAGAGCGAGAGAGAGGGATAATTAATTAATATTTTAAACATTAAATGTAATATAATTAAATATATTTGAATATATTCAATCCCAACAATAAATACAAGTTCGGACAGACTTTCCAATTTTCAAATTTTAAAAATGAATACAAATTTGTAAGATTTTCCAGATTTGTAATTAAAAATATTCTTAAAATCATAATAAACAAAATGGCATAAAGAAAACCTGATTAACGTTAATTCTTACGAATATTTTTTTTTCCCAACCTGTACAAAAATTTTGGCCACTCTCATCAACATTTAAAAATGCGAGATGAATACCTTGATATTTACATTTACCAGTAACACTTGCAAATTTGCCATAATTTGTGATTAACAAATAAAAACGAAATTAAAAAAAAAAGACGCGAATTGTTAAAAATTACTTATAATTGTAATATACAGTAATTGTATACATAAATTAAAATGGCAGAAATTAAACGGGAACAAACATAGTGCACGCAGATTGTCGAAAAATTGAAATATATGTTTAGTTTAAAATGTTTCTATTCAGTGCAAATAGTAATGGCGAAATAGGCAAGATTTATCATACTAGCAATTAAAAGAAACACGTAAAGGATGTTGAGGAGCGACAGAAAAATTTTTAAATTGAATATGACGTAAATTTTATTATTTGTTATATTAAGATTTCTAATGTATGAGATACCTGTATGTAGTTTAAAAAAATTGTTACACAACATTCTCGTTATATCGTTATTCAACCAAAATCAGTTTGCAGTGTGATCAAAAATATTGGCCTACTTCATCAGCATAAGCGCGTGTACAGTTCCAACATGTGATAAAAATTATAAACGATGTTTAATATTTGTAGTAAAAAAACGTTAATTATAAAAACCATGTGTAAAGAGGGTCACATAAAATGTCATGTTAAACTAATTAAATTAATTTATCATTTAGTAATTTTTCAACAACAGTTTTCTAAAATGTATTAAAAGACACACAGGAATCAGTTTTAATTAGCCTATAAAATTAAGGATAAATCTAAAAGTTATATAAACCTAACAACCGGAGTTGTTAGCAACAGTTCCGTGGAAAACAATATTTTTTAAAAAACAAACCTAACTAGTCAAAAAGAAAACAACTTTGATAAATTAAAAACCTTTAAGGTCAAACCAATGTTATCGCATTGTTGAAAATGTCCAATCATCAGGTTAAAATTTAAAAGACTTCCAAACAAACACAATTTAAAAAGAAATAAGCAAAAAATCCTAGTCACGGGTTAACCAAAAGCGTACTGACATTTGAACAAATAATTATTATTTTGGCTATCGTACTTTGAACCAACAGAAGTTTTCATAGCAAAATGAAACGATGATAATTAAAAATATAAGTTGTTATGTTTAAATCCCTCGTATGCTTCAAATGCTCAGTTTAATGAAATTGAAAATTTAATTTAATTTTCCGGCTTATTTGAAATTGAATTTTTAGCCTTTCAGTTTGTTTAATTATTAGCAATCGTAGAGAAATGATTAATGAAATTTAGATATATTTTAATGTATCGTTTTACGTTTTGAACATTTTTATCAGCAAATGCGTCAATTGATTGAAACACTATTGAATAAAGAGTTCATTCATAGAAACCAATTTAGAAAGTAGTGTTTGTGTTGCAAATAAAATGTGTAACGTGTAAGTGCTGACATTGAATCTTGAATAATAAAGACGATAAATGTTGACTAGCTTAAAAGAGCAAATAAAAATAAAAATAAAAAATCGTAAACTGATAAGGCTGTTTTCGTGCCGTTCATTCATTTTATTGCAATTTCATTAAGATCAAGTGGAATTCTTAAAAACAGCTGTCGGCTGTTTTGTATAAATTCTTTACTGTATGTGACTGATGGTAAATTGATAGAGAAAGAGAAAGCTATAATAAGGAAAGGGTAAAGTTTTTCTTTTTTAAGCTGACAGAACTGAATTGAAGAGGTTAATATTTAAATTATTGATTATGGAGCAGGCACGATTTAAAATTTTAAATTTAATAGTTATATTTAGTAATCTCAACGGCAAATAGTTTAGTATGTTTCTATAAATTAATTTAAAATACGACCTCTCTGGTATGGGGCTCATCCAAGGATTCCGAACGTCTCCAATCAATTCAGTCTAAAATTCTCCGTCAAATTGTAAATACTTCTTTTTATGTTTCAAACCCTATTCATAATGACCTACATATTCCGTTTGTACATGTCTCAACGAAACCTGCTATAAAAATTCCATCAAACACTGAACATCCACCATAATTTTCTAGTAGGACAGATATCACATCCAACCATACTAAAAAATCCTCCAAGACGATTGAAGCGAAAGTCGACCCGGGCCCTTCTCAATGAGTGAAAAATTGACGAGGTTTCAGTGAAAAGAAGTTGTTACTGGGTAACTTCTATGAGAGACACAAATTCATAAATTCTGCATATATTCAATATGTTCAATAAATTTTTATATAAGGAAATAGTTTTGCTGTTTCATTTTATAATATAATTTATTTAAAATGTAGGTCATGAACAATATATTGCATGGTCTTGAGAGCTCTGTATTATTCATATATTTTCCACACCTTCACATCCCATTAATGTGCCTTTTTATTTTATTTTTTAAATTTATTTATTTTATTCTTTTAGGTACCCAACTTTATCACCTATGATATCACGACGTTGTTTGGTTTTATTTTTACATTTTATTTTTTATATATGCCTATAATGTTACTATATATCGCAAAAATTTTTTTTATACTTTTGTACATTTACATTATTTTTTATATGTTTATTTATACTTTTTCTAACCAATTTAATCTTGGATGTTTTTTCTTTTAAGATATATTTTACATTTTTAAAATTTATACACTCAAAGACAAAAAAAGCTGGACGCCCGAATTATTTTGTCGTTTATTTCAATCTACATGTATTTTTTATCGTTGCATTAATTACAATATACTTATTTTAATGTAAACCAAATAAAACGAGATCAGAAATTCATGAGTTTTAATTAAAAAAAATTTAATTATGACGGTATGAAAGAAAATTTACGAAAATGCCGAAAAATCATTTAATGATAGGTTAAAATTAAAAATTTATTTTCTGCTTTTGCTCTTAATGCGTTATTAAGAGCAGAACCTGGTGATAAATTGTCAGCTAAAATTTATTCTATCATTAAATGATTTTTCTGTGTTTTGACGAATTTTATTTTAAAGTATAATAATTAAATAAATTTTATGAAAACGTGAATGAAACATGATAGACCTGTAACATTATCATTTTTTAAGATATTTTGGTGTTGGTACATTCATTTTTAAATTATATGTCTATTTCTTTTATTAGGAATATTTAATAACATTAAGTATTACATGTAGTAACATTTTTCTTCACAAGATCGAGTACAATTGTGATGATTAAGGTTTGAATTAATTCAGTCAATTTTTAGGTCTTTGTTTCCGTAAATTACTCAAAAAAGCTCGTATTTGGTCTGAGGCGTGAAGGAAAAAAGCTGTGGGCCGGTGGAGGGAAGGACCCGCGGGGAAATTTCCTGACGACCGTGGCAATCCTGTTTCCTGAAAATGTTATGAATGGTGTGTATCGGAGTATGTTTCCCCACTAGGTCCCATTCACATCCGCATGGAACGACCACTCCTCCTCCCTTTTCAGTTTACTTCCGGACTAAATTTACAACCGGAGACCCAACGAGTGACGATCTGAGATAAAACGGACGCAACCCGCGTTTCCACGATAATTATTGTTTTTCCCCTTAGTTTATTTTTCCCTCTCTCGATGTCTCTTTCTCTCTCCTATTTTGCTGTAATAGTTAGCCGGCCGTTTCCGGTCGCGTTTTGTTTCAGGGCGGATAAGATCCTAGCCGATGGATAAAAGTGCAATATCCTGTTTTTATCGGGCCGTATACACAAATTCCTCGCTTAGATTTAGGAATAAGGCAACATGGAACCATATTAACATAAAATGAGACATAATTTTGGCCAAATGACGAAAAGATTCTGATTTTACCTTAACCCGTTATTCAAATACTTTTCGATGCGGTTGGATAGAAAAAAATAAAAAGACTTCCTTTCTCCTATCTCATACAAGTAATGCAAACAATAAGAAATATTTATATCCCAAGTTGTATATAGCAGGATATGTCAAAACCCCCCAACCTTCAATATATTAAAATGATTATCACTCAAAAAATATAAGTGGAATTAAAAATAGAATTTAAATATAGAGGTATGAAGTGCATGCCTATATATATATATATATAAGTATAGTTTATATAAAATAGTATAATGTATTGATCACAGTATAATATTACTACGAGCGATTTTTTGTAATCTGTATCCATCGTTGTTCATAAAATTCTTAAAACCTTGGAAATTCTTATGTAATCTATACAACAGTTCGTGTCCGACTGACAGACAACGCACAAATCAAACCGCTGTATCTAAAGGGCTGAAATTTCGACAGAGCATTCCCTAAATTTAATTACATGGATAGCTGCTAAGAGAGGATTTCTTGAAATTCCATCCCCAAGGATATCATATGGACAATTTTTACCATGTATAGACAGAAATGAACTGAAAATTGGAAGAATTTAAGAATCGAGACATTATATTAGAAAGTCATAATAGCACTGTATCCCATTAGAAAGGTACCAACATTTAAACAAAGTCCCGTGAGACGAAGTCGTGGGTTAAAGCTAGTTAATTAATAAATACAAATATACTACAAAATTAATGCAAAAAATTAAATTTCTATGTAATAAAATAAAAAATAACAGTATTATGATATATTAATCCATTTATGTTAGTGGTCTAATTGACCTTATTGATTATTTCAATTAATTATTATTGTTATGTAAGGTCTTGGTTGAGATGAAAAAGTTAATGTCACGAGCGGGATTCGAACCCACGACCTTCGTCTCAATACGCCGCTGCTCTAACCACTTGATCTATCGTTTCGAACCATGATCTTACATAAAAAGAATAATTAATTGAAATAATTGTGATGCATATTCATGAGAAAGATAAAGGGAAAGAAGGGAATTAGAGAGAGACAGAAAAATAACGAGAGAAATATAGAGTAACAAGAACGACAGAAAGAAAGAGAGAGAAGGAGGGAGAGAGAGGAGGAAGAGAGAGAGGAGAGAGAGAGCGAGAGAGATCGTTTTATAATAATATGAATGGTGAAATGATGAATCAGTGGGGGTGTGTTTCAAAATATTTTTATCAATGCTAATTGTTGTATTTCTTGATATATAATAATAATAATAATCGTTGTGGCAGTAATTTCGACCTCCAATGAAAATTGATAACCAAATACATAATTTTAGCACTGCATTATTTTTTAAAATCATTTTCTGTCAAGCAAGTATCGGATTTGTAAGAAGTACTCTCGTCACGCAAATCGTACAACAGTTACAATCCACTCATAATCATATATTTTTAAACATGAGATAAATTTCACCAAAACTGTTTTTTATTCTTTGCCAGGCCTTCTCGGCCCAATCTAACTATAGCCCGCTTGACCGAAGTGAAATCCGATAATTTTACCTATAGATAAATTGTTTATAAAACCCAGGTTGAAGTTTAACATGGTTTCTTTTGATTGACAACGTATTTTTGATGACCTCTCGACGCAAGTTAATTACCGACGAAATATATAACCGTCTGTAATTTACAGGAAGGAAGGGTAATTAATACATATTTCGGAGACGAACGGCAGCTGACAGATTGGGTTAAAACGAGGGTGTTCCTAAAACGGAAGGATATATGGTCCCGAAGAGGGTGAAATTAGACCTGAACGGTCCGTGTTGAAGGAATAAAACTATATTTCTGGAATGGATTCATCTTCTATTTCAAATTTTTTTGAGAATCTTCCGTCGAACCCGATAGACTTAAAACTTTATTTTACTCCTGCCAAACTGCTTTACCATTCTGGAAATTGATAGGTTCACTGTCAGAAATAAGCGAGCCATTTCACCAAATGGGCAAAATGGATATTGGACGAAGAGCCTAAGTGGTTCATGAAGTTTTATGATATATCCATAAATCCGTCATTAAAAGCTTTTCTTAAAAGTTCTTAAAAGTTTTCTCTTTTATTTTGTCATTAAATGAGACTTCAATTTAAAATTTTAAATCTACAAAGCAACATCTGTCTGTAATTAATTCTAATTGACGTCGACGTCACTTTTTTAATTTCAAATGAGAACCTCAAATATTTTAATTTTTTTCCGAAACAATATTTTTTTAAGAAAAATTCGTAACACAACTTTGGAAGACTTCAAAAAATGACGGCTCTAGAATTTATTGAAAGTATTAAAAAATTAAGAAAATTTCATAAATATGTTTATTGAACACAAGTTTCCATTTTCTTTTTCCCCATGAGGTTGGTAGGTAAACAACAATAACGAAAAAGTTTAAACACAACTATTTATCATTAAAAAATATAGTCAAATTGCTTACTTGAATGTAAGTAATTATGTGGGTACAAAAACTACCTAACGGATAATTAAACAATTACAATGATAATTTTATTTTGCCTTGTGAACCTTTCAGCAATTTTAATATACATTATTTATGCAATTTTCCTAATTTTTTATTATTTTCAAAAATTCCTAGAGCCTAGAGAGGTGTTCCAAATTTGTGGTATTCATTCTCTCGTTTATGTTTATGTGTATAAAAAGAAGATTCTATATGTTAATAATTAAAGATGTTTGAATTATATTGACTATTTATCATTATCACATTATCAGAAAATTTAAATTTTTAACCAGTAAAAATTTATTGTATTTGATTATTCTACCAACTCATAAAATAATAGAACAAAAAAAATTGTTAAATTTTGATTTTTCTCTCGCTAAATGACTAGAAATTTTAACACTGTTTTAAACTGGTCCACTGTTTTTTTACTGTTTATTTTCGCTAATCAACTGTGTCGTTTGTACATTATAGATTAAATTAATCTCGGCTGCTGGTGGTCTGCGAGTCGATGAACTGTCATTTCGATAAAAGAATACATGTACAAACATGTTTCTTGTGATAAAACCCACTCAGCTCTTATATTGCAATTTTAAAATTAAAATTGAAACCCTTGGTTGATATATTTTTGATTTATTTAGAGACTAAAACATTCTTTTAAAAGTACTGTGTCTTGTAAAATTTTGTACAGTCATTTTCAGCAGTTTAAATTTTTGTTAGACAAGAAAACAATGAAGTTAAAAAAGAAATACTTTCTTGAACTGAAAATACATTTATTTTTTATTATTAAGAGTATGTCAAGTTGTTAAAAGTTTATAGAGAAAATAGGGTCTTACAGTTTATATCATAAAATGTGACATTATTTTCTTGTTTTGGTAATCCATGCAGATAAGGGAAACGTGACTAATTTTATTTCTAGGCTGGCCTCAACCTTGTTTACTCGTGTCTTTTACGTAAATTCCACCGTAATCTCCACGGGAAACCATTTGGGAAAATGAACGGTTTGCCCATTCACGGGTACGAAACTGTCACTTACAAGTCGCATATTGAGGTTGTAGTTGTAACAGAGGCACAATTGGAATATTAATGAGTCTGATAACGGTCCTTTGTCGCATTCTGACCTTCAAATACGCTACTATTCCATTGTCGAATAAATGAATGAGCTCTTTAATTGGAATGGCTGATAAATTTTCAATGCGAATTATATGGAACAGAACTGTTAATCGTGACCTATTTCCACGATTAATGACTCAGGGGGAACAATCGTGGCATTTTCGACTTTCGGTTTTAAAACAAGACAGGTAAAATATCCCTCAATTCAAATATAATTTTCAACAGTATTTTTATAAATGGTTTTTATTTTGTACGAAAAAATTTTCGAACAAAAGTTGTAGAACAGCCATTACCTTTTTTTAAAGATTATGTTAACAGTTTTGTTTGAACCAAATGGCTCGAAGAAAAACAATAATAGCAATAGGTTGTACGATTTTATGGTTTAATATCTAGTTGTATGATAATTTGCGATCATTCTGGTCCGCCTTGACTCGCTTTTTCGGCCTGTTAGACGCGTTTCAGCATTGTGCCTTTCTGTGTAGATATTTGGGATTTATCTGTTTAAAAAGCTGTGCTTAAGATCTAAGACAGGCCCATCGTTTTTCATTTCTCTTAAAATTTGTATTCCCTTAATACAGTTTATTTGATGAAACCTGTGAAGAGCAAATGCTTACTTAGCTTTGTAGAAACTTTGTGGAATAATAACGCCATCAATATTAATAATAAAAATAAAAGTCTTTGTTTATTTACATATTGAAAGTGCATATTATGTAATGTAGAAAGATAGTACATACTTATCTCAGGTCTGAGGTCATCAAGAAATAAACTAATAAACTAGTATGATGTAGGTTACTTTTTTATTAACCATGGTTAAGATGTAAATATTTCGAAGCAGCCCTGAATACAAAATCTTTACAATGTTGCGGGTACGCCTATGATGACGTAGTATGTAGTTGTTGATCTATATAAAAACAAAAAAATAAAATAAAAATTAATAATCTAAAATTTAAAAAAAAAAGTTTAAAAAACATTTGGTCGTTTACGATTATCTTAGTCTGCCTGTTCTCGCTTTACTGGTCTCATTTGGCTTCTTCTGGCCTTGGCAACTTCAATACTGGTGCTGACAAACCTGTAATGAGGTTAGATTATTACCGATGCAAAATTAATTGAAATTAAATTTATATATATTAAATATGTAATTGTTTAATAGTTTTATTTAAATTGTGAGATTTTTTGTTGAGTTTGGTTGTTTTCTCGATCATCCTGGTCTCCCTAGTCTCGCTGCTTTTGTCAAACGCATATCGTCATTTCGCCATCTTCGGTGAAGGGTTTGTGTGCATTTTTAAAAGAATTTATCTTGCTTAGTCTTGCTTTGTGCCTCGAAAGTCCTCTTGTATTTATGCTTTCTAGAAACTTGAGTACAAAACGTCATATATTGGTGAAATATGTCAACAACAATAATATAATATATAAGGAAGTTTTTATTTGTTTTTATTATGAGATTTTTTGTTTAGGTGGCGAACTAGGTAAGTTTATGATCATCGTGGTCCGCCTATGTTCGATGTTTCGGTCTGGCAGACGGATTTTCAGCATTTCGCTATTTTCAGTGATGGATGCTGCTACTTTGTAAAGAATTTATCTCTTTTGAAACCTTGTTTAAAGCCTATTGCTTTTTCTTTTATTGAAATTAACATTAGACTAGATGAAAAAATTAACTCTTTCTTTGCCTAAATTGCTATTTCAACCTTTACAAGTCTTTTGTGTATTTTGGACTTTGAAAAACGCCTTTCGAACCTATTGACTCAGGGATCAATACAAATACAATTTAATTATTGACTTTTTACCTGAGTTTTAAGTAACATACTAAAAAAAGAATATTTTATATCTTTTTTTGTTTTATTTCATACACAGAGACAACTAAAACTCAATTTCATAAAAAATATTATTTATTTACACGTATCAATTTTGATTAATAAATTACAAAAATCAAACTCAAATAACAATTATATATATTTATGATAATATAGTTTTTATGAAGTATACGGTTCACTTTCAAGCATTGAGACTTAAAAATGAAAGTTTTCGTGAAATCTAGAAAATTATTCGTGCCTACGTGGAAACCTTAAGACTGACCAAACTTTTTAAAAATACGTTTTATTTTGAACTTCCACCCTCTAGAAAGACTGTATTGTTATTTTCATTGATAATGTTACGAATTTTTTATTAATACACCTTGGCAGCACTAGCTGTTGCTCACAGGTCGGACATAAATGTTTACTTACCTGGAATTTGGAGGCAAATGCGGAATCGAGTTCTATTCTGAAAGACGAAGTACCTTGACGTCATTTGTGAACGTCATTGACCGACGTAACAAAATAAAAGGATTTCCTTCCTCTGCAGGCTCAAACGTAAGCCAGGATGATGCAGGCGGTATGACCTCATTTTCCAAATCGACTCATCTATCCGTGGAGTTTTATTTATTTATTTTTTTTACGTCCGAAGCAGGATGATAATGGATGATTTGCCTACGCGAAAGGACAACAACGGCAGGAAGGCAAAAATGAAAGTTGTTTTTGAAAAAAGTTTCACATGATATTAAAAAATCACTTTTAACAGAAGACTTAGAAAATGGAATTTTCACCCACTTCTGAGTATTTACATCCTTGCACCAAATGTTTTCAAAATGTCGGCGCCACATAAACCGAGACAATGGCTGGGAAAAGTTTTAAAATCTAGTATTTTAATTTTATTACTTTTGTTAAGCATAATCATGGCAATTTATTCATTGGTATTTTCAGGGGGTTTTTCTTAAGTAAATGCTTTGGTTTTGGTGGCTTTCTTAGTAAGTACTGTATAAAAAAGAAAATACGCCAACGACCCATTTTAGTTTTTTGTTTTTTTTCAATTCCATAAAATTAAGTAATATGTATAATTAAAGATTTGGCCGTAAAACATGACCCCCCCTTCAAGGTAAGCGTGTGTGTACCAGGGGAAACATTTCAGCGAGAAAAAAGACAAAAATGTCGCGACAAGCGTTAGGAGTTAAGAAAGATCAGATATCCGACCCGGAGGACCAATATTTGGTGGAAGAAGGGGCTGTCCGAAATTGGCAGCAACGCTCCTCACCTTAGCATTGTTCGACGGAACCCATACCTTCACGTTGACTCCCTGACAGTAGTACAAAGCGATATAGGAGAAAGATAACAAATTAAATTATACTAGATATAACTTAGTTTGGACAATAAAGTGACCTGGCCAAAGTCGATAAACTAAAGAAAGTAGTGGCAGAATTTATTCCAATAACGATGAAATTTGATCTTCGGTTCAAAAAAAAATTAATTTTTAGAAAATTTTATTGCGTTTCTGTTATTTTTAGTCTTATTGATTACATACACATAAGTTATTTTCTCTGATTGGAATTTTTATATAAACATATTCATGAGCACGTTTCACGGCTGATGTGGGCTTTACAATGTTTAAGTTCATTTTCCATATATTGTTTCATTTTTCTTTTAAATCTTTTTTTTTTTAATTTTTATAATAAAATTTTGTAAAACAAGAAATTCAGAGAAAGCTTTTCAATGTTACATACAACACCGGAGGGAGGACTGAACCCCAGTTTGTGTCCATTATTTCTTTTATTTCTAAACTCTGCGGAATTTGTACAGTAAACAATCCCCCGTTGAGGTATAATTGTACGGCCAAACAATAAATTTTTGTAAGAAACCCTTCCTGCCACTTTGACGAAGGTCTGAGAAACGTCTAAAAATACTCCAGCCGCGTTCAGTTTCCGCTCCAGGCTTTAGAACGTGTAATCTGGAACTCCCTGGAGTTGATGAGTTAAAAAAGTTTCTGTAAAACATAAATTCTTTTGTAAATATTTTTTTGTTGGATTGAAAATCTAGAAGAAACGAACGAAACCTGATTATTTTGTAAATTTGTATTCTGCTATGGATTCGTTTTGCTATAAAAAAGTTTGTATTGAAATGAAAAACAGTTGTTCTGAAAATTATATATAAGAAGACTTAGAAATACGTTTTCTCATAGAGAATTGTCATTTCCTATGATTTCTGTTTCTGATAGGAGTAAAGTGCTATTAATTTATTAATTCTTATCCAATTTGGGCTAAATGAAAAACATAAAGTATTCATTAAAGTGAATATTAATTAAGGAGATGTTTTGTTGCTAGGGTTAATTTCAATTATCTCAGGTTTCTCTATTTCATAGAGTTTTTTCCGCCAAAGATGTAAAAATAATAACAACGTAATTATTTGATATAGCGATAACACTCTCTTATTTATCTATATATTGATGTTAACGAGCAAATGACACTTTTTTATAAAATTTGTGACATTTTTCTGAAGCAAATTTAACGTATTCGTCATGATGATATGTAAATCATAAGTCAGGAGTTATTGGTTCTTTGGACACCAACCTTCGTTTTGGAATAGTTCATTTTCTTTTCTTCAAAAGAAACATTTTCAATTTGAACTCAATGATTTTCAGCGTTGATGGCGATAATAACCGAATATTGGCAAATCGATTTCTTACTGAATTTTTGCTTGTAATTATACAAGGCCGATTGTTTATACACTTTGTCTGATTTTTTTTTTCTCCAAAAACGTTAATTTGTTTTGTAAATCGACTCTCGCAAAACCGGGGAAAAGTCTATCTCATTGTTCGCAACAATGGACGTCTTTCGGCAAGAGCAAGGGGCAGTGAATTGTTGATTAATTTAATGGAGCAGTTGTGGGAAAAGTAAAAGTTGTTAAGCTCAAAGAGAGGAAACTGGGGAAAGGATGTTTACGGTTCGTTAAGTTCGTTTGTAAATTTAACCGGCATCTCTCGCAAATCTCCCAACATACCGGGGAAAACAAGGAGAACGCACAATGAAAAGTCCAGAAGGTCGCAATACGATGTTTGCGAAACTTCAGCTTATCCAACGTTTTTTTTACACATGTTTACATTAAGAATTGTCAAATCAATTAATATGGATAAACTGCTCGATAAACAGATCAAATGTATATTGAAATTTTGAAGTCGACAGTTCTTGGTTAGCATCGTCGTGAAGCCCGATCAGGTCCAATGGGCTAGTGAACAATTGCAAAAAAAATTGGCTATGAAAATAGATTTTTAACTCCTTCTTTTTCCGATTGAAAGAGCAGAACAGACATCCTAATGGATGTCCTGTTATTATTGACAATATTGTTAAACCGCGAAAACAGGCGGATCCAAGTTCGACTTAAGCTGCCCAGTAACTATTACTATTTAGTAGCTTATTTACCAAAAATTGTACCTGAAAAATCAGACTACTAACTAAATCAGGCATTGTTTTGTATTTTTCTGTTTCTTTGGCCTTATCAGTAGTGTGAACTTACGGACCAAAAATTCCTTTTCGATATTAATTCAAAATGACAATACTTAACTTGAGGTTTTATTATTGACAGCTTCTGGCCTTATCGTGTTATCAGAAAAGCTCGGCTTGTAAAGATATTCTAAAAACTATCATCTCACCACGACTGGAATATAAAGTGTTATGGAAATTTTCTTTTCGGTTTTGTTGAGTAGTTTTTTAAAAGTGAGACCGTAGACATTATTAAGCCCCCTTATCGGGGCACGGCTGGAACAGAATAGCCCACCTAAAAAGGGGCGAAGCTCGGAAAGGATGTAGATAAGCAAATAATAACCCTGCCGAGGAGATCTGGGTAAAACGTGGTGATAAACCTTTCATTGACCATTATCAAAGGAAGTGACTAAATTGTACGTAGCCCTTTGAGCCTGCATGAATAAAAACGACGTTTTGTCCGGGATGTTTTTATTTCTGCCAAGGAGATACGACGGCTCTCAAGGATATCAACGACAAAGTCAAACAATTGAAAAGATTCACTGCCAAAGAAAAAATATAAAACATCCCACAAAATGAGCAGATTTATTACAGTAATAAACGATTATGAATAATGTAAATGTATTTGTTCAACAATAATTTATATGAATCGTTCTAGCAGTTTGTAATTTTTCCTTTCTTTTTTAAAAATTATGCACTCTCAAACTTTTCATTTTTCCTTGTTTAAATGCTTGTTTTGTTTAAAACATTAAAGTAGAAAAAATATTTGAGATCAAGTAGTTAAT